AATCACACTGTATTGTATGTCACAGGGATGCCTGAGCATTTTGCTTTATGATGTCTGCATTAACAGAACTATTACGGAATTGCTGTTACTCTTCCAAGCGAGCAGCTCTTCGGGATCTTGCAGACATGGGTTATTTTTTCAGTGGTGCACTTGTTGTTTTTAATTCACAGCTGCCTTGAGCGAATCATTCTGGAAATTTGTTACTAAGGCATTTTAAGAAAATCTTCTTTTTCTAAAAAGTGGTTTTCCGTAGAAGTGTTTTGAACCAATTTCCTAATGAACACCTTCGAGAAGACAGGTGCCATTTTTACATTATTCTGGTATTAAGAACTAGTTTCTACTTGCAAAACTCCAATAAGATTTTACAGATGTATATAACTTTTCTCAGCAGTTCAGGTAGACTGTAACGTGGTCATGGTTCTTGAGCAGGGATTGCCACAAATAATTTCACTGTCATCGTTTGATGGGCAACTGTCTGTTGGATTCAGCTGCTTTTAAAAGAAGGAATGCCAACTACATGCTGATGAGGTTTCCAAAAGCATCATGCAGGTATCTGCCGGCTTCTGCCATCCAGTTAACCAGTGTCTGTAGCATCGTGGGTCCCAAGGTGGCTCCTTCTGTGCTGGTGAACAAGGAAACCTGGAAGGAGCCCATGCACAATGGGAGGAAAAAGGATATTCACGCTTCTGGGGAGCTTGTAGGAAACTGGTGGTAGATCCCACCAAGGTGACGTGTGCTGCTGAGTTACTGACCTGGATAGAGCTTAGATTTTGGTTGTTTTTTGTTTAAAGCCTACAGATTCAGTGTAAGGCATTGCTATCATATGAGGCCAAATAACGAACTTGCACAGGCTGGGTTATTTCCTTCTTTCCACAGTGATCAGTGGCCTTTCAAGATTGATGCCTTTACTAAAATGGATGGGGCTTTTATGGTAGAAGCTCAAACTCCTCCTAAAATGAGGAAGGTAATAAATTGACCCTTCTTCAGTTTTACTTCAAAGGTTTTACTCCCAGTTTTGAATCTCAAACAAAGGGAGTGTGCCTATAGTTTAACGTTGGTTCAGGTATGTGTCTTGTGTGATTTCTGCCTGTACACCACAACCTTCTTACACTGGAGGTTTTGCAGCACTAGCGGGTCCATTGGAACCCATCTGTAATGGTTTGTTGCCAAACCACATCATTACCTGAATGTCACGCAACTTGTGTAATTACAGCAATGGAGGAACTAAGACCACTGTGCCCAAACGGTGGTGCCGTAACTCGTACCCAGCCTCTTGTCTATGGCTTGGAAAGTGGAGCTATGTGCTTTGGGTAACAAGATGTGTTTTATTCAGGTACAGTATTTTTGTCAGCATTTTCTAGTGTTGATGTATCTTTGCAATAGCAAATACTCATCTGGCAAGCTCCCAGCCCAGGCTTGTTCCCGTGTAGACTCAGACATGGGTTTGTCGGTAGAGATACTGGTTTACATTCTGGAAACCACAAGAAGCTTCTCCGTGGCATTATGCTGACGTGTACTTGCTTCCTCCAATACCGTGGGCCTGTTTCTGTCTCCAGACCTTTTTTCTTCCAAACATCGCTATCCTCTGCCTTGCTAAATTGCAGGTACATCGCAGTATCTGGCAGAAATGATAGTTCAGTGTATTGACAGCAACACAGTCCATTTCAAATGGAACTCAGATTAAATGGGCTTTTCCCCCTGCCACAGGAGAGGGCCTGACCTTGACCTGGCAAAGCTGAACTGCTGTTAACAGCTGGTCCTAGTGTGCTTACTGTAATGCATGGGTTGGAACTAGTTACTCTTTAATTCAGTTCGTGTAACCGCTTGTCCCACGATGAAGTTCACATTACTTTAAGGTGGAATGAAACCATTGTGAAAACATTCCAAGAGTGCTTAGTCTTTCCTATTTGAGGACACTGTCACCTCCACTAGGTTTAGTGCTGTGCTTTAAGATGTTGGTGAGAGTATTGGCTAATTAAACTAGTTGGTATAAATGGTCGTGTAGCAGAATGACTGATTTTGAGATAGCATTTCCTGTACAAGTACTTAAGCATGGGTTGATGGTGCACTTTGTATACCGTAATCTGGCATGCATGCTGGTAAAACTACTTCCTACACTTCGGAGGCACCACAAGCCTTTTTATCCAATTGCTGGTTATGTAAAATACATGCAGAATGTTAATGCAGTGTTGTTATGGTAAATGTGTGAACAGTGTTACTAATTGATATAATAACTGATAACAGATTACATGTGCCTGACATTCTTATACCACACAGTATGTTTAGGTTTTAACTAATACGGACTTCAGTGGAATAGTCTTAGGTATTTCAAGCCTTTGTTTTACTTACACAATGGTGCTCTCTTTGTGTTTTTTCTCCTTTTTTATTTTAAAAAACAAAAAGCATCTGAACCCTTGTAGTACATATTACGTCCAAAGGAGTCCAAAAAAAGTGCTTCTGAACACGCTTGGTTTTAATTTGCCTTTAGTTTCCAGCACTTCTCACCAGCTTGGTTTCTGTTTGTTTTGTTTCATTTTTTATCTTGTTGCTGACTACTTTGGAAAACTTCAGTAATGTTACCAATTATGAAGTGATTCTGCACTGCCTTTGGATTGTGTATGTATTCAGAAACAGTCTTAAAAGCTTTTATTTAAGCTATTAAAAAAAAACCAGGGACTTGTGCCATTTGTTCTTTAACAGTGCTGTTGTAAAAAGACTTCCCTGTGAAAAAAAAAAAAATCACTTGCTATGAACTCTGTTTATAGCTTCTTTTTTTTTCCACGATGGATCTTTTTCTTTGTATTTGTACAGTGGCTCAGTGAAAGATGTTGCCATGAGTTGATATTGTAACCAATAAACAAGTGCTTTTAACCAGACTCTTGCACCTGTGGCTCTTTTATTGCAGCATCCACATTGTTCCTGTTAACACTGCACGTGGACAGAGCCACACCTAACTCTTGCACCCAGTTACCTGGGCACAGTGAGCCAAGCTGAAGCCTATGCATCCGCAATGGCAACAGCAACATGCTGCGCAAGTAAATGCCCTAGAACAGATGCTGAGACAGCTTTTTCTTCCCCAGAGCAGAAGGGTGTTCTGCCTGCAGAGTGTGTTCTGCCTGAGGAAGGTGAGAGGCATGTTTATGCTCCAGTGTGGTGAGCTGGAAGTTACCCACCAATCCCAGAGTGGAAACAAACCCAGGTTTTACAATACTCATTCATCCTTGGTGTTAGAATCCCTGCTCACTCCACCACACTCCCACCAGGGGCAGACACTGTCACAGCCCCCCATTGTTAGGTCTGTATCAGTACTGCTTTTCTCCAGCACACTGAAGTGGGCAGTAAGCTGTATGAAATGCCCAGCTGGCTGCAGGAAACAGCTTTTTTAACTCAACCTCAGCAGCTTTGCCCTGTACTGGGTATGTACAGAGCTGCCAGAGCACTACCGTCTGGGTTTTCACCTTGGATACAGCTGTCAAATAACTGACTACAGCAAAGGGGTAGTACTGTTTTTAATAAATACCTCTATAGAACACATGCATGTCAAGTTTTATCTTCATACAACATCCATTAAACGCTCCAGGAAAAGAGCATTAACACACAGCTGTAACCTTACACACAACAAGGCTGGGCTGTCATTCAGTGCTGTAGTTCATGTTCTGTTGAAAGCCTGGAGGCTCCTCACACTTGCTGCTACTGACAGTTCCAGGAGAGCCGCGCTTGTGCTAGCACAGACATAAACAACAAGATACAGCATGGTGAAAGGGGCGTGCTTTGCTTGCCAACAACCACCTGTCCCTAGCATTAGATTTTAAATCTGTTTCCTTAAGATAGCCCTTATTTACTGGAAAACAGCAAATCCCTACATCTCGACTTTAAAGTTGAATGTCATTTAGTCACGTTAACAGTTGCATAAAAATATATAAATATTCTGAAAAGGATTTCTCTCTTAAAATAAGTTATTTTAAAAAGTCTAGTTAGAAAACATTAAATGAGTGCAGATGCAACAGCGAAAATGTGTCTTTTTTTTTTTAAAGAGGCTTTGTATTTCTGGGTATGAGCAAAGGTGGATACTGCAGCCCACCTGCCTTGTGGCTAACCCAGGAAAGAGCTGGGCTACAGCCCAACCAAGGAACTGCAGGATGGTGCGTAAGTACAAACTCTCCAACCCAGCTGCTTCCTGTGCCGTTAATCCAGCAGCAGGAGCTCAAGGTGGAGGCCCACATCCCCAGCTTTCTCCCCCAACATGAAACACCTGCTTAGCGAGTTCTCTTTGCCGGGACACGAGCTGGGTGGCGTCAACAGGTACCTGCAGCTCCCCCCAAGGGATGCTCTCATGTGCAAATGACCATTTCACTGCTTCACCAGCTGCAAGACAGACTTGTTGAAATTGGTTTATTTTTACTTAAGCAACACCATCTTGTCTAAATGAGTTATCCAGAAGGGAAACTAGAGCCTACTGCATTTCATTAGTGAAGGCTCTGTGCTTTACTATCACTTTTCACTTCCATTTACAGAAGAGAACTGCTGCCCAACACAATTTCATTTCCTTTCAAAACAAGTCAAAAGTCCTTCTCCATGCTAGAGTTTGTATCTTCCATCCTTAAACACACTCATGAAAAAGCAGCATCCTCCATCCCCAGGTAATTCCTAAACAACCCAAACTAGGAGATAGTGGTAACCATGATAAGCTCTCTCTCCCTGCATAAACTCCTGGATGCCAGGAAGCGAGACTTGCCACTGTTAAGTACTAATGGAAACCAGTGATGATTTGTGTTTTTATTGTCAAGTGCCCCAAGAAATTTAGTGTTTAATATATTTTTTAACCCCAAATCTGCCAAACAAGACACTCGAGAACCACTGCTCTTCAGTCTGATTTACCGTCAACCTTTTAGAATGATTAACAAACTTAATGAAAGGAACATCTAAAATAGAAATCATTTCATGTGACTCCACACAGGAGAAGTGTCATTTGTAAAAATTCTACCTTGTCCTACAAAGGATCACTGGGAAAGTTGGCAACAATGTTTTATTTGCTCTTTTGAAGAAAGTGCTTGGTGAAGCCGTCTAGTTCATTCTCAAGGTGAATGGCTTTATTCCTGCAAAACAAACAAAAGGGGTGGCTTTACTTCACTGCAGTAACCAGCATCAGTGCTTAATTTCTGCTCCTCTATTCCTGAAACCCACGGCACTGAGAAAACCTAAATGTGCTGCCTGGTCAGAGCCCGGGATCTCATGAGCATGGGGCCTGGCCTGGCAGCAGAGGGCTGCCAGCAGCCTGCTCCACATGTCCTCCTCCCGAAAGGCTGGGCCAGGCCCACGTGGGTCTTCCCCAGTTCTGGCCTTTCTTTACCATCTTCACCTTGGGAGAGCTCTGCAATTGGAAGGAGGCAGAGGGCTGGCTCCTCACGCAGGCCATTCATGCGGCACACCATGCCACAGGGGTGCGCCACAGAGCTGGGCTTCACGCGATGCTGGTCTGGAATGCCTGAGGCCAAGAGACAGCCCCTGGCCAGGGCAGGCTTAGGGCAGGGAGAAAAGAACATGGGAACTAGGGCTGAAGCTGCCTCTAAGAACCTAAACTACCAATTACTGCAAGTTTTTCTTCTGTCTAAATACCTACTCCTGGTACTGGAAAACAGTGTTGTACTGAATGGTGTACAATGCAGCTCTCTCGTGTTCTCCTATGGGGAAGGCTCTTTGGGTAGAACTAACTTAGCTACAGAATCATAGAATAGTTTGGGTTAGAAGAGACCTTAAAGATCACCGAGTTCCAACCCCCTGCCATGGGCAGCGGCACCTCCCACTAGACCAGATTGCTCAAGGTTAATATGAGAAACTCATCTCTCCCATACAATAGAGACAAAGGTAAAAACAAGCTCAGGAAGAGCATTCTGGGAGCTTTGCTCATTCACCTAGGTAGAAGCCTACATTGATTTAACCTAACCAGAGCTGTTCAGTTACAACTAAACGAAACAGGCATTGCTGTGTACCCTGCTGCACCTGCACCTACCTCATTTCACCCTGAACTAACAGCAAGCGCTAATCCCACTTTACGTCAGCAGGGCTGGGAATCTGCTCATGGCCAGTCACAACCAGACTTACCTCAGCTGCTTGGAGCTGCTCTGTATGTTCTCCAGCTGATCTATTTCTTTGGAAAGCCTAGCAATTTCTTCTTCCAGGTTTTTCTGGGTAATATCCACCTGCTGACAGAGCCGAGCAAAGGTAGTGGCCATTTCCCTAAAGGAAAAGCAAGGTTGTAATCATGGTTACAGAAGTCTGTGGTACGAAATAAAAATCTTAAGAAATTAAATGAAGTTTTTTAAATCTGATGGCATTGCAGTGTGCAATAGGACACAGTGATCCGAGTCTCCTGCTGTTAAAAAGACTACAAAATAGCAGAAAGCAGGAAAACTGTGTATTTTTTAAATTCAAAAAGAAACTTTAAATATGCAAAATGCCTATGCCCCCGTCATGTCTGGCCACTTTCCACTGAGCATTAATATGTACAAGCCTGAGATGGGGACTCTGGCAGCAGCACATGCTGGATCAGCTGAGTGCCCCTTCGGAAGTGCTCTATGCCACACCAAGTGCCCTGAACACCGGGAATATGGGCACTTTGCAGGGTGAGGTCCTAGCTGCCTCCTCAGCCATGTGCTCCCAACCTGAGTTCCAAGACTCCTCCTTACACAAATGGAAAACCAGTTACCATGCTGAGCCAGCAAGCAGGCCCTCCCACAGGAGAGGAGACATGTCCTCTCCTCTCTACTTCACCTCACTGGAGCACTGGTTTGAGTCCAGCTCTTCCATGTCCTCACAGAGACACACAGCTGCTGGACACGGGGATGATTCTCCTTCCTCTGCAGAAGCTGAACTCTCTATTAGTAAAGTATTCCCTGGGCTACACAGGAGAGGTGTTCTGCAGCCTGAGGGTTAGAGGTCTCATTTAGCAGGCCTAATTTTCTGAAATAATTTAATCAAAACAAGCAGTTTCAGCAGGAGAGGCTGAGAACACAGTCACCCAGATGTTACTTTGCAGAGACAGGTGAAAAACTATTTGGGAAAGATACACACAAAACCAATGGAACTGTTCAGAAAGGCTGCTGAGCTCTTCTTCCACAGTGCTGAATGGCCAGGACTGGCCGTGTAGATCTCACCCGTAGCAACCCCTGAAGCAGAACAAATGCTCACCCCTGAAGTAACTCAGTGCTCATCTATAAGCAGACCAGTTCAGCCTCCCCACTAGATCTGAGCCACCTCACATGTTCACAGTAAGGTGCTGCACAGAGAGTCTGCAACTTAAGACTAACTCTTGCACTGCATGTACATACACAAAGGCTATTGACCTTTCCAGGTGGTAATTTCTAACTCTTAAAAATCCCTTATGGTAAATGCCAAGGGACACTAAAGCTGCCTTCCCATATCACATACAGCCAGTCTCTGCTCCAGGACAGTACAGCACTGACAGGGACGGAACACCAGCATGGTACTTACTGTTGCACCTGATGGCTGCAATTAGCACTTGTGAGACTGACGATCATCTGCAGCTTTTCAGTAGCATAGTTTACAAACTGCTGTTTAAAGGCTCTCTCTTTTGCTTTAGTGGTCCAAGTTAGTCTCTCGTATAGATATAACAACCCATACATACTTAAGGAAAGAGAGATGAGTTTCCAGCCTACCGTTCTCCAAATCTGAAAGAGAGGAATCTTCATTAGCTTAAGTAAATTGCCATGCAGAATAAAGTCTAATTTCCACCATTTTTTAAATCCTCTTCACAGCCCTTTCACCACATTAGTTTAAAAAAAAGTATTATATCTGTATTATTATTGCAGCCGCATTCAGAACAGCTGGTACCCAGCAGCATGGAGAATATGCAGGTTACAGAAGCCTTGCTGCTTTTCCATGAAGGAGAAAGCAAAGCTTCCCCTAAATCCAAACTGAATGAGGCACCATCAAATCATCCTTCAATTCAAACGCTGAGCCCAGACATAAGGCATAGAGAATATGTCCAACCATCTTCAGAATAATTAGACCAATTTTCTCACTACAACCTCATTGCAGGCATCAGCATACTGCACACACTCATCCAGCCCATTGTTATTAAGTCCACTACATGTTTCATGTTGCACCCAGAACAGGAAAGATCAACTTAATCACTGCCAACACTTCTAGTACAGTGAATGTTGCTAATACTACTTGCCACTCCGCCAACAACGATGATGCTCATAGAGGTCCGCGATGTCAGTGAAGCTAAACTCATTACCAAAGGAACCATAAAATCATCCTGCGATACATTCTCTGGAGTCATGGCAGGAAGACTGGCAGTAGATGGGGTGGTAGCTAAAGGACGAGGGATCTAGAAGAGTGGAATATGGCAGCCTGAGTAAAAAGCATTAAGGAACTACACAGCAGATTGGTTTTATTTTCATATATTCAGGGATTGATTTACTGAAAGGAAACTCTTCAGCACAGAAACGTGAACAACACTCCTGATAAGCAGTGGAGGTTTTAATAGTTCTTTGCCCAGTGGGGACTGGGACAGAATAAGGGTTCTGCATAGGACTGTCCCTGCCATAAGGATCCAGAAGTTACAAATAAAAAGGTTATCCAAAAGGGTTCAATCCAAAGAAAAACAAAACTCAGGTAACAGCTGCAGAAAGTTTAGGAAAGGTTTTTTTGTTCCATTCTAACCCTGAATATAATCCAATAATCCTCACCAAAAATGTTTCACACAAAGGGACTAGGGGAAAGTAGCAGACAGCATGTAAATAATATAGGCAAATATAGCAAAACCAAGTATATTCTCATCAAGGTAAAACAAAGCACTTAATGTCAGCCTAACCTCTGACGCACTCACTTGTAAGTTTGGATCTGCTAGTCCCAACAGCACTTTCTGAGCTTGTTTAGCACCCACGAAACGGTTTACAAGTGAAGTCCATCCCAAGGAAAAGTGGAACATGATATCCTCTTGAAAATCTGCACACAGACTATGACAGTTTAGATCATAGCTAAGGTCAAACCTCCTGCAAGGAACTAGCAAGTGGAGCTGACTCTGGGCACCAGAAGGCAACAACGGTTTCAGATTTTCTAGAAATAAAACCAAACAGTAAAGGTGAGTTAGTATGGAAAGCTTCACAGCATCTTCACACGTAACATCCTTGCACTGCTGGCCGGCTCTGTCAACTACCAGAACGCAAACTGATTGGGCATTTTAGCAGTACTGATCCTAACAGAATAGGCAATTTATTACTCTGATAAAATAAAACAGTCACACAAAACCAGCTCAGAGGAAGCACTTCTGGAAAAAATGGTCAAAGTAACTAAAAGACCTCTAGCAATAGTCAAAAGATAAGGACAGACTAAGAAAAAGTTGGTTTATCCAGCAGTGCCATACAGAAAAGGCTATAGTATTGTGTAAGAATCTTGCTCAAGCTTTTATTACCAGAAGCAGATCACCACAGATGGATGTGTTGGATAAGTTACCACTTATTTAAAAAAGGGTAATAATAAAAGGGAGTGTACAAATACTTTATGAAACTATCCTGTTTTGCACTCAGAATCTGGAGAGACCCAGGGAGAGGATTATACTGCAGAAACATTATCTAACTAGTATATTTTATGTATCTGTTGTGGAAGCCAAAGTTTAAATGCATTTATAAAAGGATTAGACAAGTTCCAAGAGGAAAGGTCCATTACTACTCCCTTAAGCCATTAATCCAGATGCAGTATCTTGGCTCAGAGGTCCCTGAACTGAGGACGGATTGCTGTATTTACCCTGCTTCATCTCCCCAAGCATCTGCTACTAGTTCATTGCAGAGACAGGATACTAAGCTGGACAGACAATAGTCTTGGTCTAGGATGGCTTTTCCTTTATCATTTTATAATGGTAAACCCTTATCAGAAAGAAAATTATTTTAAAAGCAAGTTTCCTTAAATTGTCTTCCTCTAAACAACGAAAACAATTTTTTTCTCTCCTCAGCCCAGAGAAGACTCTAGAGACCTTATTGTGGCCTTTTGGTTCTTAAGAGGGCAAAAGATGGAGAGAGACTTTTTATCAGGGCCTATTGCGATAGGGCAAGGGGTGATGGTTTTAAACTAAAAGAGGCTGGATGCCAGCAAGAAATTTTTTACAGCAAAGGTGGTAAAATACTGGCACAGGTTGCCCATAGAGGTGGTGGATGCCTGGAGACAACCAAGGCCAGGCTGGATGGGGTTCTGGGCAACCTGATCTAGTTGAAGATGTCCCTGCTCACTGCAGGGCAGCATGAACTAGATGATCTTTGAAGGTCCCTTCCAGCCCAAACTATTCTATGTTTCTATACACAAAAAGTCTTAACATTCCTCCTCCCTCATCTTACCAATCATCTCCTGCTGCGACTGATGCATTGACTCATTGACTTCATTGGAACAGCGATCAGCCAGGTTCCTTCCCAAACCATCTTCTATATGCTTGTTTAGCTCCTGAAGTTTTATAAAGGATATATGCTCATCAATTTATATTTAACTCATCAATTATATTATACAAAGCAGAGATACATTAAACACTAAGTGTTGTTATTTACGGTGGGAAGAACAGCATGTTACCATGGAAATACCATGCTCTTAAACTGCACATTGTGAATGAAAACTTAACTGAAGTGACACAGGAAAGATTTCTCCAGGGCTGTAATCATTAGAGGTATATGGAAAAGGCTGTATTTTGAATAAACCATGACACTAAAAAGCATACCATTGCTATACTGCCCTGCAAAGCCTCTACTGTCACTGATGAGAGCCGATTTCATTGCTCTGCACAAAGATAAACTGATCCCTTCAACTCCCATGGGGGTCTGCTCTGGGCATTTTGCAGAGAACACGCCACAGAGGACACCACAGACTGGCCTGAAAACACAGCAGTATAGAGCTGATCAACAAGGCTGAAGCAGGTGGGAGTTATGGCAGTCATTCATCAGCAGCAGAGGTGTATGTCTGCTCCTTTAAAACACTGAGGCTGAGGAATCTACAAAGGTTTAATTATTTTTATTTTTTTTTCCTTAAAAAGTTACCCCCCCCCCAAAAAAGTGTTGGGCATTTGCAAGATCATTTCATTTTTACATCAGTTTCCTTTAGGTGCAGTGAAAATTGTTTATGTAAGGTCTTTATTTACTAGAAGTGAAGACTATGGATCAGGGTGTCAGTTTCAGTAACCACTCTGGTAAAAATGGTGGCTGAAACATTTCTGTCATAAAACAAAGCAGGAAATACTCTCAACCTTTTCTAGTTTTAGGCAGAGATATGCATATGTCAGAAAGTAAAAAACCTGCTATGCTTAAAGTGTCACATAAAATGCTACTCAAATTATAAAAACAGGAGTAGAAATTCAAGGCAAGACAAGGACCCTGGCTTCAAACATGGAAAAAAAACTTACTGTCTTATACAGCTTCAGTACTTGAGGAGAAGGGTGAAAATCTGAATAAAATTCATCAACTAAAACCGAAAGTCTGCAAATCTCATCAGTCATGGCAGAAGAGACCTGGAAGAATGCAGCAAATACATGAAATATTTCTCCTACCTTTTCCAGCCAGAGTGAAACCAAACAACTGCATTAACTGTTACAAGGAATGATATCATTACCTGACAGTCAAGAAGGATTGCCATTTTAAGGGAGTTTTATTCTTTTTTTTCTTAATATTGGCAAAGGAATATACCAGACATTTCAAATGTACTTCATGAAATGGGTGGGCACCTAAAGAAGCTGCCTTCCAGAAGGGGCAACACTTGAATCTTGAGAGATTGCTCACACTGTTGTTACTTACTTTATTTTCTACTTCCTCGGTAACACGTTTGATTTTTTCCTTAGTATCTTCTGTCAAAATGTTCAGCTGGTTTCGAACAAAGTCCAGTCTATCCTTCTGATCTTCTCGCTCTTCCATTGACTGGACTCTAACATAGCAAAAAGCAAATCACCATCACCAGCAGATACTCTCCCAGCAATGAAATAACCCCCATCACCAGGCACGGACCACCTAGCCGATGGTTTTACTGAGTTTACAGAGCAGCCAAAAAGAATTCAAAGTAACACAAACTGAACAAAGCAGAGGCACTACTCCAGAATGACTGCAATACAGGTATTAAATTTACAGGTGCAGTTAAAAGCTGCACTGACTGTACATAAGCCGAATTACTGGGTTTTGATGTAGTTACAAAAAACAGCATTTGCATTTGGGATTGTTACCACTGTACATAGTTACAACTCAAAAAAGCTGTGGGGGATCAGAAGCCTTTAATACGTCACCTGTCCTGATTTAAAAATAAAAAGGATAAATCTAATTAAACTGTCCTACTGCTGCTCACCTGCACCACTCAACTATTCCCTAATAGTGACATGGGTCTGATGACCCTGCCAAGCAAAGGGGAGGTGGCAGAAACCAACCTTGTCACAAACAGCTCTCTTCAGAAGTCCTTGACCTACCATTTATGTAAAAATTGCTTACTATCTAAAACAATTATGGCTTGAAGGGCCAGCAGAAACATCAAACAATGATTCTGATTAAGAAGGGTCACTACACAGGTTTTAGCCGGTCAGCTGACAGAAAGAAGCAGAGTAGTATGTTCAGACATTGCACAGTATGTTTTCATAGGATCTGACAATGTGAGACAAGTCAGTACGTAAACAGGTTTGCAAAAGCTGACATATTCAGGAAGATAAGTGTGTTTGACAGGCACAGTGGAGTCTGCTGAAACATAAAGACACACTATTAACAGACATGGAAAGGAGACGGAGAAGATTAAATGTGACACTGTGTACAACAGAGACAGGAGGCAGCCACACAAGTAAGGAAAAAAACCCAGACATATGCAAACCTCAAAGAACAGAATAGATGAGCTGCTACCATAAGCACTAAAAGGACTGCATGAGCAAAGAGAGAATAAAGATATTTAACGATACAATCTGGAAAGGGCCAGAGGCCAAGCCTCTGTTGGCCTGGGCCCTTCTCAGCAGTTAGCAATATTCTAACCACTTGCAATTAAGTGTCTACATCCTCCCATTTATTTTCTCAGTGTTACTGTTAACAAAAAACTTCATTAAATCAGGCGCAAGCATCACTTCTGAAATGCTAGACACAGCTAAAAAAACCTTACTATTTCAAACATTTTTAAAAAGTATCTGAAAACCTACAGACTGCCTCTGTAATTGTAAGTCAGTAATGAAGAATAACAAAGTATACCAAAATCCCTATACAAGTGTCACAGATCAGGCATAAGACTGTGTGGTGCAAGTGAACAGCAGTAAGACTGACACACCAGAGAAATTCTCTGTTTCTTACCAAGTGAGAAAAGTGAGTTTTAAAGTCCATAATGGCCCAAGAAAATCACCAGCATAGAAAAGGTTCCTCAGAGGATCTGGATAAAACAAAGCTAACCAGCCCTCCATTCAACCTACCTTTTCTCTGCTGCTGCTACGTTTATGGCGTCCATAATGTTTTTCACAGTATCTATTATCTGTTTAGCTCTGATAGTGTGCTGTTCAAACTTGGTTTTCACGGCTGACTGCGAGATACACTCCTGCGAGGGGCCCAAGCCACAACACATTACTGCAATTCCATGCCAACATGTTCAAGGAATTTCACTGTCAGAAAGCACATGCTGCTAATTTTACTATGAACTTAAACCAATGGGAAATAAAAGGGAAAAAGTATACAGAAATTAAAAGACAACAGAACTGAAATCTCAAATGAGTCTATAGCAGCAAATCTGTACCTTTGTGTTCATTCACAGTAATGTGCATAGGTTTTTAGTCTGTCAAAATAAATCAATAACGTAAAGAAAAAAGAAAACTCAGATGAACAAGTAAGATAAATCTAGCTCTTCAGAGAATTTTCCAAACTAGCTCTTGGGAATTACAAACATCTAATATGCATGCGGGTAAGATCGCCTCCCTTGAGTTTTCTTCGTTGCAATACATGCTCTTAGTTTCAAGAAGCAGTTCTGTTGACAAAACGTGACACGCTCATGTCAACACTGACCATCCAGGAACATACAATTAGCAATAAGAAGGATTAAAATCAGCAGACAATGCTCTAAAGATACAATTTCTAATTGTTATCCATCTTGAATATTATTCACTCATTTACTTATAGGACACTAACTGAAAAGACGTAAAACTGATCAATTTGGGCAAAAGCAAATCAGTTGTAGTAAGCCATACATTAAGATCTGCACTAAGTCACCAAAAGGTAGCCTTGTCTTCTGTGGTTGAGGAGACGAAAGCAAGCAGTTAAGTTTTCTTATACCAGATCTTTTAGGGTTTTTAAATTGTTCTCAGTCTGTGGATGCACCTTTCCTAGCCCAAACAGGTTTAGGCTGCTTTTGAAAGACTTGCCTATGACCTTAGTATACTCTGTAATAACAAATTTCAGCTATCTAAAAATAACAGATCAAAACAAAATAATAATAATAACGTATAAATTATAATCTCTGTTCCTCGATGAAGCAGATCTAGAAATCAGCAATGAAAGGCCAGAGTTTCATAAATATCAGCACATTGTAAGAGCTAGACTATGTGTCATGGTGGAAAGAATCTTCCCAACATTAGTATGCAGTAGATAAAAGGTTGACAGTCACTCACAACACAATCAGAAAATCCAAGTTAGAGCACTAGGAAAAACACAAAGGTTAGTTAAATGACTGGGAAAGATAAGAATGGGACAGCAGCAATTTTGCTGTCAAGTAAGTGTTTACCAAAACAAAGAGAAAAGTTATGTTTTAACAGCATAACCAAAACCAGCTGCCTTCCAGCCCACTTGCAGTATATCAAGACAGTCTTTAAACACACTGCTTATTTACATTCCTGTGCAGTGTTAGGGAAGGACTCTGCAGTATTTACTAATTCACTCAGTTATTCACTCCAATTTACAGCCAGAATTATTATTCTACCCTGCCTCCCTCCTCCACTCCTCCCCACACCATTTCTGTTACTCGCTTTTTGAACAAACTTGGGACTACAACCTGAGGCATAGTGAGGTTTGGTTTTACACAGAATATCCACTAAGGATTACTGCACACAATACACTATGCAGGCACTTCTTTGCTGTTTTGATAAGACTTTTCTTTGTATCTCACTGTAAAATTTCAGAAGACAGATACACAGACCACTGTTATTCCACAATATAAAAATTCAGAACTGAATTCAACCCTTTGCTTTAAGACTGTCTTTCTTCCTTTGTTGTAACACAGCTGACAGACACAGTAACATTGCTTTTTAAAGCCACTACATTTATTTCCAAAATCATAATTTCACCATGGCTTGCGTTTCTAGTAATGCCTGGACCAGTTTTTCTTTTCATAACTTTAACCACCCTGCACTTTGCAAAAAACATGCTTATATCTCTTTCTCACACAAAAGTCTACATAACTGCAGTTACAAACCTTTCAGAATGGCACAAATTTTTCAGAACTAACACTGATGCGTTGTTTCTAGATTTTAAGATTCTAGCTACATAAGCTCCTATCAATCCTGAATGAACAAGCTTTCCCACCAGGGAACTGATACTAAAATCAGTAGTGTGGAAGTATTAGAGAAGTAACAGTTCCTCTTCTCAGCCCATGTGGAGAAGAGGAAGAAGGCATCCAATTTTAATGAAGATACAAGCAGGAAAGAATCTAGGAGGAGCAAAACCAACAGATATAGCTAGTGAGAACATGGAACATGTGGATGCAAAAAGAGTGCAAGAGATGTTTGGCAAGTCAGAACTAGGAGCTAAAGGCAAAGACACACAGACTGCGGCTGGGAAGTGTTTGCTGAAGACAGATAAAAGCATCTGTGCTCTCCTCCCTTCCTTTTCACAGACTGGAGTGTAATCCAAAGGTTGTGGGACCTGCAGCTCCTCTGTCAGGAAACAGAGCAAATGCAAAGTCCTTGAGCCAGAAGTGCTTAAGCTGTACTCACGGCTATACAGCATCTGAATTTAGGCAGCAGTGCATAAGGCACAGTATCAAGCAGGATTTTGTTTCCAGACTGAACACAGAAAATTCTACCTGATGTATGATATTCTTCATTAGTAAATGAGGTGGTATAGCCTAGTGCTGCTAAACACAACTAATGACAATAGTATGCTGATGATAGCTGCTTTATCAGCTTAAATGACAGTACTCTGAGTACTAGGTCTGAAGATTTCAGACCTGGTGACACATTTAAGTATCAGCTTCACTTTAAAAGCAAATAAAAAGCCATTATAACTTCGGAAATTGGTCACAAAACATGAACCTGAAAGAGGCTGTGACACCAGACACTCAAATGTTTAAGTTGGTTTGTCAATCTTAATTTAGCACATTGTCAATCTCTTTAAGTGATGTGATCACACTTGTATTCAAAACCCTTCATTGTGATTTCAGGATGAAACATGGATGAGCAGGGAAAAGCATTACAGAACCAACTCTCACTGTTGGAGTTGGAAGGTGTGCTGCAAACGAAACATGTAATGTGAAAGAAGAAAAAAGTTGCTTTAAGGCCTTACCATGCTACCACAGAATGTTTTTTTTTGTCCCAGACTCTGCCAGATAAGCTTGTCATGAGGTTGTGATCTCATGAAGGATGCTTCTCATTTTGGTGGCCAGCTTGAGACCGTGACGTCTGATTTACACATGTACTGCGCACTCACAGCATCACATCATTTATTAAGTCAGACATCCATCTTAATCTTAAAATATCCTAACCGTTGAGTGCTCAACTGCGATTATAAGAGATTTTGTCAAAAAAGCTTTGGGTACAGCACCTGGCAAAATATGTTAAAGAACAGTAACTGACTTGGTAGCTGAATTTCCACTTCCTTCCTACCGGTTGAAAATTTCTTACTGTAATTCAAGGACAAAAGTTACAAGTAAAAATGCATGTTTGGCTACAACTTGTGGCACAAGCAACAGATTTCATGCCTCACGGGCTCAGGTCCTGTCAGTAGTATGAATCAATCATTTCAACAATTCAGTCCCCTAGCGTAAGAGTGTGGATAAGAAATAAATTAAAACTTCAGTCTGACATTTTCTTGCTTATGCAGGACTAAATAAAGCTATCATTTTAACACCTTTTTTGATCTACACACATTGCAGATAACTTGGTTTTGCTAAAGTCAAATAGGTTTGCTGTGATGTGAGAAGAAACACTTTTCAAAGGCAGTTTAATTTTTCAAAATAAACCAAAGGAGTTACCAGTTCTGGCACACAAGAGGCATCCTGAGCATCTACTGTATGCAAACTACAGTCACTGAGCTCAGGCTTATGGTGCATGAGATGTGCTGATCCACACCACACAAAACCATGAAGGCATACCCAAGATGCCTCCTTAAGATATGCAAGAATGGCTTTAGAGTTACGAATTCAGCAAGGCAAATGGATTCTATCAGAAAGAAATCACTCACTGTCTAGCCAGTCCTACTTCTGAAGAAACTGTAAACTCCATCTATGGATACAGCTAAACTGATGTTGAAGAATGGAATACTTATAACAAGAAAGATGCAAAAACAGTATTAATGTTCAGAGCATGAGAGCTAAGCAGTGGATAATGGTGATAATTTCAGGACTCTGGCTTTAAAAATGCAAGTAAATACTTAGATTTACACTGGTGAAAGAGAATTTCTTACTAGTGGTGTCCTGAATTACAGCGATTGATTGCAAGGCTTACATTACTTGCAAGGCTTGATCACAACTTCAGAACAAAACAAGGCTTATTGTAGAGAAAACATCTCACCAGCTCATGGTTATAAGTGATACACACTTCCTAAGAGCACCAGCTCTTTTTATATAGACTATACCACTACAGAGATCTCAAAACATGAGCTAGGAGTTTTGGTCCCTTTCCTCACAGAACAATACTTCTTTCCAACAACTACCTGCTACTCAAGGTGAGGAGATGTACAGAACCCACAGATAAGGCAAAGCTGTCAGATGGTTTGAATACCTTATGCTACTCCACTTGCTAACATGGGTAATGTTCAGTAAAATGAAGCGAAGCAGAAGTTACCTTTGCATTAAAAAACAGACAGTCTGAAAAGCCCATCATAAATACCTCAAATATCTGCTCAAAATGTTGAAATTCCTGGAATCTTGTTTGAAACCCTTCGGCAAGTGCTGCACCTGTAAAATATAACAGACCGTAAGGGAAAGAGCAATACCTCGCAGCAGTGACTGTACCTTAAATATTTTCGTTTATCAGGTTTTATGATATTTTTCTGTATTTGAGGAAAGCAAGAGCTCCCACACACCACCCTCTGGCATTCCTTGGGCCTTCTGTCTCCTGGCACTCAGAACTTCTTTTGCAGAAACAAAAAAGATGCGATTCCTCGCTTCTACAGGATCAATAACTTTGAGCTCATCAACTAGGAAAGTCAGACAGCGCTCCATGTGCTGCCTGCGCACCTACGGGAAAGGTAAAAAGCTCGTGAGAGCAAGGCAAAAACTGAGTCATCATCAAATCAGAACATCAGAGTCAGAAACAGATACTGAACCAACCCTTAGATAGCAGATGCCTTCTAATCCTACTGACGCAGCTTTTAACCATTTAAACAGATCTGGAAGCAACAATATGTTTCCGACAGGTAGAAGAAAGTAAGTCAGAAATATCAGTCAGTTACTGGCGTAACCACTTCATTCCCCACATACAGAGAAATAACCACCTCTGCAAGCTAGCTGCTGCTGGAAACATCTGAAGAGCACACCAAACTGTTACCATTTAACACCGTACCTTGCCAGCTGCTCTCTGCATGTATGCATGTATAATCTTAACCCTCACACTGCATTACTATTACAGAAATTAATAACACAAAGAAAACTTACTTAACTGTGGAGGAAAAAGGTTCTAAACAAGCTTCTCACTGTATTACCTGCCTGGATATGTTGCAGTTTGAATGTCTGAATTGCAGGTTGCATTTTGCTCTGAACAAGGAATAAATTATTTCCATTTTCTGACCAAGTAACTTATCCTTTTATTAATAAAACAAAGCTGGTGTTTTCATATTAATAACTGTATTACGTAGGCAATTTAGCATGTCTTTATGCATGTGGGGGACTTTTCTTTATACATGTATGTTGTTTTTTTTTTAAATCAACCCAAATAAGAGCCATCAAGTCACTCACATCTTCCATGTATTCTGGTTCTGATGCAGAGGCATCCCATCTGTTATTCAAGATGAAGATATTTGGCTTGGAAAGTCGTTCGTTCACTTTATGGAAAAAATGCTTTTCCTAAGAATTAAAGCACAAACAGAAAACTCCCCAGACATCCAAACAAGAGTCACGTAATCTTCTGTAAGAGATTCTGAAGTTACTGCAGTCTTTTTAAAAGGTTATTAAAAATAATTAATTAGTATTAAACCCCACATACATCTAACACAAAAAAAAGGGCTCATGATAATCATTAAACGTCTTAAGACCGACACCAGCAGTAAAAGTCAAAGAAGCTTCTCTAAAAATAGGTACAAATACAAATTAAGAAAACAGATAGTTTAGAAAACACTGGAAAATAAAGTCTATTTTGCTATAAATCTATCATGTTATTCACTGGTTTGCTTTTTTTTTTTTTTTTCCCCTCAGAGAACTTCATTTCCTTTGACACTTCTAGTCCTGTAGGAAATCTGTTGCAATTCTGTGACACTCAAAATATAGCTGGGGAAGAGAAAAAGGGAAAAGGAACACACAAGATGCAGCTCATTTCCTTTTTAAAATAAGATGCCTGGCTAAAACTGTGAAGTCTTCCTTATCTGAAAAGTACAAAAGTACTCCTGTTCACTCTGTCAAACCTGGATTCTATATCACTGCTGAACGTTTTCCTTTTAAAAATAAGAAGGCATGTGCCTGAAAAATGTATTTAGGTCCTTTGCCCGTACCTAACACCCATCATTGCTGTTTTCATAGTCGTAATGGGTAAGTTGTGACGGAGCGAATTTCTGCTCAGCACAGCTGAAACAGAAGAGATCCCTGGGCTTCCATAAGCTTTTTGAATCTGCAGCAGGACACCACTGTACATTCTGGACACAACACTGGAGATACATTAGTTTCCGTCATCCAGGGAGTAAGCATGTGAAAACAAGATGACTGCTGCAGAAATAAAAACTTTGTCTGAAGAGAACTTATGAGGGAATATTAGAAAAATCATGTTTCTGCAAAAAAGCTGTGCATGTGTAGCAACTGCCATGAAGAAGCTGCCAAGTATTCTCTCAGACCTGTTATGGTAAGAGGTAAAAATAATGCCTAAGGAGGATGAGAACATAGTTATCATATGCTTTACCTGAAGGACAAGCTTGTGTAGATGAAGAAATTACCATTTGCCACAATGCAAAGCAAAACAGAAATGCTTTAAAGCAGTTATATAATTGTTAAAGGCAACTTCATTTGCATCTACCACACTGAAAAACTAAATAAAAGGAAGAGTAAGAGAGCTGTTTACTGAGCCAAAGCCTCAATCACAACTAAGATGCACCTCCTTTCCCTCTAATATGCACCCTGGACACTGGTGTTTCCAGATTCCAGTAATTACAAGATGCTCAGTATTAAGTGAGGATTTATAAGCGCAGCAACCAAAAAACCTCAGCAAGACTTTAATGCTTGAAACAAATTGCAAGACTAACCTTTTTCTATTTAGCAGCTTCCAGCCATGCCTGACAAGGAATAAAGGTTGGCCAGAAAATCTCATCAAAAAGCACAGGATCATTTCTGTCACTGGGTGTTTAGGATCAGACAAATACAAAATCAACAGAATCTTCCAGCAGATATGTTGGAAAGACAAATAGGCTATACATTTATTATATTGGTCAGATTGGTTTTAATGGTTATTTTTCCTGAGTAAACGAGAAGCCCAAATAAAATCTGGACTTTTCTCTGCTACTTTATTACACCAAACTGAAATCTGGCACACAGACGCCTATTGTTTCTGTGTTTATATAGTAATGAGATGTTCACTGAAACACAATCTTTTTTTTTTCTTCCCTTTTTTAATTAAAAACCCCAAGCCAACTATGGTATGCACACAGTACAAGCAACCTCTACACTGTTCATACTAAAAACTTCGAAGTGTGCCTCATGTGAGATAATGGAGAAGATAAAGAAAGAGCTGTGCCAAATCCTCTCTCTTTACCTTGGATGTTGTAAGAATTTTCTTTACCCCTCACCCCCCCTTCTAAATCACATCTCTTTGGTATCACAATCTTTGATGATTAGGCTCAGAAGATGGAATGTAATGTTTTTAAACTCGTTCTTCTCATATCTACCAAACTATTCTCATTTGCTAGAATGCAAAGAGATACTGCCTTTGTACATTCAGTTTTCTACTGTATTAAAAAATACCTCAATAATTAGAAAGTTCAGACACTGCATGTCAGAACTGTGCTCAGAACAATCAGAGAATTTTATTTGTCTACAATAGGCTCAATAACAGTCTTCAAGAAATTTCTCAGTAGCATTATACTACATTTTGGCAGTCACAGTTCCAATAATTTGGAAACCTGATATTGACATTGCCTGCATTCACGATACTTAGTTTAGTGAAAACTGAAGATCACTACAAAACTGAACCAAATCTCTGGTTTTGTATTTTGAGTATCATAACAGCTCCTTTGGTCACCTTGCACTCTCTCCTTCTACAAGTCGTACAATATCTAGGCTGCAAGGTATACAGGAGTCTTCTCTCTTGAAACAAGGCTCTTTATAGAATAAAGGTGTTAACATGTCTTCAGCTCTCCAAGTTGCACAGAACTGTGCAACATGAATGCTTATTGCTAGCATTTTCTTCAGAAGTACCGTCCAATGAGGTGAATGGGTAACACTTGTCCTCAGCAGAAGGTGCATCAAGGGAATTCACCCTCTTCTGAGACAACAACACGAGGAACAAGACACAAATTCTAACTTCCTTCACCTACTTCGTGTATTTTCCTGAACTTCTGGACATGAAATACTCTGTAATTTATTTCTTTGATAATACAAGTGCCTTGAGCTGACAAGAATCAACAAACTGTAAGGCAAGACAAGCACTACATCACCCATTTATCAAAAAAGAAACTGAGATAGGAAGGACAAATATGATGCTTAAGTCAGAATAAGCAAAACTGGTAAGAAACTTGGTTCTCCTTTCCCTTGTGAGAGATATGCATCATTTCTCGCTTCCCATCCTCAAGAGCTATTCTCAGCATCTCAGTGCAATAATTCACGGGAGCTTCAGTAAAGGCCTAAGAGAAATCATTTCAGCTGTGAAACTGCTGAATACTTAAATGAAGAGCTAACATACAATCATTGCATAACATACCGTGTTCATGAGAGTTGATTCAGAATTGGCAACCAAGACAAACACATCAGCATCTAAGCAGAATTTGTCAATCCAGCTGTCCAGTTCTGTAGTGACATCTGTGCCAGGGCTGTTGAGAATAAAAAGCCACAAACTCATATTTACCCAGAAAAGGAGCATTTGATCTTTATCAACGGAAAAAAATAGAGTGGGATTGCCTCACGGCCTTGTAAGAACGTACAAAGCTTTTACCTTTAGGGTGATGCTTAAGGCAAACACAGCAAAAGCCAATTACTATTTTTAAGAGTTATCAGTCACTTGTTCATTGGACCATCTACTTATTCAAAAATACAGTTTCCATTGTATAAGTAGGCAGACCACAACTGGCAAGAAAAGTGACAGGCAGTCCATCAGAAATGCAGGCAGTCTCATAGAACAGTCCCCCATATCTCAAGTTTTAGATTTCAATCAAAAAGGACAGCTGTTCATATGATGTTTTTTTCCATTAATAAAGGCTTACTTTAAAGTGAAATGCTACAAAGCTGTGTACAGATTTAATAAGAAACTAAAATGAAGTTAAAACCATAGTGCTCTCAGTTTTTTTAAAATGTAAGTGGAATATGACATTAAGTCATATTTGCAACTCCTCAATTATTGCTGGTTCAAATTTTCTCAGTTTAACAGTAAAAAGATGATGCTCTCCTTCCAAGTACCTGTTCTCAGAATCCAGACTATTTTCTCTTCCTTTCACATTTCACCTTTAGCAGACTTTAGCAGACTTTGCAGACCAAATCGTGCCTTGTATCTTATCTATGCAAGGATCCCTTCTGGGTTTCCCGCATACCTGTGCTACGCACATGTCCCCAGGAAACAGCATATGTGCATAAGCTCAGAAGCCCAGCAGTGCCTCAAAACAACCAGCTCCCTGTGCCAGTCAGGCTGGCTTTCTCTATGACTAACACAGGACCTGAGTTTGCACCCAAGAAAACAACAAACTCCTAGTGATTTCAAAGGTGCAAGACTAGAGATGCAACAAAAAACTCACTACAATTTATCAGAATACACGCTGGGTATTGTTATGCTGGATATGAAAATAATCATAGTTATAAATTCACTCATACTCAAGTGAATTACTCTCAAATTCAATCTATACTGATTTACAAATCAAGTCATACCCTCAGTGGCCAGGAATATTGGCATTTGACACAGACAAAGCGACAGCTTTCAGAATTCTTCAAATACACAAACTGAGAAATGGTAGTCCAACACACAGGCACACACAGCCCATGTAGTCACAATTACATTTTGAGGTCACCCATTACTTTGGTATGTAGGTAATGTAAGTCTTATCAGAAGCTCTTAAAAATGAAGTCCAGATTGCCTACACATCACATGATCAGTGAATTGTTCAAAGACAGCAGATAGACAAGAGGTTGCTGTTGCATCAACCCTAGTCACGCTCCCATACTGTTTGTTTTAAAGGTAGAAGTATCCTTAGACAAAAGGTAGTCCCTTGTTAAACTAAATCATAAGACACTTGTCTGTTTCAACTGTTACAAGGCCAAAATCAGCGGGCTGATCACAGGCAGCAGTATAAACAAAAGAACAAACTCTGTAATCTCTCCCTCTCGAATAAATTCTGCTTTTCAATAACTTTGCAACCTAACAACCAAAACACAAACTATCAGTAAATCAATCTCTCTTCTAAATAATATAATAAGTAATTTAAGAAAACATTTACTAAAACAGAAAAATACCTGTCCACTAAAACCAAATCATCTCTCAGCAGAGCACATTTTGACTTGGGCCAGAAGACATGGACCAGACAGCCAGCTTTCAAATCTTTATCCATGTGAAGTGCATGAGCAAGCTGATTGACTGTCTATAAAGAACAAAAAGAGAAGGCAAACATAAACATGAACAATTCTGTAAACCAGTCTAACTTAGTTCTCAAGCAAACCTGGTCAGAACCTATCTTGAACAGAATAAGAGAATTCATACATCCTTCTGGTGAGTATTTGTGATGTTACTTTTTTAGAAGCTCTTAAGACTCACCAGCATCTAAAGAACAAGTTGTGCCTTGAAACTCAGAAGTTTCTTTGGAGCGAGTGGTATTCTCTACAGGGCTAGAGTGTGTGATACTGAGCACCATCGTGAGTTTCTCTTAGAGGTTTAACACATCAATGCAAGCAGTTGAATAAGCTAAGCACCATGAGGCCAAATGACAAGCACATTCCAAATCCTTAACAAGAGATTACTGGGAAAATCAGCATTAATCATTCAAAAAACGTACCTTGACACTCTTCTTTTCATCTGACCCTTCTGTCATGAGATAAGCCTTATCTCCATCTGTCCCTTCCACACTGAGGAAGCAGTTAGTTGTATGGCCAATCCCACTAGGAAGTACCTTATCCCACAGCATTGCATTAATAACCGAACTTTTCCCACTGCTCGTTCTAGAGGGATAGAAAATCACAGCACTTTGAGCACAGTACAGTAGCATTAAACATACCTTTGTCCTGAACAGAATACACCCTATTAATTAATCAGACCCACATACTGCAAGCTGTTTGGGGTGACAAAGCTTCAAGCCAGTACAGCACAGCTTGCCAGAAAATAGGGAGTGCATGAAAAGTTTACCTGGATAGCAATTTTAAAAGTCTTCCTTGCTATCAACATTGCCTATCCAACCAAGAAAACCAGTTTTCATTTGCATTAACACACACTAGCTTAACTAGCCCAACTTGGACTGGCAAAAGTGATTTATCTGGTATACTTCAACATGTGTAAGGAATTAGAAAAAGATCCTGGCTCAAATCTGCTACACCAGAAAAAGCATCTAGCATAAAAAAATACCTCACATCAATCTAAAACAATTACTAAATCACACAAGGGGCAGTCTCCCTCTTGTCTGTGCCAGCCTCGGCATTCCTGAGAAAAGGACCAATCAAAAATATATGTAACATCTTGGGCAAAATCATGTTTTGACCAGACAACTCCACATTCTTTCTCACAGCAAGGCTAACGGAATTCCAGGGACGCTGGAGGGAGGAGGCCATGAGAATGCCACATGACCAAGGACTACCGTCTATGGTGGCAATCAACAGCAACTCCTTAAAATGTTCATGAAATTACCACCTCAGCAACTTAAGGTGCCTTTGGAGAAACACCTCATCTTTACAAGTCAGAAAGGAGCTGCTACTTCTGGTGGAGTCTTCTAGGCATAAGATGAGGTACAAAAGGAGAGTCAGTGTACTACTGCCTTCAGGTAAGTTTCAAAGCACTGCTGTCTGGAAATTCTTACCACAGCCAGCAACGACAACCCAGAACAATTTAATGCATGTTAATCTGAACTGAATGAAGATTTCTAGGGCAAGACATGAAAAAATGTGCAAAACATCCTCAATTTTTTTCTTGTGCATAATCCTTTTAATGCTTGTGTTGTTTAATTACAGAACTTAGTCTTGCCCTTCTTTTAGAAGGCTGAGGTAGCTAAGTTAACCAAAACCCTGTTGATTAAAATTAACTGGTCAGCAACTCAAAAACTTGGGAAATCTCAGCAATGTCCTACTTCACAGTAACCCTCACCCTTCACCCATAAATATCCAAAGTCTAACTATTACACAACAGTATGAAGTTACAGAGACTTTTTGAGCTATTTTTGAGCTATTTCTAGAAAAAGTTCAGTGCTCACTGCACAACAGTTTACAAATTTATTCAAAATGTCAGAGGAAGAGTGGAATTTGCTTTTCCCTGCTCTTAACGTCTGCCCTTGGAAAAACCAACTTTTATCACACATCACAGCTCGCAAATGTATTCTGCTTTTAACTTTGGGAAATATCAAAGCTAAGTTACAATTAATTTCCTTATCTTAGATCCTTTCATCGGTTTTCTTTAAATAGCTGAACTATTTTTAGCAATATAAAACTAAGACCACTGTCCCATCCATTTTTTTCCAATACTCTTAGAGAATTTTTACAACTAAAGCCTGAAGATTTACACTCCTGGAAAACAAATATGTAAACACATGCTTAAATTTAAGCACAGAAAAACCAGTCTTCCTGAAGCAAAGTGGACTAACAGACCCCAGACTTAGCAGGCACATAAAAGCATTTGAAAGTACTAGTCTTTTACAATGACTTCTCTATTTTGTATCTGACTTTACATTCAGGAAGGCAGATTTTCATCATCTTCCGACACCTTCCAAATTCTATAGGAATAGAATGGCACAATGTTTGGAATGCAGAAATTTACTGGAAATGTTAAGGCCCTATCACAATTTCTTACTGAAAATTTACAACTTTTCCACTAAAATGAGACTCAAATGCAAAACAAAATACAGACAAGCAGAGACACATAAAACCTAAGCGCTCTGGGTTTATACATCTGACATCACAGCACCTCTTCAGAATGCTTCTTACATAGTAATACATTTGAAGTGCAACAAATACCTTTCTTTTTAACTCCCTTTCTTCCTGCTGCAAATTAAAAAATAAAAGATAAAGACAAAAATAAAAATAGCTGAGATGATCTCAGGCTGACCAAAATGAAAAGTTTTCTAATACTGAAAATAATTTATAATTTATATAGATACATGTATTTTTATACATATATATATACACACCTAAAACAAAAGTGAAATTAAATCACCCATGACTAAATATGCTACCTAAATATGCAAAAGGTTTGACACCTGATTTGTGGTAATACCACCAACACCTGCGAACTAGAACTTTTCCTAATTACTGATTCAAGAAAGCAGAACCAATGAGGCAACCATCTTTAACTCTCCATTTTTCTTCAGCTGCTTATACACAGAAACATAAGAAGCCCAAAGTTTACTTTTTCAGTACCTGTGATCAAGTACAACCAAGACAGTTGGTACGCCACAGTAACAGTTCAGTAAAACAAAGATGTAAACCAAAGATATGAAACAAAACCACTGCATTAAAAAAAAAAAAAAGAAAAAAAAGAAAAAGCCATTCTGGAGAAAATGGTGACAAACTCGGACCTTCCCAAGCCAAGTAACTGATCTATACAGGATGATTATTTTACAAAGTTTATCAATGAAATGCATGTAACGATAAATAATTGATCTGCAGTCACAAAGCAAGAAGAACATCAAAGAAACATTCAGTATCAATTAGGTAAGAGTGAACTTGTTTTTATGTATTACATTTCAAGCAACAATAACGATGAAAACGATGAAGCACTGACTCCAGTGCATTTAAGTTACAAAGATGGACATTAGGCGCTACAAGAGAGAAAAAAACAACAACAAAAAAAATCAATTTAAGTTCTGGTAATTCCATTCATTACCTGCCAAAAAAAGCCACTTTCATGTGTCTCCGTGAAAGCACCTCACCGATGACTGCTAACTTGTTTTTATATGCCTGTATTTTTGCTAGTTCGTCTTCTGTTGCTACATGCTCAAGCTCTGGGTTCTTGTATGTGGCTACACATAGAAAAAGAATAACATAAAAGTAATCATATACAGACATAGATTATCACTACTTCACATGCCAATAAAGATCTGTGCAAATTTTAATGATGAAATGGTAAGAAAACAAGACAAAACCCCATTATGGACACTGATATTAGTCTTTGTCATCTGCCAGCTCCACCAAAAGCACTCATGCCATCATTCCAGATTAATCACTAATCTAACTGCTGGATTTGATAACCCTGTGAACACAGCCTGCTGTGCTGATGTGCCCCACTCTCTGCAACACCTGCTTCCTTCAGAAAGGAAAGCCAGGACCTCTCAAGGATAGAGCAGCTAGGCTGGACCATCCTCTCCCTGCATCATTAAGGTGATGAACCAACTCCATGTGATGACACACACACCTGCATGTTGGTAAAACATCAACCGGTGGTTCTCTGCATTACATCATGTTGATCTACTTTCCAGCTTAATAATGGGAGAACCTGTTTGTCCTTTCTTGTACTTAAGATAAAATGCAACAGGACTATAAACACTGGGAGTTGTTAAGCTTTCCTCATGGAAAGAAGGCTGGCTACTAGCCCAAGCAATGCAATCAGCCTCTCATATATGTAACCATCCAAGGCATTCCTGCTGGCCTGAGTTGGAAAAAAAAAAAATCATAAATGTTAAATGAAAAATGTGACTGCTTCTGAAGGTGTACGTTTACATAAACAGCCTGTATCATGATGTACACTGTTCTAGTTTAAAATACATTCAAAGCAACAGACAAGACCCTTGCGTTTAAGATGAAAGCCAACCTTCCACAAAAGTTGCTCCCTCGGTGACATAGTCCAGCAGCTGGTCGAAAATGGCAGTGATGGTCTTTTTAGCAAGCACAAAGTGCTTCAGGGGAGAGACGGTAGCTTCTGCCATCATGCAACTGCAAGGAAAGTTACATGAAAGTGACCAAAATGCTCAGTACACCCATCTACGTGAGAAGTCACAGCTTCTTACCCACCCAGTCATTAAAAAAAAAAAGCCCCCCCAACAAACACCAAAACCACCAATAAACAAACAAACAAATCAACAACAAAAAGAAGCCCATAAAAAAAGAAACCCAAACCCCTAAACAACAACGAACGCCACTAAATTTAGATCACGTTGGTTTTATTACCCTAACAAACTCTCACTACACGCGCCGACAGCGGCTCACGAAGCTCAACGATTTGGTGAGGCCTGTCCCCGAAATACGAGGTTTTCGTCTCCTAAACCGCGGCTCACGCTCTCCTCACCGCTCGGAGGTCAGCGCTGTCCTGTAAGCCCAGCGAGGCCAGGCCCGCGGAGCCCCGAGGCCACCCAGGCAGACCCTGCCCCCGCCACGACGAGGGGTGACACCCGCCGCTGAGAGGCCGCCTCGGGTCACAGGGGCAGCGGGCGGCTCGCGGTCACTTACAGAGCTCCAGCTGGTTTCCACCGTTACTCGGCAACCGCCGCGCCACTCGCGGGGCCCTCCCCACTGCCACCGCCTCCTCCTGCTCCTCACCACCACCGCCGCCGGGACGGGGGCGCACATCACTTCCGCTTCCGCCTCAACTGCTCCCGCATCCGCCTGGCAGGGGAGGGGAGCCGCCATTTTTACCGACGGCTGAGGGGGCGGGTGGCCGCCATCTTCAGCGAGGGCAGCGGAGGAGCAACGACAGGCGAAATGGAGGACCGGGAACTGGCCGCTGGTCCTCGGATAGCAGATGGACAACCCATCTACGGGGGGCTCGCAGTAGCTCCGCGCACGGCTGCCTGGCTGCCCGGCGGGAGGCGCAGGAACGTGTAACCAGTGGCGGCCCCGCCTCACCGGGTACGGTGAACGCGGGCTGCTGGCCCCTCAGCGTTTGCACGGGGACCTAACACAAAGACACGAAGCATAACTTCGGACTCCTGTGTACTGTCAGCACCATGGTTTAATCAAAGTCGGCTAAAATGACTAAGTACTTTCAAGAGTTAAAAAGCACCAATAACTTACACATGCGATACACAGAGCATAAGAGAATGAGAACAACCACAATGACAATCACCAACACAATAAGCATTATAAAGAACACATTATTTGAGAATTACAAGCTTGCTGTATTTCAAGTATTCACAATAACGGGTGAGATTTAAATTGTGTTTTAAAGCCAACAATATTTCATATAAAGTTACTTTATTCATAAACACAGTCTGAGAAGCTGAAATACATGATACACATATAGCCTGAAGGCTCCAAAGTGGGGAAAAAAAAAAAAAAAAGGGAAAAAAAAGACTCAAATACAAATTACTTGCAGATACAAAATACTTTCAAACCCACTCTTGTAATTTCATATAGCTGCTAGGTAGAATGCTGTGCTTGGAGTAGATTAAGTTTGTGGGCATCCATGTAACAAACAACTGGATTTGATATACTCAGTGTCCCGGAGAAAAAACAATCATACTGGCATGCTCTACTAATTCTTACAGCTAATTTTTCTCATTCAAGACTGATGAATTGATGGAGCTACAGGGTTAAAACCAACAAGTCCCCAGCAGTGTCAGACCAGCTGCTTTCACGTGCTCTCAGTTCACCTCGGTGCAGCAATGTCAGAGCACTGACCTTCCACTAACCTGCATCACGCAAATAAGCCGAACTCCTGTCTTCCCTTCAGTGGCAACAACATACTGCTGCTGGCATGTACAGTCATTCTTTTTGGCCTTCCAACTTCTAGACAGACTCCACTCATTACCTATTTTTTCTATTACTTAATATATTTTTTGTTTTAGCATGCTGATCATGATCATGTGGAAGCAAATACCCTACTTGTGTTCCTACTGAGGTAAAATAAGAACCTACTCCCGTACATTTCCATTTACTTTCTGGTAGATATTAAAAAGAAAACACTAACATTAGTCCCTTATTTATAAAATCCAACCTAAGACAAACTTGAATATATTTCCTAATTTGACACAGTGAGGTGCATTTTAATTAGGAATGATTTGGCTTCATAACATTCCTACAGGATGTTCTATCATTCCCAGTTTAGAGATTAGCAGTAACACAACTCAAAGATAGACATGACATAGTCATTCAGGAGTTAGCAACAACTTTTCTCTATCATGGGGCACTCTGCTTTTATTAGAGGCTACCTTTATGTACAGAACACACTGCTGGTCTATACAAACACATGTGCTCACTTCTGTTTTTTTTTTTAATGCCCTTCCTTAACGCTCCCCCCACCCCCTTGTTATTACCATCCCCTGGAGCAGCTTTCTCTCCAGAGCTCAACTGTGGCATTGGGGGTTGGAACTAGGTGATCTTAAGGTCCTTTCCAACCCAAGCCATTCTATGATTCCACTCATATTTCACCACTAAGGGCAGGGGTTTACAAGAACCTCCCCCAATTATACCCATATGAACAAACTTAACTTTCCATATAAAAAATAATTCTTATTAGTGCTTTGTTAGCTATATTATTGCTACTATTTTAAGCCAGTCAGGATGTGTTCAAAACAGGAAATTGGCAATTCTACTACAGACATAGTCATTCTCTGTACAATGGACTAATAAAATACAGTCAGGACACCATCAGGTTGCCCTCTGCAACAACTACACCGAAGATTTAGTAGTAAATCAGCATTTCAAAGTGATGAAAATGGACTTGCCTCTTGCAAAGAAATACACGCTAACTAGTTCATTGTAGGCTTTCCAGAAATACTTCCTCTAGAAATTAGAACTTCCATAACGTGACTAGATTCAGCCAATTTTTATCCCTAACTTTAAAATTCAAACACAACCTTGCATGCCTTGAAGCTGGTAACACCAAATCTTACTGAATAAGAAATGTTTTATACATTCATTAAATCTATACAAAGCTTGCATTAGACAAATCTTACATTACAAATTTACAATAAGTGCAGGAAGAAATGTAAACTCCACCGCTAACTTCTGAGTAATTCCACCCTGGTAACTAGCACAATCAAATGACCTCACCCTTGCTTTTATCTGCCCAAGCATCCGCTCAGAAATACAGCTACAGAATGAATTGTAAAGATTTGCTTCTAATGATTATAATGGCAGGACAGCACTATCTAATCTGAACAAAGGTATGAAACCATTTGAAAGTGATTAAACTTAGTAAGTACTGCACCAGTGTTTTAAGCCAGTATGCGGATGTTTAAAACCTACAGAATTAAAATAATGGTCCTCAAATTACTAGCAGTGGCAAGGTAATTATACAGAATTATAATACAGACTAATAGAAGCTTGCTCTAAATGAGGTTGGTGACATACATCATTTCACTGTAGGAGCTAATTTAGTATTTTTAGATAATAAAATCACACTTTGTACATACTCAGCTGGGTAACTTTGCAAATTCCCTTGCAATTACTCCTTAAAACATGACCCAATCTGCACAAAAGCAATGTGTGCCTCCTAGGTGCATTAAAAGATAGAAACTGAAGGTAGATAAAGGAGACAAAAATCATGCAGGTAGGAGGTCTGTAGCAAATGTGTCAAAGAGAAGATTGTTGGATAGTTCCAGTGACAGTAGTTGAAATTAAACACTGAACTGAATGACTGTATCGGATAGGTACCACAGGAGAAAAACAGGTCAATTTTCAAAGCTTAACAAGAATACATGGTGGGAAATGCAGCCTTGCATATGAACTTCGAGATGTCCATGCCTCAGAATTTTTGGAACACCCTTATCTTTGGCATGCTGGTGTAATTTGCTGAACGTCAGCACAATGACCTGCTGCTGCAGAGGGTAACATGAGATGGACATGCAGTTGAGATCAGTAAGGCGTTACTTAAGCATGGAAATGGATGTTGCCTCTTTGTGTCATTTTAAACTTGGAAAAAATGATCTTCTAAATTACATATGGAAGCATGGGATGACCATCAGAACTGCTATCACAACATGCACCTACTTCCACTGTCCCTGCCCCCAGAGTCTGATCCGTCACACTGTGTGATTAATCCTACTGAAACCCCTACATAAAGAAATTCACAACACCAAGCTGTTCTGCATGCTTCGCTGACATAAAGATGAAAATGTTAGAACTGCTGTTAAAATTGTATTTAATATAACATTTCAGTGACTGGAAATTAATCTGAGTTCTAAAAAACTGATTACAGGGAAAGAAAGCAATTACACTGTCTCATGTATCTGAAGATGACTTAAGAGATCTTTCTCGTTTCCAAACCTCATTAAACAATCAGTACATTTATGGGGCAAATCTGCTGAATGCCTGAAATCCAAATGAGTTTTGAGGTCTTCAATCTGTCCTGTTGAATATTCACAGTATTGACACAAATAAATCCCTTCAGATAAATGAGTGCTTAAATGCTTGCAATATTCCAACATACCTGAAAAGCCCTTCCCACAGTCATCACAAACATGAGGGAATATTTTGGTGTGTTCAATAGCTACATGCCTGTTGACATTGGTATGCAGCCTGCTCCTAAAGCCACAGACTTGGCATACAAAGAAGTTCTTGCATTTGTCAAAACTGATCTTGTTTATGAGGCTGTACTGCCCACGCTCCTTGTTATTATAGCTGTCACTTAACTCTATCAGTCGACACGCATGTTCATTCACCACATGGCTATGCAGATCCTCCGGGTCATTTGTTTCATGCTCACAGAACTGACACAAATACTGCTCGTCACAGCTGTGCTCCTGGAAGTGCAGGTACAACTCACTGCTCGAGGAGAACTGCATGTCACACTGCTCACACCAATAAAGGTGATCACTGAAGTGAGTGTCCGCGATGTGCTGACTCAGATTCTCAAATATCACTGTTTTGTAATCACAGTATTTACAGATGTATGGATCCTCCTCATGGAGTTTTACGTGTTCAATGAGCTGCACTTTGCTGGAGAAGCTTTCTTTACAAACTTTACAGACATGAGTGTCTGTACAAGTCTTATGCTTTAGGATCATGTGCTGCTTTAAATCAGAGAAATACTTGCTATTAAACTCACAGAGCTCACATTTATATAAGCCACTGCTGTTGGCTCTCAGCAAAGGCCATTTCTGTTGAGCTGTGATATTCAAAGCCTGGTTCTTCTCAAATATTTTACAGGTTTCCAGAGGGATCTCCTCTAGATCCTCAGCTTCTAGTTTTTCAGGTGACACAGTTTGTGTTTCTATATCATGAACTTCTACAGCATTCACTTCTGTTGTAGAAATTTCTACAGTTTGAATATCTAGAGGTTTCTCTTCATCTGTAGGGCTGTCACTGAATATAGGTGAATCACATAAGTCTCTGCACATTCCATTATTAGTACCTTTATCTGCAGGATGAAACACATAATAAAAGCAAAAGGTTAAAAAAACTGCAGAACACCTAAGTCCATACTTAACTTTCCAGTTAGTTGTAGCAGCTTACAAATGCAAGAAGCAGTTACTTTTCCCCAGCTCCCACAATGTTTTATGTTTAACAAGTAAATAGTGGAAACTACAAATCCTTCACCTCTTCTGGTAAAGCAAAAACGTCACAGTAAAAGCCAGCAGATGTGCTCTCCAGATTCCCAGCATCTAAGCTGCAAATACACATCAACCTTTACCTTTATCCTTCTTTTTAGGGTCTGTATAGTGGAACCCCACATTTGGATGTGACCCACTCCATTGAGAAGTTCCAGCATGCACTGGACTCCCATCATCATCTGTGTCCACACTCTGCGCTGGACTGTGGAATCTACCTGCAAACATAAAAGAAGAGTCTTCTTGACATCATTTGCCCATACGAGCATCATCATGATTCTCTGATTTAACCACAGATCTCATTTGCTATTTATACATTTTAGTTGCATAAGTTTGTATACAGATCACATCATAACCTACATTAAAGAAAGTAACAATAAAAACCTTAGAAATTATTTCCGTATGTACATAATGTAGCAAAAAAAAAAATCAAAAGGTGGCAACTCTGTCTTTAACATTTCATCAAAAAACAGTTGATTATACTGGAAAAAACTGAAAATCCTTAAATGAAACTTCACATTTGAGACACAATTTAAAAAGCGTATTATTAAATATTTCTGGACATTTTAAAATATAGTACTTTAAGACCTCTGGAGACTTGCTCACTAAATGGTAAGACTAAAAATAAATATAATAAAATTTATCCTCCCATTTGCTGTGCTAAACTTTACATCCACCAGTGGACATCTTATAAAAAGGTATTTGGTTTTCTGTAAGTACAAGTACAGTTAAATGCAACGGGTGGTAAATTCCACCTGGACTCTCAAGATTATTTTCATTCAGCTTTACATTACCTAGCTAGTGGATAGTTAGACAAAGTAGTCTAATCATCATTATAGATCTAACATTGAAGAATCTTTTTTGTCATCACTGATTCGACTTTGAAAATTTTACTTCCATTAGAATGATTAAACAGACTTCCCCTAATCTGAGGCATATCTCATCACAACAATGCTCAGAAGTCACCCACTATGCATTTTGTATTCTGTGAACTTCTACAGAATAGGAGTGCCACTCACTTAGTGAATAATTGTATAATAAACCCCCAAAACATAGTCTTACCTCTGTTTTCAGAAAACTTTATATCTGGCTGTTTTATAGAACAGACACTATAGCAGTGGTCAGAAAAAATGCCACTGTTGTCTATGTATTTGGGTGCACCCGAAGAATCTAAAACAAACAAAAAAATGTTTTAATGCTAATGCACTGATGTAGATACATATGTATTGAACGTTCAGCAAAATTCTCTTCATCAGCCACACATCTTCTACCAAGTTGGGTAAAGTCAATATATCTGGACCACAGCTTCTTGTCCCACCCTTTATGTTACTGATTCTCCATGTATTAGCACATGTGGTCCATTCTCATTAAATAAGTAGTGTGAGAAAATCCTACATAACTCAAGCTCTAGACTGACCTGAATATCGAGAAGGATGTAGAGTCTTCCTTTTCCTCTTTTTAGGATGTTCATTCATTTTGAATGGCCTAAATGGACTGTAAAGTAAAAATACTCAAGAGTTAGGCTTGTTTGTATTATCTTTCACGATTTCATTAAACGATACTTTTGAAATCCTGCATATTAAATACAAGAACTTTGTTCCTACTCCCCCTCCATCTTTTTAAAGTTAAGAATGCAAGTCTAATTTTGTATTTCTACCCTGAAACAAAAGAAGGTTCACCATAAAGCCAGACTGGTCAGGACTCTGGGCATTCAAGAACTCAGTGTAACTTATAAGGCAGTTCTCCAACACCCTGCTGCTTTTTGTCAGAGAGCAGCTTATTCTGGGGCAGAGTCTTTCAGATAAAACTTTAATGTTGACAACATCCAAAAAGTCCTGCTCTCTTACCAAAATATCCTAGACTCTTCAGTAGCAGCATGCAGAACAGCCAAGTAGCTGATGGCTGTACAGCTTCCAAAAGTAGCAAACAGATCAGCTTGAGAAGATTTTCATCTATGAAGTGACATTTTAAAACATGTTAAAACTTCAGCACAAGATAAATTACAAAACACAATCAGATGCACAAGCATTACAAAGAATGAAGCTATGTAAATTGAAGCTAGAAAACAACATTAAAAGTTAGTATTAACTTTAGAGTATCAATAAGAAAGATAGAGGCACTATTTATTTTACTTTGGTCCCAGCTTAGTCTGTTTTCGCTGCATTTGGCAGCTCCTGACAACAGAAAATACTTGCAAGACAACACCAAATATACTTGAGCTATGTAGTTTTGTGTTTTGTATTTGGACCTATGACATTTAGGTCTAAATAATTTTGAAGAAGAAAGGGCTGCAAGCATGGAACCTGATGTGGTTTGTACTAAAGCACTCAGGGGCCTAGGATCTTCTGAAGCCAATGCCATCCACCCAGGGATGAAAGCAGGGAGAAACAGCCCCTCGTCAAGCAAATGCAATTCTCATGAGATACAGTAATTTGTCTGAATTCAAATTTTATTTTAAGGAGAGAATTACATGGGAAAAATAGTTTGGGGTTTGGTGGTGGGTTTATGTTTTGTTGCCTTCTGGAAGCATCGAGTACCCGCAGCACTTTTGACTGCGAGGGAAGCACCTACAGTATACTGAGGCAACACGTTTTATCCCAATTACCGCGGCTAATCTTCATCCCTGTTAACCTTTTACCCACGGATCGGGTAGAGGGACGGTAGCGCCTGTTCTTCTCCAGCGGTTTTTCCCGGTAAACCTTCCGGCGGTTTGGCGCGGCTATGGGAAAGGCTAAACAAGGCCCTAAACATAGAGATCCCTGCACCCCCCGCAGCGGCCTGCTCGGAGCCCGGAGCCGGAGGCCGCAGCGGGGAACCCCGGGCGGGAGCGTGGCATCATACCGCCCCGCCCCGCAGGCAGTGGCGGGGAAGCCGCAGGCAGGGGCGAACCCTCGGGTAGAGAGAGGGCCCGGAGAGCAGCCGCCACCGTGGGGCGCCGGGTGCGGACTCACTCTTCAAATGGCGCCGGGACGAGAGGTAAGATGGGGAGAGCGCGAGGCAGTGGTCAGCGGCACGCAGGCCGCACCCGGCGTGGTAAAAAGCTGGAGGGAGGCGGGCGCCGGTTTAGCCGCGGGGCGCCCCCGAGCCGCGGGCGACGCTGGTGGCCGCTCCCCTCTTGTCTCGCCGCCGGGACTCACCTTCCGCTCCGCGCCCAGCCACGGGGCCGATGCCGCCTCCCGTGTGCCGCGGGGGAACGGGCGGGCCGCTCCAAGGCCGCGGCGGGAGGGCGCCGCCTGGCGGCGGAGCGGCCGCATTCTGACCCCCGCCAGTCCCTATCGCAGCGGGGGGGGGGGGGGGGGGCGAGGGAGGAGGCAAGCTAAAACTGTGTCGTTTAGGTACCCACGGTCGTGATTTTTGTATCATTGCGGAACCTGACCCTTAAGGCTTAAAATAAACATGAAATAAGGTTTGGAGAATTGAAATAATCAATTTCCCTCATCTCAAGGTTTTCCAAAGTTATAATCACAAAAAACAAATACAAAACAAAAATAATTCCCCCTTTTCGCTCGCTCTGCCTTCACTCTTTTAATGCCATAGGAAATCTCAGTAACTTATACTTCTCCAACAAGCAGAACATTTCAAACAGCATCTTATTATTTTGAAAAATAAGAAGTTTGTTTTGAAGAGCGAAGGGAGACCAGTACAGTCACTTAGTTTGAGGACTCAGATGATGGAATTTCACCAAGCATTTCATTCATGGTGCTATTCTGGCTCTGGCTGAGCCCGAAATTGCCTAATTTTAAGGTAAAGCTTTTTATTAGCAGAAAATTCACAACATGCCCAATGTTCTTGCTCCACTGATCAGTAAAAGTAAAAATTACACCCTGCTTCTGGCCCCAGTTTTATTCACTGGTTGGAAGTTGAGATCAGACTTATGCTGTTTATAAAATCCTACCTCTAGCCTTTGTCCTTCCTGCACCTTGGAGACATCTCTTTAGGGAGATGTGAAAGAACTTCATCCTGTGGTTATACATAAGTTTTGATGGCAAACAGCATGAATATAAGTAAAGGTGTCCTTTTGAAGGCACTTAATTTCTGAGGGCTCAAGCAGTGTGAGTGTGTTGTATTCATTATCTCCTGAGATGAATTACCAGACAAGATCCTGGCATCCCAGTTTGTTTTGTTCTCTGCTGTTTATTCCAGCCATAGAAGCTGAGGTTTTTCCAGGACACCTTGTGTTAAAGTTGTCATAAATTGGCTATAGCCACCCCAGTGGGTGGATGCCCACATATTTCTCCCTCTACTCACCATAATGTTTTTCTTGTAAATATTCTGAAAACCCCACTTTCTCCAGTTCCCAGAGGAGGGCAGTAATGAGAATTTAAAATCTGTAATTTGCCAAGAGAAAGGGGGAAAAAACCCTGAAAACCCCACAAAATCGAAACACTAAAACCCCAACTTTTCTTTGAATTCAGTCCTGCTCAGTGAGACAGACTTTGGCTAAGCAAAGCTCAATACACCATCTGTACCTTTTGATTGATCTCTTCTCCACACAAAGCAGCACAGCCCAATACCACCTATGTCCCAGTGAAAAGCTAAATTGGTGAGAGCATTGAGGAGTATCCCCTTTGAAGCCACTTAACCAGTTCAAAGTCACAGGCATCAAACAGGGATATCAGTGCTTCAGGAAAGTCTCATTTTCTAAACCACCACGTGCTTGGGGTATTCAGGCAACTCTGGATTAGGTTTTCATCACTCAGAACCTATCCCAATTGAAATGTAGAAAAGCCCATGTCATATTCACCTTATTTTTTAAATGAGTACCACAAATGATGCTCATTTTAATTAGCAGGGATTCATCCTTTCTGAAATAAGGATGGAGTAAGTCCTTTCTTCAATGAAAGTAGTAATCTCAGCTCACAATAATAATCTTTGCTGAAGAATATTAATGTTTAAAAGGACATGTGTGTGTGGGGGGGGTTATCTGAGCTATCTTGTCTAGCATCAGATTTCTTGCTCTTTTGCTACATAGGTTCAGATTTTGATTCAAGTTTTTCCAGTGCAGGTTGGAAACCAGATTGATTTCTGAGCATAAAGTCAGGAGGGCTCATTGAGATTCCCATGCTAAAGCAAACTGCTCATATTGCAAGTCTTTCTTGTTTCACCACATAATTTTGCAAGTTTTTCACAATCTTCTTATGCTTTAGGGTCAAGACTCAGAACTACCCCAAATAGTAATGGCAATAAAGTCTAAAATTTGCATCTGAACTATCTAAAATTTCCCCCGAACCGTCCCGTGCATTCAAAACAAGGTACTAACCACTCATAACCATTTCAGTTACCAGGAAATTTAAAACTCACCTTTTGCTGTAATAGAAGTTTAATCTGATAGTTCAGGTTACTGAACTAGCTACTTCAAAAATCACCAGCCATTCTTTGATATACTCTCCCCAGTCCAGAGCTCAGCTTGAGCTTCAAAATAAAGGTAAGGATAATGATGTCCACCTTTTTTTATGGAGTTTGATCCAGTGCAGGCGGAGAACCTACTAGAACATAGCCGTTTTCAAAGCTAGGCAGCAGTGACTGGAAACAGCTGACCAGCACACAAAGGTCAAAGGTTACTGGGGACAAAGATGTGCAGAAGTGACCTGATTAAAAGCACTAACACTTCCCTTGTCCCTCCAAAAAAGTGGAATTCTCAGCAAGAGAGCTCAAATGCCTCCCATGGTAACTGTTAGCAACTGAAGTCCAAAGCAGACCAACATGTCCACAGAGCCAATTCCACTGCAACCCCATGCTCTTACGTGCACCAGTGACTAATTTCCCAAACAGGTTTTTTACTCTTTCAAAATTGGCACTGGATCAAAAAATACTGCCTAGTTTTTTGGTTGTTTTTTTTTTTTTTTAATACAGTTTCAATAATGAAAGCATGAAGAATGTTTTTCAAAACCAGACTTATGTAGCATGGACTTTCTTCCAGCTGGAACACTTCAATAACATCTGCTCTCGTATCATAACTTTGACAACCCACATCTAAATTACTCATTTTGAAGATCAACAAGTACAAAAACCAAATGCCACATGTATTTAGGACAGCCCATCTGTAAGTAACGCAAATTCCATGTTACCCCCCCGATTAACTGATGTACAGAATCTCTATGTCCTTTCTTCTAGCCTTTTTTGAAAGCAGAGCTGCAACACCAAATCACACCTTCAAGACTTGAGATTCCCTAAATTCTCACTTCAGAATTCACAAGTGTATCAACCACATTATTTTAATTTAGTTAGTGTATATACATTAACACTCAAAAGTGTGATAAAAAACAAAGTAGGTTTTTTTTAATAAACAGCATGTGATACAGACCGAGAAGATAAATAAAAAGCAGACTTTTTACAGTTTTCCATGAACATGAACTACAGTAATTATCATAGGCCAAACTTTTGTTACTTGAGTAGCACAGCAGAAGGGGGAGAAAAGGGATTGTGGGTTTTTGTTTTTCGTAAGTACTGCAAGACTATTCTCAGTATGACAGCACATGCATCTTGCTGCATCTTAAATACTTTTTTGGCCCACTAAAAATGTCTTGCTTTCTAACTACTTTATCACAGGACCTTTATCACAGAATGACAAAAACATGGCAACACACCCCCCCCTTCCCCACCCCCCAGTAGTGGTTATTTCAAAGATAGTTGTCTCATTTTAAAAGGTATTTAAAGCACTGGTGGGTGTTTGTACTCTGCTTTTGATGCAGACATGTAACTGCTACCAGCTTCCACAAAGTTACACATAAGCATTAAGAGATTACACCCTCCTGAGCTCTATTCATCAAAAATGCTAACAGGATCCTGGACTGCCTTAGGAAGAGCATTGCCAGGCAGGCAGGTTAGCCTTCATCCTCCTCCTCTGCTAAGTGCTGGCATGGCCACACCTGGGTTGCTGGGTCTACTGCTGAGCTCTCCAGCATGAGCTAAACATGGGTGTAAAGGAACAGCAAAAGGCTGTGAAGACAGAGGTGAGGCTGACAGAGCTGGGATTGTTTAGCCTGAGCTTAGGGAAAGCTCAAAGGGCACCTTGTCAATATATATAAATACTTGATGGAAAGCAGCAAAAGGCAGGACTTTTCTCAGTGCTGTCCACTGAAAGGACATTGGGCAATGAAATAGAAGAAATATTATATAAACATTAAGGGAAAGCTTTTATTGTAAACTCTTTCTTGGACAGACTCTAAACCCGAATGGACAATGTCCTGGGCAACCTGCTCTTGGTGACCCTGCTTCAAACTAGGTGGCTGGACTAGACGATCTCCAAAAGTCTCTGCCAACCTCAGCAATTCTGTGTGATTCTAGGAATCCTTGCAGTTTAAATTTTCAAGCCTGAGAACCCAGACCTCAGCCTGCAGCTGTATACATTTTTAATCCTTATCAAAATACACTTTTCTGTTGGAGAAAGTATGTGGATATTCAGTTAGAACTTGCAGAGGTGCAAGGGGGCAACGGGAAGGGATGATAATCCCAAATCATGAGTTATAGATCTATCTTTACAAGAGAAGATGAAGAATTTGGACCACAGTGCCTGCAAGGTAAGAGGAGGATTCATCTCCATCTTTTCTTTCTCTTGCCCCTAATGAAACCTTAAGACAACATTGGACAGCCTAGGGCAGTTGATAATTCAGGGAACAGAACACTATTACTAAAGCCTGGAAATGGTTGAAAAGTAGTTAAACCAAAAAAACAAAGCCGAATGAGATTGCAGCCATGAATATCCTTGTTTTGGCCCACAAGGATTAAACTACAACAGACAAGATTCTTAGGAGAAACAGCTTCTGCCCAAATTAGGCTTTCTGTAACTTCAGCAATACAATTAAGTCAGGTTTAACTGCGATTAATTTTATTACTAGAACAGGTTCCTAACAAAATTTATGCAGTTACACTCAACTAAATGGTTCCTAAACCAATTTAATAGCTAGTGGGGATCTGGCACCAGAATTTCAGAAAGAATCAAGATAGAATAGTGTATTTTTGGCCTTCCTAATGCCAAAGGAATACTGCATCACATACAGAAGTGACAGTAAGGACACTTAAACTTACAACACATTTATAAAAACCAAAGCGGACTAGCTTCAAAGTACAGGCAGACCATTGCTTCAGTTGATCTTACCTTACAAATATTTTATGTTGTTCTTAAAAGGATATGCTATGGGCATATCCCTTTTTAGGGGAGAGGGGTGTTGGAGAGGGAAGGGAAGAGACAGGGATGGAGGGATCCACCTCTGGTTTTCAGTCAGGAGTGCTAATACAGCAAGACCTTATCCTTTCAAGAGTCTTTCCCATGAAGTTCAGAAGTCAAGAATACTGTACTGCCAATTAAGAACAACTATTTTTCCTGAGTGCGGATTCTACAAGTCTTTATACTATGAAAGAGCAGGAAGAGGAAACATTTAAGCTAGCAAACAATAAAAATCCTGAAAGTCTCAGGAACAAAATAACTATAGACATCGTCACAGTAGTTATGGAGAGCTGAAAAGGCTAGTTAATAAAAGACTATTTCAAAATAAAATTGTCAAGTGTTTAAGTGGGCTGCTAGCAAACATTCCTCTCATTACAAGAACACTTCACACTGCATCATATGAATAAACAATCTGGAACTTTAATATACATATAGTCTAATTCTGATTTCATATGCTACTGTGAACCCAGAGTGATTCTGATGAAATCAGTGTTATATGAGCATAAAATGAAATCAGAATTTCCTCAAAGACCAGAGCACCTACAGATTTGGCTAATGTATACTAATAGAGAACTTTCAGTTTCCAGTTGGCTTCCCTTCATTAACGCAGATGTAAAAAAACAACAAAACAAAAAAACCAACCCAAAACACCCACAAGCAACAGCAGAGGTGGTGAGCTACACATCATTTTGGACAGACAGAGCCCTACTGAAACTGAGACAACTTTCAGCATGAAAAAAAGATACAAATTCATTATATGTATGAAATATGTAATGCAAAATTAAATTGGGATTCATCAACTCTCAACATCCACAGTGTGTAATATTTAAAAAGAAAAAGCAAAACAAATAAAAAAAAACAAAAAAAAAACAAAAAAAACCTAAACCAAAGTGTGGTTCTTCTTCCATTCAAGTAAAACTAAATGAGGAAAAAGTTACAATAAAAAAAAATATCTTCGAAGCAGCAAGTTACAGTTCTTTCTGTAATACCACACCATTTTCACTAACTTGAAGCATTTTCAAGATGTCAAAGACATCAACAAAACAGTAATTTCAAGTGGCTTTTCTGATACTTGTTTTTTGAATGGGTCCAGCCCAGGTCTGCAACCTGTACAGACATGCAAGAAAGGAGCAATTCACAATTATTCTGAAGTACAAATGTTGGAACATGCCAGTTACAAAAATGACAAAGCAAAGAAAATACCTTCAAACTGTCAACAACCATGGGCTACTGATCACCTGAAGAGCATTTAGTATTTTACATAAAAAAGAAAGCTGGAAAAAGCCAAAAACGTCCTTCCAAACCCACTAACAGCAGGGTCATCACATACAAAGTTATCTACAAGCTTGGTAAACTCTATATTACCCTTAATATGCAGGCTTATATCTTCTCCGCAAGATACTGACAATTTTGGTTTTATTTAAATGCTTTTAATTAAAAAATATATATATATACTGCAAATCCATTTTGCTTATTAAAAAAACTACTCATGCACCCTTTTGGAACAGAAAAGAGTGCATGTATAAATCAGTACAGGTGCTTCTTCTGCTACTTTTAGGAAAGCAAAGAACGTATTTTTAAGAAAAATTAATTATCAGCGCATGTTCTGTCATTAAATCAAATATATTTCACAGTTGAAAAAGTTACTGTTTTTAAATTTGTATTTCCCTAAATCACCATTTCCTAATGCTTTGTAATAAAACACATGCCCAGTCTTGGGCTCCTTGCTGTTGTAGTCCTCCTACAAAGTTCTGCAGAAGTAAGGTGTTCAGATTCAATTCAAGCTCAAAATAAGCTACTTAGTGTTTTGTGCAACTGATTCCCAGAACAAAGGGAACATTTTTGAATCTCCATGATGTGCGAATAGTTAAAAAATAAAATAAAAATTCCAAGCCATCTCTGTAAAAATCTAAAGCTCAGTCAAAGGTGTTTTTACAGTCTATAAGCAGATCTTATTTCTGATACTGAGAAAAGATGCCATCCTCTTATGTCAATGTAAGTAAACAGTACCTCCACTAACTTAAGTTATATCAGCACAAGACTGGCACAACAGGATAAGGTAATTAGGGTTAAACACTTTGAAGCTAAAAGGATTTATTAATTTGTTTTGAAACACTGGCAGAACATTTTTCAAACACCCTTTCTGATTACGGTAAGAACTACTTAAAGCGCGTGAGCTTCTAGTTTTGTATTTTTTTCTTTAAAGTCTTATATAATGATGGTATGACTTGGGATAATGAAAACCTTTCTTTTACTACTTGATATTCAAAACTTATACAGCATGTGCATGGCATTTACTTGCAGTACGTTTTGGAAACAGAGCCTAATTCCTCATACCTTTCTGTTCGTGCAAAAAGGGTGCAGAACACTGTGCTTGAACTGAAAGACATCTATACTTGTATTTACAGAAATAAATGGCTAGGAAGGAACAAAGTACAAAAGAAGTTGGGCTCATCCAATAAATTTGAGTTGATATTTTCATTCAGGCTGGAAAAGGCTGACCATCTCTTAGATAAATGAGGTAAAGCATTGTTTCAATACCAGATAAATATGGATAATATAGCACCTAATGTGGCATTTGTGCAACAGTTTCACTCAGTTAAATTAAGAGTTATAGCTAACAGGGTTTCAGATTGTGAGCTAAATTTAAATTGAATACAAGCCATATTTAAGAGAGCTGAACCTTCAGAGTGTGTTGACTGCTAAGTAATACATACAAGGGTAATTTTGCTCTAGAACGTAAGACCAAGGTCAGCAGGCATTAAAATATTCATATGAACAAAAAGGATGATGTAACAGTCAATAAAAAGAGTATTGGACTACTCCAAAATATTCAGCAGAACAAAGGAAATACAACTTCACATTCCCGATACTATTCTTGGAACTTCTGTAGTTTTCACAAAAACAGGTTTCCCCCCCACAGCATCAAGTATCCGTGTGTGCAGTAATCGACTGCAGGATCTTGACTATGAAAGTGTCTTGAAAGACCAAAGTCTTCACTTTACAATCCCCGAAGTCTTTCATAATGTAATTGATTGCACATTTTTAATATATTACAATTTTCTAAATCAAGCCAACCACTCATTACCTCATCAGTACAGCCTGCACAGTTTATTTATATACTTATATTCTAATCTAACACCAACTGTCAGCATATTTTATATCACATGGGGTATTGCACTTTCTGAGTGGCGCCCTGGTGCATGTTTGCCAGTGAACTAGCTGAATTCCTGAAAACCCCAGACCTTCGCAATTCACTCCAAGTGCTGCAAATCCAGCAAGTTAAAATACTAGGGTGAACATCACCCTCAGAACTGTGGGCTTCACTAATTAAAAAACCTGTTTAATAAACAGAAAAACACTCCTACCTGAAGCTGTGCGTAAGGGCAATCTGAAATCCTCAGTACTTCTGAACAGTTTCAAAAAGTGGTGCCAATTTAACTGATTGCACACATTGTATTGTGTTAAGAGGACAACAACTACATTTACAAATATATATTACACACACACACAAAACAGACAAAGCTATAAAATGTTTGGTAACTCCACATGCTTTGAGCTAGCCAACGCATCTGCTGTATGTTGAACTGCTTATTACTGATCATATTGAAAAACCTAAATTTCTCTTTCTGATGTATGTGTTACTGATGTTATCTGGATTAAACAACCACTTCCAAAGGAAGAAGAAAGAGGAGAAATGGTGGACCCAAAGACTGAGGGCTTAAATGGACATTCCTTAAATAGCCAGCATATCACTTCAGTAATGTGATGAGTGATGCCAAAAAATTTTTGAAGAGACTTAGGCCAAGTTCACCTCTGGCATTAGTGGGTGTATGTCCCACTGCTTTAATGGTACTTGTGTCCTCTTTCACCAGGGTTGAATTTGGTCCTAGGAGTATATCTGGTCACCTTCAGTGACGTTAATGGAAACGGGAGCCTTGGACAGATAGAACTGGGCTGCAAAATTAAAAGAGTGAATATTGGACAAATCATGTAAATAAAGAATATATATTAATAATAGTTCCTGTTATATAAATAGCCTTTATAAAAAAATAATCTTTCAATAATTTTAATAACTCACCTTTCTTTAGGTTCTGGAAAACATGTATGAAAAAAATCTATTCAGTTCAAGTTAGATTAAACCAAACCTAAGATGAACAATACAACTCTCTGTTGCACTAAACCCAATTTGACCATTCAATTTCCAGGTTAGTCAGTTTTGGGGGATGACAGGGAGTTTCTTTGTGAAGGTATGAATTGCACCTCTAGAAATACTGAGCAGAAGAAACACCATACCAAGGGGGCCTATTTCCTACTGCTTTCAGAAACTGTGCATGTGACTGACCCAGAAATCAAAGGGTCATCTAAACCCCGTAACTGTTAATGCCTCTGAGCACATTTAAAAGGCACTGTCCTCTCACTATTGTTTTTAGATCTTTGAGCTTAAGACTCCTTTCCTTCAACCTATGCTGATTTTAAATATTTGCTATCACTTGAATTCTCTTTCCACCCTTGTCAATCCAGCATAGGCTCCACCTGTTGTACCAGATCTAAGGTAATATGTGATGGACTCTATGTTCATGCTAGCACTATTTTCTTTCTCCTTCTAATTTATCCTATCAAAAGAAAAAAGGAAACGTTCTTCCAAGTTTACCTTTTTGGGCTTAAGGCATAACATGAAGTCACACATCATACTAAAGCTTAATTTTTGAAGTGTACAATTTTCGTGCTATCTGAAACCCTGTTTTACATTATTTTTCAACAGTTGTCTGAGCAGTTCATCTCCTTTCTTGCCATAAATTCAGATGTTCTTCATGGTTTGTGCAATTCCTATGCAACCAGTCTTTGCTGCTAATGGGTATTAACAGTGCAGTACCCACAAAGTGGGCTATCAGTTCTTGTTTTCTTTGCTTTCATTTCAGTTCAAAGCATGTTGTTTTATTGTGTGAAAGATCCAGTCCATTTTTGTTGTCCAGCCACCATGGTGAGCATCATTCATTTGCTTCATGAAGTACTCCAGAGCTTCCTGCTCAGTTTTGTCCAATGCAAGGGTCTTTCGAATGTATGCAATATCATCAAAGGACTGCAGTTCTGGCATTCCTGAGCCAAGCATCATGGAGAAAAGATTTATGAAGAGATTGGCATGCTGCCGAATTGCTAGATAAGCCTTATAACACATCTCCTGGAACCTGTAAGAGACAGGGGAAAATAAAGTCAGTGTATTTCCCTGTTAGATGGGTATTACTTTTGCACTTCCAAACCAGTTTTCAGGTAACTGGACACTAAAGAAGTAGACAGTCCAATAAGAACACCATAATGTTGCTGAGAAAATATACTCATCTTCCTACTTAGGTTTATCTTAATTTCAGTAAGAATTAGTAGTGGTCAGACTAATAAAATAGCCAGACTGAAGACAGGATTTCTAGCCTTTAACCTCATTTGCAATTCATGCAAGTATTTAACACAAGTTTATGGGTGTTCACACAGCCATTTCACTCATTGCTACTGGTATTTCAGATTTCAAAGCACATTTCCTGATACACAGCTGCAAAAAAATGCTTTTCTGGTTATCAGAGATGCACTTCTCCTGTAGTTTTAAAAGGGCAGTAGCTGTTGCTCCTTAGATAACTCTACAGAAGGCACTGAAGACAGGGGAATCTGCTGTATCACAACACTGTGTGAGAAATGCACATTTATGCTGAAGCCACTAATTTAAGCCAGGTTAAGGAAAAAAAAAAAAGGCAAAAAAAATCTTCACTGCAGCATTGAGACAGACACTATAATTTAAAATCTGTCTCTGCCTAATAATGAAATAAAGATTAAAATTGAAACCTCTCAAAGACTGGATCTCTGGAAAGACACATCAGGTATTTATTATTTTAAAGTTATCTTTTCTTAGCAGGTTCTGCAGGATGTCATAAACTACACAGGCCAGCTGAAGAGCTGATATCACAGCAGCTATAGGAGAGAGAAGCATTGCTGAGTAACCGGCAAGCCTCTGATGCACATTACACCTGATATTTGAGAATTCTTGTTTTGCAGTTTCACAATGCTAAGAGGATTTTAAGTGTTATCAAAAGAATTTCAGATATTTAAAATTTTACCTTTATTCACATCTGTCCTGATCCTGAAAAACTAAAGTGAAGTTTCATGAACCCAAGTCCATATATGAGCTATCACCTACTGAGTGATAAGTGGACAGCTGATCTTCAGCTACAGGATTAGAACATTCCCGCTGCAAGCCAATTAAAATACTACTTTTCAGTTAAAAGGTCTAATAATTAAAGATAAAATGTACTAAGTAGGTATTTTAGGTACAAAATACTCTGGAAGTTAAATGCTGCAAAGGCTCACCTTTCAAACTCCCTTGTTTTAGTGCATTCTTGGGCTCCTTTACTAATCACTATTAAGAAGTCCTGTGTTAAGACAAATGGCACACGCTCCCTTTTATAACCAAATTTTTTCTTCTTGTGATCCAGGAAGTGCCCAAAGTCAATGTGAAACAGCTTGGAAAAACAGAATGGTATTTTAAGATTAGTAATTCTTTGTATAAAGTATGTCATAGTAAAACTGATCATTTACTTCTAGTTCAGATGGATTTTTCTTTTTAAACCAACTCATATCAAGGTGACATATGACATCATGCTATGTTTTTAGAAAAACATATCTTACTTGTCCATCATCTTTCACCATGATGTTACTATTGTGGCGATCACCAATGCCCAGTATAAAGGTAGCAACACAGTAGCCAGCACAAGAACGTGTAAACAAGTCAATAGCTGCATCATACCTATTGAAAACAGGAGATACTTTCATACAGGTGTTCTAAAGACACAGAAGTGTAGATTTCCACCTTCCCTCCCTCCATTGAGGACAAGCCAACTTCTACTATCCTCTATCAATGAAGCAGAGCTTCTGGACCTTATCACAGTAAGGCAGAAATTCAGCATACTCTTGAGAACAGTAGTATTTTGTTAGATCACGGAACAGTAAATTAGCTATTAAATTGACTCTTTTGAAGTCCAGCAGTTTTCATTTTGATGAGCTAGTGTTAAAATAGAGACCTAAGCCATATTTTCATAGCTCTACTTCCAACTTAAGCTTTATCATTGAGAGAAGCCACACAACTGAACCCATTAAAAGAGCTACAACCAGGAATCCTAGGCAAACAAGCCAAGGGGAAGAAAATAAACCAACCAAAACCAGATGGACATAATTCCACACTTGATCAGCTTTAGTTCTCTGGAAGTTTTCATCAAAGAGCATATGAACAAGAAAAACAAGCAACAGGAAATCTCACATTTCTCCTTTGTTCTTGTCCTTGAGCCACTGATGCAATGTATGGCTGTTGAACTGCAATGCTCCTTTCAAGCCTCCTTTACACTGAATCTGCATGATGGTATGAGAGCTCCTGACTACCTCGATGAGTCCCACACAGTCACCAATAGACAAACAACCATAAGGCAACATCCTAAAAGAAGAAGGTTTTTTTTTTAAAGTTAAGTTTTAAGACAGCAAGCAACAGGTATGTTTGATAAGCTTTATCAAGTATGTCCTGTCACTTACTTTAGGATACGAAAACCTGTTTTAATGTTTTATTAACACTAGTCTTGTGGAAAAAATGTACCAGATATTAGTACAGTAACATGCCAGCTGCTGTGTCCACCAATGTCATTCTTCCGTTTTATATCAGGACAAAAGGTTGAGGCAAAAGTTTAGTAACGTGTTCCTGGAGGCCTTAGGGAATACACTGGAAAAACCCTTTAAAAGGCATTCAGCATAATTTAATAATATCTATTCAATGATATTCAAAGTGAATTATTAGAGATAGAATCTATGCAGTCAGAAAATATGTGTTAAGATTCCATGGGCTTACCCTTACTCCATGGGTAAGCAAGCAGCAGGTAATAGTTTGTATGTAAAACCAGCACAGGACCTTCAAAATGAGTTTCTTAATAGTATCTGACCATATTACAAATTCTAAACTGGACTCTACAGTCAACCAGACTGATGTTACCCAGATGTTAGTGAACTGTAAATGGATACTTATTAATGGACTCTTCAAAGAAAATCATAAAATCAACTTTTTGTAATCCACAGGACCACAAAGTGAAACTCAAAGGATGATATTAATTCAAAAACTGCTGAACATGAGGGGGATGAAGGGTGGCTATAAGGGCTGAAGGGCAGTGGTGAGGGGAGATCATGAAGGGAGAGGAAGGGCAGCCCTCAGGGAAGATCATGAAGGGAAAGAAGGGGTGGCCATGAGGGAAGATCGTGAGGGGAGAGGAGCAGCAGCCATGAAGGGAGACTGTGAGGGGAGAAGAGGAGGGATGGCCATGAGGAAAGATCGTGAGGGGAGAGCAAGGGCAGCTGTGGGAAGTGGGGGGTGGCCATGAGGGGTAAGGGACAGTCACGAGGAAAGATCATGAGGGGAGAAGCAGGGGCTGCCATGGGGTGTGAGGTGTGGCCATGGTGGGTAAGGGCAGCAGCTAAACACTGTGGGCCACTAAGGGGGCTAGATGAGAGATGTCTGTGAGTGGATATCATGAGGGGCAACCATAACGGGAGATCTTTGGGGGAGGTAAGTTTGCCCTTAGTGACATGGTTTAGTGGTGGGTTTGGCAGTACTGGGGTAACGGTTGGACTTGGTGATCTTAAAGGTCTTTTTCAACCTAGTTGATTCTATGATTCTATGATCTGAGTAGCCCATTTTTTCTCTTTATAAGTAAATGAAATTAATTCCATTGCCTTGCCTTTCACAGGTCTCTTTCCTCACCCTGCCTTTAAAATTTGTATTTCTTCTGTTATGCTCAAAACATTTTATCTGCAAAAAATAAGTCAAAACCAGTCCTTTGCTCAAAGACCGAAAGAAACATGGCTATTACCATGCTTAATATCCTGTTAAAATATTTGGGAGTGACGGTCATGTACCTAAAAGCAGCCTTTTTCTCTCCTGAAGTTTCCTTTCTGGAGTGAAAGTGTCACACCTGTAGAGTAAACCAGCCTTTTAGGAACACTGGGGCATCAGAAGTTCTTAGTGATGCCATGGTGGGAAAAAAAACACCAAACACAACTATCATGGCTTTGTATTAGACGTAAGAATCCGAGAGGCACCACTGCAATGCACAGCCAGTGGCAGAGCTGGTTGCTGGTGTTGCTGTGGAGGTGAGCTTCTCCTTTATGGATTAACAGCACTTATTTGCAGTTACTAAAAAAAATATTTATACCTAATTGCACTTGCATTTTTAGATAAAAATCTGATCTGAAGGTCAAAGGAAAACAGTGCAACCCATCTGTTTTCTTAAAGACTGTTAGACTTTCTGTGCCATAGAGAGATACAGTTTAATGGCCTTAGTGGGATGAGTTGCAATTTCTAGATCCTCAAAAGATTTTATCTTTGTCCATTAGTGTAATGTGCAGCTTGCTCAAGATTCAGGGCCCATCAGGTGCCTCATCCTGCATGCTCGTTTCAGTCTTTCAGTACAGCAGAGGGCCAGTTACAATTTTTCTGATTTTTTTTTAATCAGCCTGTCACATCGTGCTTATTCCACTTCTCTTCTAAAGCTTCATGCCACCTGTTTAAAGAATAATGGTGGCAAGAGGTGCGACAGGTATATTTATGCAGGTTTCCATAACTGGCACTCTTCAAGATGTGGGGACTGTGAACTGTAACTCTGCAAACCATTCTTAGACAACGCCATGATTCTGTTCCTCATTACAGTACTAGAGCACAATAGTTTCCCGGACACATTAGAGATGATGTAGACCAGTAGGTTCTTTTATCTAGGTAATGAGAAAATGAGAACTGGGGGTGCAAAGAACATACTTTGCTTGACAGCGCAGAGGCAGCCCTATTATGCCACCACCTAAAAAAGAAAAATCTACCAAACAGCAAATGTGAATTTGGAAGCATAACCTGTCTAGTATCAGTTTTCTAGAAGTAGAATAGTTTATACTAAATGGCATTCTGCAGAAGTTACTGTAATCACAGACTATTTAAAGGTGGAGAAGCTGTACATGTATCAAAACTGGGCAATACCTACTTTGTGTACTGAAATGAGGATACTCACTACAAAGAGTCATCACTCAACTGGGCTGCAAGTTTGGCAACTTGTTCAAAGCAAATCCTACAGATACAAATTAGCACACCATAGGCTGGCTACTGTGTGTGTTAGCTCTTGTATCCATTCCTGCATGTATACCCCTGGCACCCATCTGAATGACTTAAGTATTTTTCAAATACAATGTTATCTCTACAGAATTCAGTAGTTTAGTTAACTGAAGGTCATTAAAAAAATTGAAAATTGCTCTTACATATACAGACATGCCTATTTATAGCATTTATTACCCTTGGGAAAAGAGAAGCAATCTCTGGTAACAAACTAATGCAAAAACCATTAAGAACAGGATTGCTTGAGAATGACCTCTAACGCTTACCGAAGATCCAGACCCTGATTTTGCCAGATGTTTTCCATAATTCTAATTATCTGAAGTGTCAGCATGTCCTGACGCAAGTCTGGAATAGTCAAATACATAAAGATTTGCAAATACATAGAGAATACAAATTTCGTAACACCAGAGCACTTTATACATCTTACTTTTCCCCCCAAAAGTATGCCTAAAGGAAATGAGGCTTGCAGAGTTCAGTGGAGGTTTTGTTCTCTCAATAAAGAGAAACATGTGTTAAGTAGTTAAGAGTGAATATAAATTTATGGTGGCAATTTCAAAGCTGTTTAAAAAATATACACTAAAATCATGACAATGGAACTACAGATCACACTTCTGTAATATCTTGGAAGACATTTTCAAGTAAAAAGAACAAAGTACTGAGATAGAACCATGTTCCACCTCAACAGACTGAGCAGCTTGGAACCTACAAAATTTGCACAACTCTTACTTGTACATGCTTAATTTTTCTGGAAAACTGCTTTCCTCCCACTCCTTCCCCCCCCCCCCCCCCCCTGCATTTTATATACTTAAAAAAAATACTGAACAGTAGGTTAGGAAAATAAACAGATATGTAGCTTTTGGATTACACTTGCTTTTCCTTACCGTCTCCATTTTTAAAGATTATTTCATTGTTCTGAAATAACAATTCAGACATAATATCTGGGTTTTCCCAGTTCAACCACAGTGGCCTTTTTGCAGACGACATTATCCTGCACTCCTCAAGCCTAAAAAAAGAGGTAAGATTTCTATGAAACAGGCACATACAGATTTTCATTTAATATTTCCATAACATTAAGTTCTCCCTATTTTCATCAAACTCTTTGTAATAGTATCAAGTTAAAGATGCACGGGTTAACTGACAATCAAACTTAAATTAGTAAGTGCAATGTTACCCATTTGCTAGGCCCAACAGAAGAGCCGGCTGTATCGTAATTTCCCTTTGGCAGTGTGTGTTCCTTACAAATGAAAAAAGGTCTGCGCTTCCTGTCACCTTAAAGGAACAGCTGTCATGTTGTTCCCTAAATTGGTAAACCATTAGGCTGAAACTACTTCACTTTTCATGAGTTACTCTGCTACAAATTTTTTTCAATGAACTTTGAAGATACTAACATTTTTCAGTATGTTAACATTTAACCTTAACATTACTAAGCATTTACTTAAATATCTAGATAAATTTAAAAACTGAATACAATACCGAAGATTTCCCAGTTGATGCGCAGGATTAAGAGGAGAGATAAAACCCTGTAAAGCATCCATAAAATCTGGCCGCCTCATTTGTTCAACAAGAAACTTCATCTGTACCTGATAAATAATCACATTCACATTTTGATAACACTAATTATATGTAAGTGAAAGTAAGTTTCAGATTTTTAGCTTTGTTTCTATAGTTTTGCACAGTTCCAGTGTAAGCAACTCTACTTAGCCGCACACTGTACAAATTAAAACCCTTACATCTATTGCCTTAAGAGGTAGACAATGGCAATGCACATAGAAAATATAGCAGCTTCTAGAATAACATACTATATACTCAAGTTATCTTTAATACTTTTCTAGTTAATCAGTTAATACACAGTTCAGAGTAATTCCTGTGACTCAACAGCAATAGTCTAGGGATGCAGACATAATACCTTCTGGGTCTCATCTTTTTTTTCCTGCTTGAGAATATCAGTGAGGTTAATCAACTTCTCCATAGCCTCCACCTGCCTGCTCAGATGTTTTAGGTACATTCCACATGCCCGACAATAGGACTCCAGAAGTAAACCAAACCTCTGACTTACAGTTTTATTGTGCATTTCAGACCTACACAGAGAGGAAGAACAGTTATAGCTTAAAGACAAGACCACTTAGAGGTGCCAAAAATGAAACTATAGCTGTAACATCATCCCAATGGCACATCTTCCTGAGAGCTGCTTATAGATCCATCCTTTTCAGGTAAATAACTTCTATTAATCTCCCACAGCTCATCTCATTTTGACTAGACTGATCCAACTTCAGTACCTTTTACAACTAATTTGGCACAGAGTTCATAGGCTTTTCCCCCAATTCCTTCTTGATTTTTCTGTCCTCTCTACCACTATTCCTTGCCTTTATTCAAAACCCATGCTTCCCAGAAACTCGAGCTTTCTATTCACATTCCAGGTTTCTTTGCCAAGAGGAAAGCTAATCTGGCCAAATAAGACAAGGAGAAAACGAAACAATCCCAGGCTGTGCCCCCTCAAGTTTCCATGTTCTTACCTCCTCTCATTCTTTGCAGCTCTTAAATACATCCCTCAAACAAGTTAATCAGAGAATTTATTCCATTATCTTTGATGATTACCAAGGGAAATAGAAAACAAAGCATAAAAAAGATTCCTTGCTTCTTCTATTTCTGTGTTTGATCACACTGTCTTAGAACAGCATTTTTAGGTAGACCTAGCTACAATCCATTATACTGTAGGCTGATCTATGCTCAGCCTTCTCAACACCAGAAATTACAAAAGCCATTGGTGCACTTAGTAAGGAAGAACATAGATATTTAAGCTATCAATCAAGCTGTATAAAGTCTTTAATAAGCATGTGCAAAGGGTTATTTTTTCAAAGTCTTATCTGGTCAAATTGGGTGTCTCTCTTTAGACCTCAACTATTTGTAAAATTTTCTGGAAGACTGGTGAGTGATAAAAAAAATAAAGTTCAAACATCAGTAATCTGTCAAAGTTGTAAATGGTTGACAGGATAGGAGGCCTCCAGCAATCAGACTACCCTGCTTTCAGCATAATTATCATTATGTAAAAAGAAGTAGAAGACCAAGTATCTATGATTAACTAGCTTTTGAAACTACAAAGGATGACTCCTATTACCAAACTCTACACTCAAACTTTTAACCAGTGTGAAACAAAGTGGTAATACTTCCCTTAAAAAAAAAAAAAGAAGACATTTTAGTATGCCAAGCCTTTAGAACAATAAATTGTTTACAGCTAACAGGAAACCCACTACCCCTTAACATATTAAGCTTACTTTAAATGCCAGAAGAAGAAGTGTCCTATCCTTTGATTGGTCAGTGCCTTCTTGAGTAAAAATCTCACAAGCTGATTATCCAAGTACTGTTCATATTTTAGAACCTAGTTAAGGATAAAGAGAATAAAAATAATCTGCTGCAGTTACTTCTATGAATAAAATACAGATTAAAGGAAGTTATATAAAAATAAATCTATGTTTTACATGAATTTCTGTAGAATGACTGATCTGGTATTAACACTTGCATGTGTTTGAATTTGAACAGTATTTACTAACAGTGCATTGGCTGCCTGTTTCAGGAACTTACCATCTGATGCTCCCTTCACTATTACAAAATATTTTGGCCTCAACTAGCTTGAAATTTTGAGAAGATGCTTCTGCTCATGCTTTCCCATATGTTACAACAGCCGAAAGAGCTGCCTGTTCCAGCTGGTAGAACAGTTCTGCATCTCTGTAAAATCCTGGCATTTAGTATCAACATGCAAAACCCCAGCACTGCAGAAAATTAACTACATTTAATCTTCTCCTCCTAAATAATCCACAATAGAAACATACTGTTGATGACCTGTTTTTCACACCACCTTAACTTTTGTTGTATTTAAGCCTCTGTGATTATTAGATATACACAAGAGATAAGTATACCAAAACATGTTATATACCTGTACTAGCTGGATTAAGTACTGAGACAGTTTGTCATCTGTCAAGTACTTCTCTAGACACCGAACTGCAAAAGCTCGCACCATTGGATCTGGATAATTACAGTCCAAAAGCTCCATTGCTTGCTCTGGCTTGATTGGAGGCCAATCTTTTACCAAACAGTACATCTGTGGAAAAGAAGCCCAAGCACGTTATGTATTTGCATTGATTACAAAGAAGCTGTAATACACAGCTACTGGAAGGTATTGTCAGACATGAACTGCATCCAAGCAGAAGCTATTTACTTGCCAGCCCTCTCTCAACAAACAATTTGGTATTAGTTGCCAGCTGACGTTTTATCCACTATAAACACAATGAAAACAAAACCTCACATATGACTAATTGACAAATCAGCAACGTAACAGGGATTCAAGTTTTGCCACAAGAGGAAATTTTAAGACTCAGACTGAGCTAAAGAACAAAAACTATGGACCAGACTGATCGATCAATTATAGTGGCAACTTGGACAGGTTTTCATTCAATGTATCATACACATGTATAAAATGTTTTAAACTTCCATAAGTTTCCCTAAATACCATATTTTAAAGCTTCTTCAAAACTTAAAATTTCTTCAGTGCTATATGTTACCTGGGCCACTTCATCTCTAGAATTCCATTTAACAGACAGAAGTAATTTGGGCAGAATTTCTGGAGTATTCACGCAATAGTGTCTGTGAAAGAGAAAAAAGATGTATGTACAAATTGCCCTTTTTGCTTTGACAACCAGCTACTATGTTCCCCTCGGTCTTGCGCGTTTTCTTCCTTTGTCAGCAGAAAACAATCAATACCATATGGTGGTGTTAGGATCCATGCATGAAAGTAAGACTGCAGTAATGGGGAAAATGTAAACTAATTCAATAACTTATTTTTCCCCATGGGCTTATGAATTAAGAGATATGATTCAGAATGCTTTAAAAGCCTTTTCTAAAACACTAACCCAACCAATACAGACCATAGAAAAGGGAGCAAAATCCAAGACAGTCATGACAAATTTGGAGTGAATGGGGTAAAGCTGACTGTGCCAACAAGGGCTTTTCCTTACTTTAGTTTTTGGTCTTAAATACCTGTGGCTCCAGAGGAAGTCCTTCTCTTGCTCAGTGATTTCAGACAAAGGATCTCGTGTACATATAGCTCGAAGTTGCTCCTTGTCACTTTCTCTTAATTCGTTATCTCTAGCTATTCTGTTACTCTGCAGAGAGAAAGCAGTCCATTAACCCTCCACAAATTTCCTTCTGTTGTCATACAACATACATGAAGTACTTTAAGAGCACTTAATACTTAACAGCCTATGTCATGCAGTACTATCTTGTTTTCTTTTGTTGTAACTGAGGACTTAAAATTTAAAAACAGAGAGATGAAAGACTAGGCCTTTGATTTCTACAACCACTTCTAGCCACTATTGGGACAAGAAGAGTGACATTTCAACTAAGATGTGTGGAGAAATAGCAGCAGTTGCACCTGATGAACAACATAATGCAGCATGAAATGAAACTGGTCATTTCCATCTCCAGTTTTGAGATTAGCTAGAAGCTGCTGAAAGGAGTGAAAAAAAACAGAACTGGAAAAACAGAATATGGGGTGTGAAGCTAGGTAAACAAAAGTCAGAACGCTGCAGGAAAGCCAGAGTAACAGGAGGACTAGAAAACATTAACCAGAATTAGCATAATATATTTCCCAAAGAGTATAGAAAACAGAACTGGTATATGTGGAAATTAATTTTATATAAGACTTCATTTATTAGAACCAGCTTAGACCAGTGGCAGAGGTATTGAAACTACTACGATGAGATATTTCACACCTCATATGGCAAGTTCCGTTTTTTTCCTATACTTTCCATTTCTCAGTTCATTTAATGTGGATTTTTTTTTTACAAAGCAACATACAAAGTCATGCAGTTTGAGGTTTCAGCTACACAATCAATTGCACTGCAAAAACCAAAAAATCTGAATAAACTTATATTACTGTGTTCAGTATAAAATACAAGTGCAATAAACAAGATTGACACTTAAGATGAAGTTACCACAGTTCCACAAGAACTGAGTTTTTCGTAGTGAACTCCTGTTTTCACATCTGCATGATACCTACCACTACAAAAGAATAAGATCAACACTCTTCCAAATTCAAAATGTTTAAACTGTAGAACCACAGTATTCGGCCTCTTATTCTGCTTTTTCCCTAGGCAATTTCTACTCAGCACATTAAACAAGATAATAAACAAGAATGGAGTGAGCTTTGTCTGTCAGTTGTGACAATGGAAGTTGTCAACTGGCTGAACTAGTACTTTGAAACACAAATACCCACATGGCTTTTACAGAAGGTCTTTACAACGCATCTAGCTTTAAAAAAGATGAAGAAAATAACAATCTGAAATTTCCAGGTAGGAGATCAAGGCACCCTTTAAAAGGTGGTGTTTTCTAAGAATGTGCACAAATACAGACACAGCTGTCAGGTTATACCACATGATATAATATCTATTTCAGACTGAAAGTTCTTTATTTTACATTTATCTTTAATTACATGAAGTATGTGTTCTCATGATGGGCTCACTACTACTATGTGGGAATATCCTGGCCTTCAATGTTACATCCACCAATATTAAGGTCTCACAGGATTTTTAGCATCTTGCCCTGTTAGTAGTACGACAGTGCAAGATCTTGAACTAGTAGTGTGATCTAGTGCAAGAACATGTACCAACATGTTTGGTTTTTTTTACTATCGTTCTGAAGCACATGGATTGGACTTAAAAGTTGAGATAAATTATTCAGGACTACGCTCAATGTGGTATGGGAAAATTTTTAGAACACATTTTTAAATATTATGGTATTGGATACAGTGAAAGCAGTTAAGAGAGTCATTATGCAAGGAAGTTATTGGATAAGTGACTTAATCACCCTATTCCTGACATAAGATCAAACAGTTCATATTGTTCAATAGAACAAGTAATTGCACATATTCATCTTTATTCTGAAAGAGTCATCCTAAATAGTAAGTGAAAGTCAAGAAAGTATAAAATGTACCTGCATAGTGGGTCAGAAAGATCATAGTTTAGGTCAAGCCCAGAAGGAAAATGCATTTATCCTGTTGCGGTCAACACCAAAAACTTGAAATTCTATGAATTGTGGGACAGTAAATTAGATTTCATATTTGAGAATTCTTTCATATTTGAGATAGTAATGGACCTATAAATGATCTCTTATCAATATGTATTAATTGATTGTAAATGCAGTGTAATGCATTTCAAGCTTACCGAAGGAAGTTATGCTCTTTGTATCATAGTAAAAACATTTAGCTAGAAATCATACCTCAGTGACTGCTTTGCTGATTTTGACCATTTCAGACAAGCATTTTTTACCTCCTTCAGATATGGACAATGCTACACAGTAATCAAGTATCCAATTTTTAAATGAGTAACAACATGCTGCATTTTAAATCCCTAAATATGGTTAATATTACAAACAGCTATGAATATGCACAGTACGTAAGAGGATTTTGGCAGACCACAAGAAGAGTTGAAAGAAAAGCAGCATGAATGAGAAAGTGAGACCAAAGCAGTGATATACTGACTGTTTCCCTGTCAACTTACTCACTGGTGTAAATAGGCTTTCTCCATATTTAACCACTGTGACCACCTTCTACAATATTGTAAGGATTATGACAAGAAAGACAGTAATTTGTGACTTTATTTGACCTTGTATTTTAAGTTTAAGATAATCATTACTTCGTCACTGAAGTGAGAGCTTATTCTCCTCACCATTTTCTGGTTTTGCATACAGGTCATATTATCATAGAAAACAACAAGTTGAGCATATGTAAGGGCAGGTAACAGGCTGTGCTATAGCTAAGGAATGTTATTTACGAAGGAGCTAGCTGTTTTTAAACATTTATTAAGAGCCCCTCAGCACTGCTCACTTACAATATATACCATAAGCAGATATACCACTCTATGATGGACTTCCTGTGGTGTCACAAGAGAAATAAATGCCTATAACTCTTTGTTCAAGATACGCTGAGATGAGTCTGTTATAAATATCACTAGAACTCCCAGACTGGAAGCTTACACCTACACACTTTTTGGCACAGCAAAACTTTCCACCCTGAGACTCTTCTTCACTCAGACCACAAAGTTTTCTTGGGGAAATTCTCAAGTCTTTGAACCAGCCTCCAAAATAAAATGTAAAACATACCAAGTAATTTCACAGCCTTGTCTTTGAATACATAATATTTTTAGCTTTACTGACTTCCTTTTTTCTCCTTCTAATCATCCAACAAGTGCTCCTAAGAAAGTGCCAAACCTCACCAAAAAGCCAGGTGCAGGTTCTCTTCATGGAAGAGGGAAGATTAAGGGCTACACTCATGTATGCCAGTCAATTCCCTCAAAATTCCCTGTACTTCGGCTCATAACTAACCCATCAAGCATCCAGTGAAGAGTTATAACCACCTCTGGGATACACAAGAATGTCTACCTATAAACACAGAACTGCAACAAATTAAAACAGCATCATTGAAGGAGAACTGCAACTTTTGAAAAGTTCAGGTAGTTTAGACATTTGCATTGGCAATATAAAAATGTCAAAAATGCTTTAACAGTTCGCACAGTAAAACAGTTACTCTTTTCAGGTGTTTTGGTTGGTCAGTGAAGCATTAGGTCAGTTTAAAGGAGAATGTATTACTCACTTTGCTAAACAAAACAAAAAATTCATTTATTGATTTTAAATCAGGATGTAAGAAAAAAACCTCTTTGTTGCTAATATACTGAGTAAAATAAACAAAGTAGTAAATACTACTTTCATATTTTAGTAGCTAATATCAGAAGGGGAGTTTGCCTTACCAGCCCCGCATAGCTGTAGTTAAACCCCAGTTCACGTGATATAGTCCAATTGGCATGCTCTTCAATCACTGTCATATCTGGAAACTTCACAGGATTGCTAAACCAATCAAATTCCAGCTCCAGACATGGAGTTTCCTATGTAAAGGGAATTCAAATTACTTTTTCTATTGAATGATGCTAATTATAATATGACATATTTTGAACTACTAAGGAGGAAGCTGGCATGCAAATATTTACCTTATTTGGATTTGATCCAGTAACACCAATAGGATTTAGTAAATCCTCCAGGCCATGAGGTACTGCCCAAAGATTCAAAGCCATTTTCCCAGATACAAGAGTGTCTGTGTAATCAAACATGTTTATATTTCCCCAAGCCAATGGACAGTGCTCCTTAAAGAGATTAAAGGATTTTTTTTTAGTGTCATCTAGTAATTACTGTAGAGTGAGTCAGGAGAAATAACATTTCCACCCCAAAGCAAGTTGCTACACTCCCAGATTAGCAGAAAAGCAGGTTGTGGAAGCTGTACCATGAATGACTGTCATGGCAGTCATTTTGCAAAATGGTATCAAACCACTTTCAAACACATGCTAACATCTTCCCACATCAAAAGTAACTCAAGATGATGCAAAGTTTTTTTGACAAAGAGAGAAATTTTACCAAGGTCTGTAGTAATATAATAAGGAGTAACAGTTTTAAACTCCCATACAATAAGTTTAGATTGGACAAGTTTTTGGTTTTTTTAATGATACAGGTGGTCAGACACTTAAACAGGTTGCCCAGAGAAGCTGTGGATTCCCCATCATTGGGAACACTGAAGGTCAAGATGGGTGAAGCTTTTCAGCAACCTGGTCTAGTGAAAGATATCCCTGCCATGGGCAGAGATCTTTAAAGGTCCCTTCCAACCCAAACATCCTACAATTCTGTAAGATTTGTAAATCTGATTGTAGACAAAAGTAACTGTATAGTACCTGTAACAGTCAAATGCATAATGTAATGATGCTGTGGCTAGATCAGATGCCATACGCAGATTCTTAAAAAAGACTACCTGAGATCTTGCATCAAATACTAAAGTAATACAAGTTTTCTTTAAAGATCAATTCTAAATACAAGTATAAATATCGCCATTTTTAGTTAACAGGCAAGTAACATATGGGTTTAGAAATTTGAGTTTAAAGGCACTTGCACCTCAAAACACCAACAACTGATCTTTGAGCTTGGCAATACAGTGTAGATGCTATTTTCACTGTTGATCAGGTAAGCTTTTTTCCATGTTAACTTCTGATCACAACATCAGTGGTAGTCTGAGTAAGGTACAAGAAAAGAAAATCCCTTTTTTTAAATAAGATTAAAATCAAATATTGTCCTAATACTCGTTGCCAGTACAGCATTTATCAAGTATCTTCCCAAACTTGACTTCAGTTGTTTTTGTTCATTACTGTACTAAAGACATGAAGTATTTTACCTCTTTCGCACCCTTCCGGCCTTTAACAGAACAGATAGAAAGGCACAGACGAGCAGCACGTGGAAGATCAAGAATGTACATGTCATACAATAGCCATTCGTTCCATCTATAAGATTTAAAAAGCAAAATAAAACCAGGTTAAGGGACAGACAACTGTATTAAATCAAAGTTATACTAAACAGGTATTTGTTATATCCCTCCATAAACTATATACATGTACAAAAAGTACACTTTCGCACTGGAAAAGGGTACTCCTACATGCATTTACCCACGTTCCTTTTGGGAATGGAAACTTCCCCAGGTAGCATCCTAGCACCAATACTGTTTAAAAAGTCATGGTAGGCTCAATTTCTGCAAACTTAGTAATAGGTTCATTCATTTCCAGTCTTGCAAACCTACTGACTGCAACTGTCAGCGTAGGCATAATCTGAAGTAATGGATTTGCATATGTACTACACTAATATAACTTTTAGTTAGCAAAATATTTTTCACTTCAGGAATAAAGCAAGTGGGAAAAAATGTGGCAGAGCTTTCAGAATGCAACTGAATCTGAACTACTGGAAAATAAAAGGGTAACTGCAAGGTGGGAATATAACAGAAATATGACACAAATCCAAACCAGTATTCCTAATACAAATATTATTCTATTTATCATAGTAATAAGAGCACAGATTTGTTCTTCAGGAATATGTATTTTGCTTTTGTTAACTTCTCTAAGTAGACTTCCCACTTGGTGGAACCATGCTTTTGAAGAGGAACTTCTGAGTAGTTTCTTTTCCTAAACCAATTGCCATGGTGAATTTTCTCAGTTGGAAAAGGCAGCAGATTCCAAGGACAGCATTAATTTTTCAATGTCTCTGTAGCTACTAAAAGCAGAGTTTTATAAAGAAATAACTGTCCAAACCCTGCTCTAAGAATTAAGAAATTAGCAGATAAATCTTAATTCACTTTTCTTATCTGTTCATTTCATAACACAGATTTGTGTGACTAAACCCATGTTTTCAAGCCATACCCATCATCACCTTTCCAAGATTTTGTGTGTAAACCAGTCAAAATATCAGTTCAAGTATAGCTATATTTGGGGCAACCCAGAAGGAGAGCTATTTTTCAACAACTATATGTATTAGTAAGCCCTCTATACGGCCTAACCATATTTATAGAAAAGAGACAAAAATAAGTTTCAAAATGTATTCATAAAGACATGAAGTCAGAAAGAAAATGCAAATCAATAATTACTTCTGAACACATACTTTGCCTCTAATCCTAGCAGATGCTGAAATTTCACACCTCCTCAGTCAAAGTTACAGGAACATCTTTTAGATACTTGTTCTGAATATATCCTAAAAGTGCATATAAGCTTCTTTAGTTCACGTGCACTTTTAAATTCATGCATGTTATTTTTCCAGATAATATTGATGGTAGGTCAAATATCCCGAAAATAGTCAGCCCAGATCTGGAAATCACTTCCATGTTAACAAATGATACCCACCTCTCCACACTCGGTGGTTCTGTTTTAGAACACACCATGCAACCTCACTGAAACAGATCTGTAGGTTACATGACATCACATTGCCCCATGCTCAAAGTAAAATCTGAACCTGCAACTGGAACACCTGCTGTTGATTCACAGTGAAAAAGAGAGCTCAGCTACCCAGAGCTATGCTGATTTCACAGTGCTAATAAGTAGTTCCTTCTCCTATGGGGAACGCCTGTCTTCACTAACGAAGATTCGGGAAGACCTTTACCCAGGCATTCTGAACACCAAGTCATCAATAAGTAATTATATTGGAGTTTCAGTGGCAACTGTAAATTCACATGTAAAACAGATAGTATAGTTTCTTTACTGAACAGATGTGAGATAAAATACTTGTGTTTTAATTAAATTACTTCTGTTTATAAATATAGGGATATGTATAATTTTTTTTATAAAGCTTAAGGTAAGGAATTCCCAGAAAGGAGCACTACTTAAATAACAGCTAAGGCAAGCCTTTACTCCTTCAGTTATGATGCCCTGGAAGTCAGGTTTTCAGCAGTCACTCAATTATTTAGTTTACCTGGGATTAGAACAAGGTACCCTTTGCGTATTCACATTGTCACACAGAGGTTCCCCTCCATGGTAGATACCTGTTCTTACATAGATCTGAAAAGCAAATGTTGATATTAGTACTGCCTTTGAAATTTTACTATAATTTTTTTTCAATCCTATCAACATAACTACAATTATAACATATGATCCTTTCATTTTCATCACTTAAAAAGAAACAAAAAAAGAAATCTGAGAACCTAACAGCTCCATCACTCCCCAACCCCAATTATTTCATGCTCTGTAAGGTGGGAAGCACAGTATATAAACATACCTTTCTAGAAAAAAATGCTTTGGTCTTTTCCCTTTTCAATTGCAAAACTAGTTCTTTAAAAATGCAGTAATAACCTTGAAATGAACACTAAAAAAAACCCTTGAAATCATTCTCAATTCCTCCCCTGTCAAGGTATAGTTAAAGACTGAAGAAATTACGAGAGAGCATGCCAGGCTTGCAGTTCAATAGGACTGAACCCTATCTGCCTTGTCTTTTTGATCTCTCCACACCTCCCTTTCCAAAAACAAAGACGGCAGCACACTATCCAGCATCCTCTCATCAGAAGTACTGTTAATTACCGTAATACATTCTTAAACATAATATAACTATTATTTAGAATAGAGATAACATAGGGTTTGTTTTTCTATTACATACGTAGCTGAAGTGAACTATGCAAACTAAGTCCTGCTCCTATCGGGCAGGATATTTATCTAAGTACTACAACTCACTTCTGAAGTAGTATACAAAAGGTGTCAGATGCTAAAATACGGCCGTACTTCTATTTTCTTTAATGGAGCTGAGTACTTACATAACAGAGCAGTCTAATTTTCTAAAATGTTAAATAACACTAGTTTTCCAATGTAAACAGATAATAGAAAACTGAGGAAAGAAACTGAGTTGCCAAAAACCTGCACAGCATTTGCCTTACCTTGTCTATGTCTCTAATGTTCACATTTACATAGGTTGCACAGAGGATTCTTATTCTGAGAGCACTGTTTATAGTCCAGAGGGATTTGGCTGTAGCTTCTCCATTCATGTAGGGTGTAGCTGTAGAGATACGCCTGGAATAAGATGGCATTGTAAAGGTGTCCAGTGGCAGCTGGGTATATAGGCTTTCCTTAGCCATCAGCATCAGATTGGGCATGCGACCAAGCATTATACAGCTTCTTATATACTGCAAGAAAACCAAACCAAAATTCATTATGTTTTCAAAGTTCATACTCTTGATCATCTATACTTAAAAATATTCAGGAAAATATAAAAGTAAAAGCATATTTAAAGAGCTTATCATTGTCCCTGTATGTACAACCTTTACTGTGTTTAAAGTTTTAACATCCAACAGCTTAAAAACATAGGGTAAGATTGCACAGCAGCACTTCGTACAGATTTTGAGATATGAATAGCATCTACAAAGTGGAAGGTTGAATTGGAAGAGCTAGAGAACAGAGCTGACAACACGATGAGAGGTTTCTTGTAGAGCTCCTTAGCTCCATCACAGTGTAGCACAAATCAGACTGCTTCCAGATTAGAGCTTGAGCTGTTTTTCAATACCAAGGTGTTGTACTAACCTGGTGTGCAGAGCTAGCCATAGGCAGAAAGCCCAAGGCAAATGGCAGACAGTCATTTTTGGTTCAGTTGTGCTTATTATCTTATGCTCAGCACTGATGCTGACTCCAGCTGTAAGGCTGTATGGTGTCCATTCAGGATTGAGTGCTGAGAGCATTTAGTCTAGCAACAGTACCATAAAATACAATGCCTTCAGACAGGCCCAGCCCTGGAGCATAATTAGCAAGCTCTTTTGGAGCACAGTAAAGGCACACCAGATACATCTGAAGAAACCATACTAGATCAAATAGGTCTGGTGTTTGATCTTTAGATGTCTGTGCAGTATTTTTCTGTATGCCTGCACTTGTTCCCCAGCTCCCAAAGAACAGAGCTGCTTTTCCCATTAATCAGGATTCCCTATCCCCCTTCTTTCCCCCATTGCTCTGGAAAGCAGACTGTCAACCATTTTAGATAAAGGAATGGAAGCTGTTTATTACAACAATACATTCCTGAAAGAGGAAGCAGCAGCAGTCTGTCAGGAAATCTACAGGGGAACATTGTCTGCTCCAGAGAGGGGACTGCTCAGATGCTCTTCTGTCAGCAGTTCTGCCTCACACTCACAGCACTAACAAAACCCAGAAAATGAAGGACAGTCAGCCACAAGGAAGACTTAAGAATAGTTTGCACAGTGCTGGAAGTTTATCACTCCTTTAATAAGATGTAAGAAAAAGGGGAAAAAAAAATTACAAGTAAAAGGCAAACAAGTAGTTTAGATTTTTTTCCACCCCTAAAGGGGGAAGGAAGAAGATTCATAGTAGCAATGGTTGTCTCAATTTAACACCTGACTGAATTGCCTTTTGTGTTATATCAGCCCATTCAAGCGTAAGTCATCTCTTACCACCAGAAACCTAGGATATTTCTGAGAGTACCTACCACTGTTTTGCCATCAGTGTTAGGAGTAAACTACGCCATTCAAGGACAAAAGACTAGTGATAAAAATTCTAGTTTAAATTACCTCTTCTCCCCCTCTCTCTTTTGAAGCACATACAGCAACAAATATGCACACTACTCACATGCATTAGCCAGTTACAAGAGCATACACTTTAATTTATTATGTTTTGTATTAATGTGATGAAAGAGAAAGCCAGTCATCAAACTGATCACTTTTCTCCACCACAGATTTGGATTACGTTAGCATAGTTCAAAATAAATCCATCATGTTACTCACCTTATACTGGCTCAGTGGATATTTTTCTAGCAAGTATTCATCACAGCCACACACTTTTAGAATGTATTTGCCTTGGTACTCCAAGACACAAAGTTTCAGTTGTTCTGATGACAGCAACATACTTCGCGTTTTCTTCCTAATTGCTTCAGCAATAACTTGCTCAGGCACACAGTCATGATTGATTTTTAAGGTGTATTTCTGCTTATCATTGTTTGGTGAGACTATTACCCATATCACCACTATAATTTGCCCTAGGATAAATGTAAAATAATGTCAGGCCTATAATTTTCAGTGTAGTTTCAAACAAAACAAACCAAACAACCCCAAACCCACAAAATAATCTTAAAAACCCAAACCAAACAATCTCTCACCCCTCCCCAACACAGAGAATTGCTTGCAATATTAAAGATGTGAACAGGATTCATAGCACAAACTGACAGAGGGTTTCTAATATGCAAGGAACTACACTCAGTTCATTTTTGACTCTACTGTAAATTCAAACTTTTACTCCTTGAGGTTAAGTATACCTTAATTAACCAAATACACTTGACTAAATCTTCAAGAAAACAGCAGTAACTTTCATATTTGAGGACTGCAAGATAACTTAGTGATTTAGCATCATTTAATTCCAGATTTCTGAATGTCATAGAAAAAAAAAAAAGCAAAGCCAACAAGCTTTCTGTCCATTACAAAGAAAAAATCACCTCTATTTACCCATGGCATGCGGGCTGGAACTAGGTGATCTTTAAGGTCCCTTCCAAATCAAACTATTCTATGATTCTATGAAGTTTTGTCATAATAGCAAAAATGCAATTTTAAATGTTGCCTCCCTTTTGAAACTACACTGTATCAAGAAAGTTACTCTGAATAACTTAAGGTGTAAGACTGGTGAAGTCTATATAAAAGTGATTTACTGAAGTTACCTAGGTAACCAGCTGTACTCTTACTTCAATCACTGAAAATAACCCATTATGTTTCTACTGTAAATATTTATCTTACCTTTATCTAGTTTATTGTATATATGTTTGGGTAGTTCAGGTGAAGACTCTACATTTGGAGGACAGACATATAATGCTCTACTATGCGGTGCATTGGCATCTCGAAGATCCACTGCTTCCTTACAAACGTTAAGAATATTTCTTCTGAAGTCTTGTACTTCTGGATCCTTAACCATGTCAAATTCACAGACAGGCATTCCAATAGCAAAACCTACAGCATTGAAGCAGCATGAGGAAATAATGGGAACTGATAATTAAAGCTAAAGATTCTTTCCATCAGTGACACAAAAAGCATGCTTTAAGCAAAACATAACCTAAAATATTTGTGTTAACTATTGGCTTCTACTTTTACACATAATTGTTTCCTGTCATTAAAGGAAAATAAAAGGTTCTACAGTTAGTGCACTTAGTCACAAAGGGTTAGAAAACAGGTGTACATTCACACTGAAGGAAGATCCTTAAATCAGCACTCTCACAGCTAACACTCCTGGAGGAAAAGAATCACTAATAAATTTCCTCTGAAGTCAGCCTGAAGTTTCTTAAGTGGACAAGAGAGGTCCAGTTTTTCTTCCTAAAATCCTAGAAGGATTACTGGTAGCTATTAGGACCATAATCAACTTTGCTTACAACTGAATGACAGCTATTCAGTTTATTTTAATGAGCTACACTGTTTTAAAAAATGTGACAAGCACTCCAAGGGACACTGAACTTAAGCTCTTTGGCACAGATTCATGCAGTAGGAGCACATTTCTCTCAGGTCCTCAGTCTCAGATGTAATTCCATTTACTTTAATAAGATTACTTGCATAAATAATTATTTATGCATGAATGTTCAAATGGAAACTTTCAACTGTCCTGTTGCATGGTTAGCTAACCAGTGTTCTCCTTAAGTCCTGAACAGGTTAAGCTTTCCAAAACAGAAGTAGTTTACATACAATGAATTCATACCAATTAAATAATTTAACAATTAGAAGCACCCCAGAACAAGTATTCCCAGTTGACAAGTCTTTACCATTGCCATATACATCTGTTAGCGACTAAATGTGTGGGGGTATGTTTGTCCTGCCCAAGTTTAGATACTTAACCTAGCTCAAACACATGCTAGCCTCCCTCTGCTTTCTCAGTGGATATGGAAAATCCTAAGTTACTCCAGAGATGACTCAATGACTCAAAGTATGACAATTTTCCTCCATTCTGCCCTCCAACTTCAGGTGTTTTTGTTTATTTCCCCTCCCCATGTTAGAAGGCAGGAGGGAGAAACACCACATTTCTGAAACTTTACTTCCTAAGCAAGATAGAGCAGTATTAAGCATGTGCTACTGCAAATCTAGCTTTATATTTGTAGTTAAACCAAAATTTACAGCTCTGTAAACTTCAAAACAAATTGAAGATGGACTTCCCAAATGACAAAACAAGCTTTGCTCTGCAGTAATACAAAACCCTGCTAATAAGAGACAAGCAAGAAATGTCCCCTAACCCAGATACAATTACAAAAAATACAAAGCAATGACACTACATGTGAATGAAACAGAACAGTAAAAATTAGCTTAATTCACAGTTTATGAATGTCAGCTTTACTATGATCAGCACCCTTGGAAATCTGATGCAACAACTGACAGCTACGAAATGCAAATTGACAGACACAAGTGACAAACACAGCCCATTTCAACTCTTCATTTTGTATGTTGAAGAGGAAAAGCCAGTTAAACAGATTAGCTATGTTTAAAGATAGTCTCACCTATTTCTCTATTGAGAATCTTTTCTTCTCTGTTACCTACTGGTTCAATAACCTTTAGAAAAGGCTGAAACAGTCGCAGGTCACAAAGTCTCCGTGTTTCATCAAAAAATTCTTCTCTTTCTGCTTCTTGTGTAACACTTACAAAAATATAAGATGATTCATCTTGAAGGAGCTGATAGAGGGGGTATTTTCTTGCTTCCTTAAAGAGTTCGTGTTTAATAGTTAGTAAGGTGGCCTCACGGAGGCATTCTAGAGTCACTATCATTCCATTTGGGAGAAGACACTCCACAAGGATCCGCGGTGGCATCAAGTGGATGCCCCATAGTTCACCAGATGATGGTCGTGGAGGCATTTTGAAGTCTCTAGATAACTTCGTATGGGAAGTTTTTCAAGCAGTGATTCATAGGCATAAACCTAAGTAAAAATAATATTTAAATATTAAAATTTAAAATATTAACATCACAAGGCATTTCAGATAATATTATTCAAACACCACTTATAATTGTAGACGAATATTCATAGCTATATTTTACATTCATAAGGAAGAGTACTTGATAAAACTGATTTCTAAGGAACGTATATTTGATGTAAATATCTACTCAAATAAAAGAGTTAACAGCAGGATCACATTAGTTTGTAAAAAAAAAAAAAGCCAATATTCATATGGTCTCAAAAAAGATTTTTTTTAAACTGAATTTTATAATTTGTAAGTAGAACGCTTACATAGCATGGAGGATGAAAATGTCAAATATTCACATTATTATTACAGCAAATTTTAAGCAGAACTCAAACTAAATTCTTCACATTTTTATTTTGGAATGATGAGTATAAACTACTTACACCAGCAAAAAAACCATTTTTCCATGAATGAGACAGAAGAACTGAACTCCATTAACACTTTTTGGTTGAACTTGTTTTATTTAGGATCAATTCCCTGTTCTAGTTCCCTTTGGCAGCCACATGAATGTCTTTATGAAGCCAAAGGAAATGAGTGGAACACGTGGCTGACCTTCTAGCAGTGCTGCCTTATGCCAGCCTAGAGCAGGTACAAGAAAACTGTATCTGGACAGAGCAGAGAGGTCTTATAGACCAGCAGCCAAGAGCAGATGCCAAACAAAGAGCAGAACAACTAGGCAGGAACACAGTGATACTGCATCAGTAAACTCTCCTAATCACTATGTATTCTTCATTTCCTTAACCAGAGACAATATGTATGTATTTGTGAAAGAAATCCATCAGGAATTCCTGAGTTTGATCATGAAGTTTTCACACACAAACTGTGGCATCCTGTGACAAAAGTGACTAACATTCCATGTTACAATGTATTTGCTTTTCATTGTTTTGAAGCCTGTTACTTTCACCTGATATCCAAAATACCTTGTAAAGAAACCAAGCTCCTTATCTTTGCATCCATTGCTCTTAATCTTATTGCAATCCATTAAGTCTTCCCCACTACCTCTTTTCCACAATAGTCCCAGATTATTTAGCCCTCCTCTGCCCAAAAGTCATTTTATATTTTTGTTAATCTTTGTTACCTTCTTTGTACCTCTTCCATATTTACCATGCCCTTTTTTGCAATGCAGATTGGGAACAACCATATCTCCATGCCACATTCAAGGTACAAACTGAGCACACATTTACGCAGTGTCATATTTTTTGTCACTTTCCAAATAAGCAGTTGCTGCTCAGTGACATTTCTGCTGAACTGCATACCATATATTTAAGCTCCCATTGCAGAATAAGTTACCACAAAGTTACCATTATACATTAAGCAAATCTCAAACAGTGCATTACTTACACTTAGACAATAATTTCATTAACTTTAGCATGTACATTATGAGAGGATAATAACAACAGACCTGTAAAGAACAGTCCTTTATCCATTATGCCTCCTCCATTAAGCAAGTGTCCCGAAAACACAGGGCTATACCAGACTATTATACTAAAGCCATTCTTAGTCACCTTTTCAATCAAGAACCCTCTTAGGACTTCTGCTCTGCCTTATTTCTTTTTGTAGTAAAAGAAATGAGGAAAAAATCCAAATCCAAAGCTTCACATCTTTTCTGTTTCATCAACTTTCTGTAAACCCTCACTGCGGAAAGACAATGAATGCTGTTTGCCCTTTGCTGAACAATTTTTAAAAACATATAATGTATATATAAATAAAATTATAAATGTCTAAACATTGTCTATATGTAAAAAAAAAAAAAAAAATTATCCTCATTTCTGCACTTCTATGCCTTTGTGCTTATTTTCTGAATTTTCTTCCAAGTACATCCAGTACATGATTTTGCCCCATTTTGGTTCTTGAAAAACCCCAAACATTAGAATGAAAGTGTCTACTGCTTCTTAAGCAACTCTGAATAGCAACAGGTTTGTCTTTATTAAACCCCCTTTATAGTTGGATTTGGGGCTTTTAAAAACATCAACAAGAGTACTGAAGTGCCACTGCAAGTTTAGAAAAGTGCTGTTCCACCAACACTTCATGCATATTTACAAGGTCTTTGCAACTGACTTTTTTAACAAGAGCTTAAAGAAGCTATTTAATATTCCTCATTATTCTAATAGTTCTAGTGAGCGGAAACTGAAATCTCCAAGCTGAAACTGAAAGTTCCAAGCACACTCACGGTGCATGTAAAGAGAAAAAATTAGAAAGCTTATCAATTACAAAACTCTTCAAATGAACCCAAATAACATCATTTAGAGTAACTTAGGAGAATTCTGAATTACCAATAACTATCCTCAGTTTACAGACAGAAAGAAATACACAGAGGATTAAATCACATCTTTTTGATCAGGCAAAGCATGAACACAACTCCCTCTTAATTCTGCTGAATCACATGCTTATTTCTATTTCTTAATTACAAGCATTGGCAGAAACACATTACTGTTAAGACATATACCAGCATAAAACCCCCAAAACAACAAAACAAGACCATACAGTTATAAGAACTTTTCTGTCTAGACATACAAACAATGATAATATAGATGGACCACAATCAAATTAAATAGTCACAACACAGACTAGTTTATACCAGCAGTCTTTTAAGTTCGGTTCTACAATCCTGTTGAGGCTCCTCTGAACTGACAGTTTTAAGAACCCATCTTCTCCCTGCCCAAGGCATGCATTCTCATTCTTCATCATGCTGGCATTGGAGCCAGCTTGTTAGAGGGTCCAATGGATTAAAGTGGCAGAAAACTACTCCTCCCTTCTGGACTAGCTTCTGCTGTTTTAGCTGCCTTAGTGAGATCACCATGGAGTCAGATGAATGCCACAGTCTGCACAGGAGAGTGAGCATGACTGCAGTAGTCCTGAGCTAGTTCAGCTTTAGCAATGGTAGTCTGAGCCACTGCAAGTTTTTCCTCCATTCCCACGAATAATTGCGAACAAAAAAAACCAGAGGCAGGACTAGGTGACACACACGTGTATTAAATCCTTTTAGGCAAGTATCTTTTCAAAATAAATGTCAACCTTGGCTTTTTAAGTATTTCAAACATTAAATGACAACTCAATACCATTCACTTAAAGACTTGTAAACGGTCCAAAACCTACAATCTTTTTAGAGCAACTGCAACAAAACAGTAGCTCTTGTTTTGAACTGGGGTACAGACATGCCGGAATGGTGTATATAGTCATTCTGTGTGCACATTCATTTTACTTGCACATGTAAGCACGCCTCCAGGGTTTGGATTTGGAAAGCAAAAATGTAAACAGAAACTGCTCTGAAGTATAGTTGGCAGCTTGTGTTTCTGTGTACACTTTCAAATCTGGAAGGCTGCCTGGAATAAACAGAATCAATTATGTTCTTCGACAGTAAAAGGACTGTAAGAGAATTCAAGAGAAATGTTATTTAAATCCCACTAAGAGTACATCCAAACACTTCAAATGAATACTACACCACACCTACAATCCCATACCTTCCAAAACCACCTTAAACTGTTTTCCTCTGCCAAAAGCTTTGGGATACCTGGATTTGTACAAAGCATTTGACACTGCCCCATGCAACATCCACGTTTCTAAATTGGTGAGACATGGTTGCACTCAAAGAGCTGCGATCAACGGCTTGATGTCCAGGTGGAGATCAGTGCCAACTGCATGCCTCAGGGGTTGGTATTGGGACCAGCACTGTTTGACATCTTTGTCAGCAATGCAGAGACTGGGATTGAGTGTACCTTCACAGGTTTGCCAGTGACACCAAGCGGTGTGTTTACTTGGGGGTGCTGGTTAACAAGAAGTTCAACATGACTTGGCAATGTGCGCTCGCAGCCCAGAAAGCCAACCCTATGCTGGGCTGCATCAAAAGGAGCATAGCCAGCAGATCAAAGGAGGGGATTCTCTTCCTTTACTCCACTCATGATATCCCAACTGGATCACTGCATCCAGCTCTAAAGCTGCCACCACGAAGGACATGGACCTATTTAAGCAAGTACAGAAGAGGCCACAAAGGCGACCAGAGGGCTGGAGCACCTCTCCCAAGGTGACAGGCTGCAGAAGTTGGGTTTGTTCAGCCTGCAGAAGAGAAGGCTCTGGGAGGCCTTAGAGCAGCCTTCCAATACCTAAAGGGGGCCAACAAGAAAGCTGGGAGAGGGACCTTTTACAAGAGTATGTAGGGATAGAACAAAGGGGAATCAATTTACACTAAAAGAGGGAAGATCTATACTAGGTATTAGGCAGAAATTCTTTGCTGGGAGTGGTGAGACCTGGAACAGGTTGCCCAGAGAAGCTGTGGCTGCCCCATCCCTGGCAGTGTTCAAAGCCAGGCTGGATGGGGCTTTGAACAATCTGGTCTAGTGGGAAGCATCCCTGCCCACAGAAGAGGGGATTGGAACGAGGTGATCTTTGGGTTCCAACCCAAAACATACTATGATTCTGTTGATATCACAAGATGATCAGAAAGGCCAAACTCAAAAAACCTCACTGGTTAAATCCACATTCTTTTCAGCCTTCCTGATCCATTCAGCACATTCTCCATCACTAACATATTATATATTAAAACCACAGTTAACTGATACAGCTTTTTACCCTGTTTTGTCAATTACCTCTGAGCATGTTCGCCAAAGAGAGGAACTCCATCTAGCATTATAAAGCTTATAAAGCAGGTAAACACCCATAGTGAAAGTCTGTGGGCCAGTCCAGAGGGAAAAAAATTTATCCAATTTATGAGACATTGTTACAGTTGTCTGTCATAAGCACAAGCACCTACGGTTACTGGGCAGGCTCTGCAAAAAGCAAATTCCTCCATCTGTAATGTGCCAACTAGCAAGAAATCTAGCAAGCACAGAAGGACGCAAGAAGCAGAAGTGTACTGTGCTGTAATGCTGTGTTACATGTATAAAGTGTGGCATTGCTTATGTAAAGAGGTAAGCATTTCAGTGACTGATAGCTGAATAATTTTGCATTGCTATAAACATCAGCTAGTGTTTCAAAATCAATTCAAAATGATAGACTAAACACTCAGTTTTATCAGTCCGTATCTGAAACTGAATTAGTCATTCAGTAAACTATAACAGTTTAACTGAAGTCTATTACTTTCTCCAGTCACAGCACAAATACCATTACATTGCTTTTATAGGCAGGATGTAGCAATGTTTTATAATTTGCTGTATCTTTGGTACCAAAGAGCTGGTCATGAGGATTTTTGTCTAGATTTGATTTCTTTTCCATGTAGAAGTTTACTCTAGACTCTTAGCATTACCTTAAGAAAATGCCTTCTACTCAATAAACAATCCAGCTGTGTTTATGGATTTTAATTTACTGAGCACTCGTGTAGGTTATCTATGCTCTATCAAACCAACAGTATCAGGCACAGGTATATCCCCAAATAAGCTTTTTTTAAACTTCTGTGCAACTCCTGAAACAAAAGGGAGAGGGAGGAGATAAAAAGATTCTTGGGACAAGAGTAACACTTCAGAATGAAAGATACACTGAAACTTTTCTAAAGAGCAAAATGTTTTATTCTCATCTTCAGACATACCATGCACTCCAAAACTTGCCACAAAGAAAACTGGACAGAACTGCCTAATTTTGCTGCTGTCCAAACCTGCTGTGTGGTGACAGTAAGACTGCCCCGGACTAGATATTTTCAGTACTGCCCTTTTGTTCTTCCTGATTGCCAAGCTGGCAATTTGCCAAAACACAGGAAGTGGATACAAAGAGGTCTGAAATTGTCCTCTATGAAAACATTACTACACACAGATTTAAAAAGCAGAAATACTGCTTTGTTTAGAACAGAAACAGGAGACTCTTGTACTGCAGTTTTGTCATCTTATTTCTTATGTGTTACTGTCATTTCACAGAAAAGGCTCAGATACATGGAATTGCTTATCTGACCACAAACAGCAGCTCAACCAAAACAAACAGAAGGACTTACCACTGTCAAAAACACATCTTAATAGCATTTAGCTTCCTTCTGAAACAGGCAAGTATTCCAAACACAATCTATTTTATTTGTAGTTACCTACTTCTTCCCCCCCTGCAAAACAGTGCTGAGTAGCTTTGTCTTCTACACAGAGCAAAAAACCAACAACATTACTGGTAGCATCCATAGAATTCTAGTACACCAAAAATTTAAAATTATTCTTCCCTGTGAATATTAAACCTCAGTGGAAAGCAGTGAAAAGAAATTTCAGTTTTATTAGACATGGGAACATGAGTTAGCTATGTTTCAATGCTGTTTTCTTTGAAGTTATCTTACAAGCAGACTTTTTTGTTTGTTTCAAAATATAATATTCTTGGATTCTGGTTGTAGTGACTTTCAGACAATCATGAATAAAATTAATGGTGTGGTCATCCTGAAAAGAAAAAAAAAATGCACTATATATATATACATAAAAAACCTCTTGGGCAATTCTATGTTACTTATTGCTGAAAAGAACACAGAATCAAACAGCTAAACCAAAACCAAGTTGAACAAACTAAAAAGATTTACTATTGCTGGATTTTTTTATTCGTTTATTTTTTTTATCCAAGAAAACCAAAAGACCTTTGTAAATTCCTGTTTCCAAATCCCCTTGCTTGCCCTCCCCCATCCATGCAGGCATAATGTTTATAGCTTCACTCACTATCTGGGAACCATGAAAACAGGATCACGAGAAAGAAACATTTGCAAGTTGCTGGTGACCTCTACAACTCCCACTGTGATGGTGCTTTTTCCCCAGGGATCTCATGACATATCAAGAGCAGAATGCCTGTCCTAGAACATTTTCTTCGACTTAAAGGCGGATTTTTTTTCCCCTTTGTTAACAAAGGAAACCCTGGAATTAAATCTTCCCTTTAGTTCTAAAACATTCCATAATTCTATTTCTAGCTTCATCTTACATAGGATTTTATTATTTCTAAAAGACTAGTAGTCATGAAGCACAACAAAATTACAAACCCAACATATTTTCTCTTTACACTTCACGTATCTGCTTACTCATTATTTCAACGATTAGCTTGGTTTGCTGTGTAGCAGGATGAAAATTACTCTCCTGCCTGGCTCTTGCTGGAGCTGCTCCTCCACAGCTAAGTGTGCACTCTGAAACATACTGCACAGAACTCAGAATTCTTTCAAGCTCTTGGAAACCTTTAAAGTTTAGCAAAATTCAGAATAATATTTCATACCAATAGAAGGTTTTCCTCTGATTACATACTCTATTTTATATGGATGATAAGCATTTTTTATGTGAACATAAGAAAGAATGTGAAGTAAAAAAAAAAAAACACACCACAAACCATATTTGCTCCTTGCTACAAATACTAAGAGCTTGTGTCAATTTTCACATGAAAATAGTCTGCTTTTGGAAATTAGTGTAAGATTATATATTAAAAAAAAATTACCATAGAATGTTATTCATGAAATTAGATTAGATAGGTAACAAATGCTGACTATATATAAAAATAAATTTCCACCTTAAATAATGTTGTTTTCTTTCCTTGTTTCTTCCCATCCTGCCATCTCCCTGGGATATTTGGAACACAGACAGTAAACAGGATCTTTAAAAACAGGAAGGGCTGGCACACAGACAAGGAGCCTGAGCAGAATGAATCCAGGTGTTCCGCACTCTGGTCTAGTCTGAATCTTCATCTAACATGAGCAGTTGTGTAGCAGATCTTTAATTCAGACAGATATTGGACCTTTCCTGGTGCTGATCTCCCCCAGGCATGTCACCTTGGCTTTCAGAAGTAACTCTCTGCTGCAGCAAGATCAATCTTCAGTTCTACTGAAAAAGAGCAGAGATTTCCTCTCCTACTGTCCATACCTAGAAGGGCAGGGAAAGAACTGCAATGAAACACAGGAGGCACTGCAGTCCTCACACTTCTATGCTTGCCTCTCTACCACAACAAACAGTAACAAGAGGGTTCAATCTACAGCATAAACTTGACCAGCTCCTCTGGATGGAAGGCACACAGAGAAATGTGTTCATTAAGAAAATATGGCTGAGATTAGGCCCACTTCTGTTTACTAATTTATATCCATCTTTACTTAAAAGACCCACTCCTGCCAGCCCTTCCCTTTTTTTTGAAACAGGTAAGACATCAAACTCTGACTTACAGCATACTGTGTACTTCCCACAGAACATTTCTTAGGATGGAGTCTGACAGCAACTTTAAATTGAAACAAAAGGTTTCTTCGGTACCAAATTACTTCAGATCCTGAAAGCAGTTAGTGTGTGTAAAAACAAAAGAAGTTTGAGCGGCAGTGGATAGCAGTATTTTTACAGTTTTGCAGATTTTCAATATTAAGTATAAAACAGTGAACTGAAAGACAGAGTTTCTATTCCATAGTTTCAATATGAATTCACTTTCCGTTTATTCTACCTTAACTGACTTCTGTAGCCAAACAGAATAGATGTACAGGTTTAGTCTGCATAGACGTACTGAATTCCATTAGCAAAAACCATTCTCTTCTATTTACTGGTAAACAGAGGATGGGATGCAACTTCACTTTTGATAGAGCTTTTGTAAAGAACCACATCCCTCAGCAAAACCCACGAAAGCAGTGTGGAAGCAATTCTAGGGTGTTTTGTTTTTCCTTTTATTTCAACTCCCTTTTTAAACCATTTGGTGAAAGAAGTTTGTGGTGGAGTTAACATAAAGGCACAGCCACCATAATGAAAAATTTCAATCTGGCAGCTAAATACTCTTGCCCTATAAAGAGGTGAAGTTAATGTTCTTAGCAAGTTTTCCTATGCAAAGACACATGGAATAAGATAGCAGGCAAACAAGTCCTACTTCTACATGAGCTGTAATTGCAACAAGAAAATACCATGGCTTTTCAAGAGTCAGTCAGAAATAATGAAGTACCACTTCCTAGCAGACTTGTCTGTGATACAGTCAATAGTGATTAACTAAATATTCATTTAGCAGATTATAACCTGCTGAAAGTTAAGCACCAACAGTTTTCCATAAAATATAAAGACCTTCATCTTCCCCCATCCTGCCTACCCTGCACACCAAGTTAACAGAGCAGCACAGTGGGATACTACTCACCTGCAAAACATTTAGCACCACTACATGCTCCCATCAGGCTTCACCACCCTGAAGGTCACACATCACTCAGCTGTATTGCTCCCAAGCCATCAGAAACCCAGCCTTCTATGTGAAACAATACTGTTGAATGAGTTACTGATTTTGTAAGCATACGTAACTGTTACAAAAGCAAGCGTAAACATCACAAAACACACAAAGTTCCTCTGAAACCTTAAGGTATATAGATTTATTCTTGTTCTAGCTATTGACTCTGGTTGAGTAGGACTTTTCTCTGCATTTATAGCTGAATGCCAAAGCAATAATCATGACTTAAGACACTACCATATTTGCATTTGTGTTCAAGAAGTGCAAACAAACATGATTCACTGTGACTATGTATGTCATTAGGTACTGCATGCTTCAGCCTGAAGTATAAAAACAGCTATGGTAAACTGTGACAAATGATTCTTCAGCATGTTTAATGAAATGTTTATCATTTTACTACGTATCTGTTAGAAGAATCTGCTTTGCAAAACTTATGTTGTGCAAACACAAATGCACCATTTCTAGCGTGGGGCTACCCAGATATTAAGCTTGTTGTTAGTGCATCTCTTTTTCCTGTACTTCAAGCTGTTACCCAAATTGTTTCTCTAATGAGGTCAGAGTACCAGCAATTATGTTGACTACATCTGAAAGAAATGGCTAATATTTGCCTAAACGGGTAATGTTTGTAATTAACATGAACTTTCCAAAGAAGAAAGTGACATAAGCTCATAAGTATTTAAACAGTGAATAACAGCAACATCTCTACAATAGTTTCCCAGGTTGGAAAGTCACTTTCATATCCAGATTAAACACTGAGACTAGAGACACATGCTGCCTACTACTACAATCAGAGCTCTGTAAAAGGGATATGTTAAGATGACCTTTATTTTAAAAAAAGGTCAGAAAGATACCAGCAGTAGTCAGTCACTGCTATTAAGAGAACTTTACACATCTGCACAAACAAGGAAGTATTTTTAATACATTTCCATTTTAATAGTCCTCTGGAAACATTCTGTTCATGTTTTCTACGTATGTATGTTCCAAAAGACTGAAATCACTTTTAAGTCTGTTCTGGGACAGAAGACCACAAAAGCTTAAGTGTTTTGGATTTAATTTCAATCCATAAAACCCACCAGTTAGGGCAGGGTGACTATACTGCAAATCACCTTTTTGTTGTTAAAATAACCCGCCCGTAGACAAGGACGGAAAGAGATGAGAAGCAACAGTAATGGTTACTTCTCATATTGCCTTGAAGTTACTTGTGGTGCTATCCTATCTGCTGATGTACAATGAAAGGCTTGGAAACAGGTGATTAAAGAGGAGTTCAAGGGCTGAATTGCTAAGTAACCTGACAACACATTTACAAAGAGTTTCCACAAGCAGTAGTAGGTTTTGCCACCCTTTTGTTTATGCATCATCTCTGCTGTTTGTTGCTCATTGGCTTCCGCTTTCATCCTTTATCTCTTGGCAGTAGTTATGCCATCTTTCCCCACATGTCAAACCATTCCAAGTCGGAGGTATTTAAGATCAAGGGAGTGCTGCTAAGCAGTGATAACGACATCAGGGCTCTATCCTCCATTTCAGAGGAAATTGAAGAGGAAAACAAGTTATTAGAATTTTACTAATCACAACCTTGGTAAACATGAGAAAACCAGTTAAATTTTAACATTTTAATTGAGAGGGTAAACCTTAAGTGCTTTCTTTTACCTAGCTACCACTTATAAAAAGTCACAAAAGTGATTACGTTTATCATCTACAATGACAGCATTTCAATTTCACATATTACTATTTTACACCAAAACACAAACATAATTAATTGTAAATAATTTTTTGTAACAAACTTTCTAGACTTAAAGTGGCACTCACAGGCACCCTATTTGGACACATCCTCAATTATACACCAAAATCAAGACTATCCAAGATGTCTGGAAGTTCTTTAAACATTAGCTCTTTTTTTGGGACAAGTGCTCTTCTACAGCACTCAACGTTAGAACTGAAGGAGGTTTCAGAGGCAACAGCATGAAATTGCAAGATGATAAAATAACTACATTAATTGCTTTCCTCCCACCAGTGGAGACTACTTTGATAAACTGATAAGCGGAACTCATTGTCCAACATCCATATAAACTTTTCAGAAGGCAGAAAAACAATTCGATAGTATCACTTTCATTTTCAAAATCCAGCTACATTTGCTGATTATTCTGTTAACAGCTGGGAACATTAAGACAACAATGAAGTGGTATGCTTTAAAATACGAGCAGCTCAATGACCACAACAAGCATATTTTAGAGTATTTGGAATGGAAGTTTTTACTTCCCTTTTCCCAAAGGGAGCTAGCTCTATTTAGAAACTTCTCCTTATGTTACCACTATTAACTTTAATCTTTTAAACTATGCCTGTAGTCAAGAGTCATATTAGTGTTTCCCAGCCTTAATGAAAAGTAACTTAACGGCACAAGCACCAAAGCTGTATCATAACATACCTCATCACACAAAGCATATTTGTTGAGTCTGAGAACAAAATCTCCACTCTACTTGCTTGGCAAGCCAGTCTTTACTCTGATCATTCTTATTGTCTTTGTGGTTGCATTTTCAAGTGTTCAGTGTTTAGTTTGCCTACTGATCTTTGCAGAGATCAGTCTCATCACTTTTCTAGCAAGTCAGATGTCAAAGTCCCAAGGTAAAGAAAATTTTGTTCTAGTCAACTGATATTGCAGAACAGCCAAATATTTCTTCTTATGGTTGATAAGACTCAGATGAAATGCTGAATCCTGAGTATTTTCAGTAATGTGCAAGACTTCTTGCATTTTGAGGATTTTCAAGAGCTTGTTTCTTCGGTGACTACTAACAGCTAAAAGAAGGAATATGGTTGCAACAAGGGGTAATTTTTTGCTGAACAGATTTAGTATCCTCTGCAAGGATCCACAGCTAAGGAGCTAATAGTTTAAGATACAATAAAATCAATCTCAGCAGAAAAAAAAAACATGCTTCTGGAAAAAACATAACTCAAGTTAACAGCAAGAGTTAAAAGTCAGGAACAGTCTTAGAAAATATTGGGCAAGAGTCATTCATCACCATTAACTGCCACATTAAGGACTGGCAAAAGACTAATTAGAATGGAAATAACAAAACCAGTTAAGTCTCAATGACAGATAAGTTTGACATGTACAATCTTGGAGACAACCTTCCAGTTTTGCTTCTTCTTTATGTTCCTTTGCCAAAGAGGGTCATAATGTACAGCCAATAGTGTGACTCAGATGCCTCAAAATTCCAGGGAACTTTACAGTAAGTCTTAGTCAATTCAGTAAGTCTCCTGTATTCAGGAAATGTGCTTTGTAGTTCACAATCCTCAAAAGCTACATTTATAAGCATTTCTACAATCAGAAGCTGTAAGCAAAACTACAAAAATTTCCCTACATAAGTTAAAGAAATTGTGTTAATAGGTAGACAAAAAACTCAACAGAACACAATCATCAAGGTATATCTAATCTACTGGTAAAAAGCAATGGCACATGAAACAAGAGACCAATGAACCTTAAGTTCTATGTTTGACCCAAATTTCTTAAATTAGATTGAAGTAGTAATTTACTTCTATTGCTCCAAGTTAGCAACATGCCAGGGACATGAAAGGTTCACCAGTACACCATCATTCTCTCCCCTTCAATTTCACAATGGTAAGCTGGTTTCTTTGAATTTTGTTTTTACATTTCTAGAGGTATCTGAACACAGGGTTGGTTTGTTTTGGTTTTTTTTGTTGTTGTTGTTGTTGTTTTTTTTTGTTAGTTTTCTTTAGGTTTTTTCCAGGTTTTTTGTTTTGGTTGTTTGTTTAAAAGAAAAGGGACTCTAAACATCTCCAGCAAGTGTACTTAGCAGGTATAATTGACTTAAGTGCTTTTATTCTGTTTCACAGGCCTTAACAAATGGGAACACTTAAGGGAACTCTCAAACAAGTGATGGTGTCCACCATCCCTCACATTCCTTATTTGAAATACACAAGCTTTTTAAATTGCGTTTTGAAACCCCTGCATCCAGAATTAACTAAAACCCCACATTCTCTAGAATTGAAGTGTAAAAGCATGCTATATAAAATAAAACACAGTGGCTGCAAAGACATTAACTACTGCTTAGACTGTGAAGAGAGATCTAGAATTACAAAATCTGTACTCAGTCTACTGCATTTCCATTTGCCCACAAGTTACATTACAGGATTTATAAAAGGGTCATTTCCCATCCAACCCCCCTTTTTATTTTCTTAGCCTTTTTAAAACAGTTTAACCCCCTCTATCCCTCAGGTGGGCTTGGTTTTGTGCTCAGTTTTTTTGTTTGTTAGTTTGGGGGGGGCCCACTTTGGTTTTGGGTTTTTTTGTTGGTTTGCCATTTTGGTGTGTGGGGGATTTTTTGTTTTGTTTGTTTTGTGGCTTGTTTTTGGTTGTTGTTGTTTTTTTTGTTTTTGGTGGGTTTTCTTAAGTTAATACTATGGCAGTGCTCAGGAAAAAATAGTTAATACTTCAGGGTATTATTTTTCCTTCATTTAACATATTCAACTTAAACAGCAAATTAAATTTTCCATCCAGTTTTAGCATAAATATTTTTTTGGCCTCTTCTAGCCACAGCTACAGTTTCAGACAGACATCATCACTTGGAGCAGCTGATGTCTGGCTGTTTAAAAGGATGAGACAAAGCTCCCACAAACAAGAACAATGCATAAAAAGCTGCAAAAACCCCAAACAAAACAAACCAACAACAAACTCCACCTTAGCTTACACTCCAAGCCACAAGCCCATTTCTTCAGTTAGTCAAAGTACAAACTCTTCTTTCTCTCATGCTGCCACTTCAACTCAATCACACACACACACACAAGCAAATGCGCAAATGGCCCATTTTTCTTCAACTGAGAGATTTATGAAATCCCACAGTTTTCAGTAATCACAAAACTTTATAATGGTATTCTATAACTAAACTGGAAAGCTTAGTTTTGCAGGATTATTCCCGTTCCAATTATAAATCATAAGAATCAGCTTCCTTATGAGTATCAATGTTAAAAATCCCATTAGCCTCCCCTAGCCCAAATACAACATTTTTTTAGTTTCCTATTAACTGCAGTCTTTGTCTTCATTAACGTACTCAACAAGACAAAGCAAACCCATGTACGATAACCATCTACAAGATCCAGTATTTCTTGCATGATGTGGAATTAATGTATCATCCCCCAGACTTCCTTTCCCCCAGAAAAGGCAAGAAAAGCAATAGCAACCATTTTTTATTGGGAATACCTGCAAGGTGTTCAGATACCTGCATTTTCCTGCTTCCCAGAGAATCTGTACCATAAGTCCTGGAGGCTACATAACGGATTGACCTGCTGTGTGCAAAACTTTTAAGAAAATACTGTTTTGCAGACCAAATATCAGCCTTAGGCTTCTTGTCTATCCATTCACAGGTAACTTGAATTTCTTACAGAGTTAAAATTATGATGATAATCAAGCCTTCTCAAAGTTATATAATATATGACCAAGCTATTAAAAAGCACAACTCACATTTGAATCTGAGGGAGCTAGTGTGAGCAGAGTCATTCTTTATGCAATAACATCTTTAAAAGGTGTGATTTTTCTTCCAATAACTGGAAACCTCTTATTATATACTTGGTCTTGTGAGGCAGCATGATGATAAAGTGTGAACCCTCTGCTTGTTGTTGGAATTCCTATTCTGAAGCAACTTTTAAAAAGTGATTTAGCCAATAATAAATATCCTTCATTTGCTTCCAGAAAGCAGGAATGACCTGATGGTCAAAGAAACAGTTAACTAAGTATTGAACTACTTTATGACTTCCAATAAAGCAAAATTGCTTTGTAAACAGCCCAGCTACACCACCTTTCCCAAAGAATAGTCCAGAAAAAAAAAAACCAAAACACACAACAGTGTCATTATTCACACAAGTAAGTTGCAACAGGCAGCAAAACAAATTTGGCCTAACACAATAAAAATCTGAAGCAGCTGAACAACTGAAGGTATGGATTTATACGTTAGGCTTAGCATACTTTGGAGAACAACACAAAACTGTCTCCAGATTGGCATCAAGTTAACACCCATGAAATGCAGGGTATCTGCTCCAATCAAATTTCGACTGCAGCTCTGAAATCACTGTATTCATTGTCTTAATAAAAAGGCAGAATATTTCATGGATCACATAAGGAATTGTGTGGTTTCATAAATTCCTCTGTAAGCACTACCAGCTTGGCTAATGCCTTGTTTGCCTACATGATGACATTGGCCAAAATATGCTTCCAAATAACTAACCACTACGGAAAAGTTTGCCAATGTTACTTTTTGAGAATAAAGTAACTTACTGTGAAACTTTAGGTTCACATGGAGATTTATTTCAGTACGGCTTATCCAGTTTCCCACAGCAGACAAACCATTAAAGTCCGCCATCCCAAGTACTGAAATATTACTAGGAACTAACAATACTTACATACAACAAGAGCTGGACTTTGATTAGTATACTGCATTACAGAATTGCAGCATGGAAGCAACTGAAGCAACAAGCATGAGAACAGCTCTATAAATTAATTGTGATGTGCAATAAATCAAGGAATGATTCAAATTATGATGGGAAAGTTCTAATTTTATCCAATGTGATGAATTTCAAAGCCTGCTATAGCTCAAAGGAGGGATGTAAGAGTATAGGTAACTGACAGAACAGAGTCCAGATTTCTTCTATTAAGTACTACAGAATTCAGATTCAGACACCAGTTTTCCACTCTTCTATAAGTTTGCTGCAGAATGCTCATGACTGCAGAATTAACTTAAGCAAAGATTTATAGTCCATACTGCCCACTTTTAAATGTACATTTTCCTTGTGCTTGCTCTGAACAAACACTGTTTATAAATAACTTATGTTCAATCATGGTCTTAAAGTTAGTAAAAATTCGAAAGAAAAAAAACCATACAGAAACATGTAAGTAGCAACAGCAGAAGCAATAGGTCTAATCCCTTAACCTCAGGAATATCAAAACCACCAACAAAATCCCTAAAGAAAAACAAGCATGCAGTTCGTATTAGCTTGGTCAAAGTTTTGTAAGCATTCAGCCTACTAGAAAATACATAAGGACTAGTAAGAAATAGCAGTTTCATATTTGATTTCAATAAAGACAGATCTCTGCATAGTATTAAGTAAGACTTTTTTACAGGTAGCAGAGATGGGACACTACTACAGCAAGTCGGTTGCAGCTCGAAACACACACACGGAGTGGGAAGAGCCTCTCCTGCCAGTGCCAGTAACTAGCCGAACCGTGACCCCAAATGCACTCCCATCACAAGGTCTGTTGAAACATATTTACAGAAAATAGCTACATTTCAGGGGTGGAGGGAGCCGCGCTCAAGAGCGACAAGCTACTGGTTTTTCCTCTTCCAAGTTACAACTCTAGGAGAGAAGACCCATAAAGCATGATGTGGCAGAAGAGTGCCAGCCGAGGAAAACCCCACCGTTCGCCCCAGCCACCCGAGGGCCGCGCTTGCCTCTCCAGCTACCGAAGACCAGCGAGACTCCTTACAGTCAATGAAAAGCGGCGCTCCCCTCAGCCGCCACCCAGCCAAATTGCTGGGCAGCCCCGTCCGCCGGCCGGGACGCCCCAGAGAGTACTGCCGTGCTGCGAAAGAGCCAGGCGGCCCCGACCCTCGTCTCACTCACCTCACAGACACGGCTTCTCCGCCTCCGAGCCGGCCCGCAGCCACCGCCCCACTGGGCAGGGCTGGGCCGGGCAGCACTCCGCAGCACTCACAATACCTGAGACACGTTGCAGTCGCCACTGCACCCCCTAAGCTTTGGCCACCGTGCCCCCGAGCACGAACGGAAACAACACCGACAGCCACCACCCCAATCCCAAAGAACCGCCTCCCGCACGGGCAATAACAGGAAGGGAGCGGGGCCCTGACCCCGGATGGGGATGGTGTCTCCCGCCGGAAGTGCAACTGCAGAGCGTAGGTGGAAGCAACACGCGTGCGCGGCTGAGAAGGGGTATGGTTAGGGTCGCGTCTTGAGTGCCGGAGAGGGGGCGCCGGGTGATGTCACAACACCGCGCAGTGAGGCGGTGTCCTGGGGTTGCTCGCGTATGTCCCGCTGCGCCACCTAGCGGGGCGGCGAGGCCTGCTCAGGCACAGGCAGCAGCTGCCCGTGCGAACGGTTACGGCACCGGGGCCCCGGAGGTGGCCTGGCTGGAAGCCAGCGTTCAGAACAGCGGGCTTGTGCTACCCCGAACTGGCGCCTATCCCACCTACTGCTGCAAGCTTATTTAAAGCGCCTCATGGCGGTTACGCTGCACTACGGAAAAGGATTAAGGACGGGTTTGTCCACCCGGTCCCTGTTCCCAGGCGATCGCCAGCAACGCCCAGTTTTCCTTAAAACCTGAGCCGCTACCGGGATGCAGTCACTGTAAGCGGTTCCGGCATCCCTTTAATGGAGAGCGGTTTCCAAGCGAGTACCCTCACCCTTGGGAAAGCAGTCAGGCAGCGTTCAAAGCGTCGGCCCGTGCTGGCTGGGGGTTCGGGGTGCAGAGACAGCTGGGCTCGGGGGGAGCCAACGTTAGGCGCAACAAGTGGGGCTGGTGTGGAGGCAGTGGCGGGGGTGGCCCGAGTGGTTGACGAGTGAGGCATCTCGGCCAGTCACCATGTTTTCCAAGGGGTATTTATCACCGCAGAATTCTCTTTCTTGAAGCGTTGCCCGGGGCCACCACAGATTCAACTCGCCGCCGTGGCCAGTCTGAGCTGCTGCAGATGACTGATGATGGAGCACCAGCCTCGCCGGTGACAGCAAAGCGCAGCGTGCGGCAGCGATGTCACCCGTTAATACACCGGCTGTGAAACGCCCGTTTGCTGCTCTTGCTGGAAGCTGCCGCGGCTTGTGATTCCCACCTGTAGTGATTTATCCGATAAATGGGAATTTTTCTAAGATCTCACAAAAATTAGTGCGTGTGGCTAACTAATGGGTTCTTGGGTAGGTTGCCTGATTGCTACCGGGAAGTCTTGGTGATGGTTTCAGCTTGCAGAGATTGCTCGGTGCTTTCCTGTTCCAGGGCAATGAACGAAAATCAGCAGATGCTGTTGTGCTTTGGGGCAGGGCCGCCCAGCTGGGACGGTGAGACCAACGCTGCCGCCCTCCGTGGTTCAGGGGAAATTAACTCAACCCTGGCTACGATTAGCGGGAGTAAGCTGAAGATGTTTACCTATGCAAATATAGGTTAATGGCAATTTCTGCTGTCATAAACAAAAGGTGCTATAAAAAAAAAAATAAAGAAAGACCACTACATGACCTTATACAAAACCTCAGCTTAGGATTTGTTTTGTTCAGCCTGTAGAAGGCTCTAGGGAGAGCTTACAATAGCCTTCTAATGCCTAAAGGGGCCTACAAAAAGGTGGGAGAGGGTTTTTTCAGAAGGGCATGTAGGAATAGGAGAAGGGGAAATGGATTTAACTGAAGAGGGAAGATTTAGATTAGACATTAGAAAGAAGCTCTTTACTTTGAGGATAGTGAGACACAGGGACAGGCTGCCTAAGAAACTGTGACTGCCCCATCCCTGGCAGTGTTCAAGGCCAGGCTGGAGGGGGCTTTGACCAACCAGTGTCCCTGCCCATGGCAGGGTGGTTGGAACTAGAAGAGCTTTAAGGTCCTTTCCAACCCAAACCGTTCTATGATTCTGTGATCTGACCGAACAGTTCAGTATTTGGAGCAACTTTTATACTACGTTATAGCCTGCAATGCCAAATACCGTGTTTCAACGGCCGTGCGGCTCTGTAAGCTCACTTCGCAAGAAGTCAGACGGGAAATACCAGCAGCTACTTGGGACCGGAGGAGAAAACACAGGCCACAGCACGACAGGGTCGCACCCCACCTAAAGTCGTCGGTGCAAAGGCTTCGAGACTCGCTTCCTGCAACACCGCCGACCCACGGCGGAACAAACCCTATTGGCACTGCCGGTGGGTGCGCGTGACGTTCCGCGCCCGCCTCAGGGCCCTCCCCGCCGCGCTGCCGTCACTTCCTGCAGCTGGTCCCGGCCGCGCTGCCGGTCCCGGCTCCTTCTGCGGCCTCGAGCGCTGTGTGCAGCCGTACGGGGCTGCGGTGCCGCTGGGGGCTGGGGCAGTCGCCCTTAGCCCCCGCCCGGTGGTAGGTGCGGCAGGGTTAGTGGGGGGCCGGGGTGTGCGCGGCGGGCACACGGCGTGGCCTCAGCGCCTGGCGCCGTTGTTTTAGCGGGGTTGGGGTCGGCTTTGCCGGTCGGTACGGCATTGCGGGGGCTCGCAGTGCCCTGCCCTGCTCGGGAGTGCTTACGCCGCTTCGGTGATGCGGATTTCTGCATCTGCCTCTGCTCTACGCTGGTTTTCATTTCTGCGTTTCCAAATCGTGCGTTGGTACGGTGAATAGTTACTTAAGTTGCGTTTTTACAAGGTATCATAAGGTAGTACATACCCGGGCTTGCTTTCTTCCTTACACCCCATCGCCCTTTCTGAAAGGCATGAAGCTTTACAAAAATAAGATGTCTGGGGAGACCTTAGAGCAGCCTTTCAGGGCCTAAAGGGGCTACAAGAAAGCTGGAGAGGGACTTACAAGGGCGTGTAGGAATAGGACAAGGGGGAATGGCTTTAAACTGAAGAGGGAAGATTTAGATTAGACATTAGAAAGAAGCTCTTTACTTTGGGGGTGGTGAGACACCGGCACCGGTTGCCCAGAGAAGCTGTGGCTGCCCCATCCCTGTCAGTGTTCAAGGCCAGGTTGGACAGGGCTTTGAACAATCTGGTCTAGTGGGAAGTGTCCCTGCCCATGGCAGGGAAGTTTGAATTAGATTATCTTTAAGGTCTCTTTCAATCGTAACTGTTCTCTGACTCTATGAAATGTCTGCCCAGGATGTCAAGGTTTACACTGTGGTTTCTGATGCTGATGTAAGAGCTGCTAAATGCTCTCTTGTTTCTGGGTTACTAAATGTGTATCCTCATCAGCAGAGGGTTAGTGGGCTTATACCTTGATGCAGAATTGTGTATGATGTGTATTTGTTTTGTGTGCTGTTTTCCATCACTACAGCATTATAAAATGACCTTGCCCTTCATGGTGAAGTTCTGTAGGCCTAGTCTATGGCCAAACAGAAACTTTCTAACAAAGTTAGGTTAAGTGGTGTCAATAGTCTGAGATAAAAGGGGTCTTGAGAAGTTTCTGGTCTTGAAAAAAAAAAACCACCACAAAACCTACAACTTGTTCATCACTTGTATAGATTTCTGTCACTGTTATTAGTTGCCTTAACTGCATTTAAAATTTAATTTTGATGGGAACATATGACATATAGATGTTTCACTGTGGTTTACGCTTACAGCCAAGGATGGTCATGTTGTGTATATATGCCTTCCCCATCAAATGGTGATTTGAGGCTATTCCAGTTCCTTTTCCAGAAATGTGCTGTTGACAGCTCGTGAGGTTGTTCCCTGTTGCCTGTGCCACCAGCAGTGCCTGGCTACTACCAGGCTGTGGTACTTGGGGCATGGAGACTGGGTCTTCTCCTTCAGTGCTGCCCTTGGGGTGCCCCAACCTGAATGTAACGTGGAGAGCTTGTGCCCCTGTTTCCCTTGTATCCACCTGAGGACAACTGGCACAGAGTGGAAGTATATTCTCACCTGTACAGCTTGTAGGAGAAGGCATGCTGAGATCTGAGAGATGCTGTCCTGAGCGTTATGTCTCCTCAGCTCACCCTGGAGAGCTGCAGATCCTTACCCTGCCTCAGGCTGTACTGTTACGAGTCCTTTGTGGCAGAGATTCTCTTGCTGTTTTGCAGTGTAAAGATTTTGCAGCTTCTCATGTAAAAGGAAAGGAGGAGTCAAAAATGTCCTGTTACCTTCTCCTGGACAGGGTATCTGTGACACCCAGCAGTGGAGGGTTAAAAAGGCATGTAAATAAACTGAATAAGATTTTTTTTTTTTTAATTTCCCCTCTTAAATAGTATCTATAAGAAAGAAATCAACATAATCTGAACAATTTCAGTGGTGAAAGGTCACTGTTAGAAGTAAATCAGTTGCCTGTGCCAAGTCAAGAGGTTCTAATTTTAAAGTTGCCCATATAGCGTTAATTTTACCTTCAAATTACTGCTTACAGTAAGAATCAGTAAATGACTTTACAATTAAAGATTTTCTAACAATATTACATTATACCTTTTCCCCTGTGTGTGCAGATCCTCTAAGTACTGTATCCTCTCTTGTGTATGGCAGATCCCGTCAGTGACAGTTGCATATGGAAGACTAAGTACAACAAACACTCATGCAAAATTAAGCAGATGGATCCCAACTGCCATTTACTGCAGATCTCTTTATATTGCTCTGTGAAGTATTTAGCTATCATTTACTCCCATTTTAAGGCAGGAGGCCCAATATGCTGGTGTAATAAAACTGTGAAATTGGATGACATGCTTACCTGCATGCATAGTTCATCTAAACTACCACAATAGGCCTGCATTATGATACATTTAACTGTCATGAGCCTGAACATATTCCATCTGTAGCCCCATTGAAATGAGTTAGACGATCTACAGAGTACTACTTGAGGAAACTAAAGACAGCAAAATCTTCCATGGTTCTGTTTAAACAGGAACACATATGCTGAAAGTTGGAGAGAAGTCAGGTCACACTACAGAATTTAGAGTGCTGGTGGGTGGTTGGCACCACTCCATTCCTGTGTGCCCCCTTCCTTCTTTGTGGTGGATTCCATTTTATCTTGTTTCAGTTAGTTTTCATGGTAGAGGTTTTGATTTTGTCTTTATGGTGACACCACATTAGGTATAGTTCTCCTGGAATTTCACACAGCTTTGGTAGTGATGGGCTGTTCAAAACCATAAAAACTCTTGGTGGCTCTACTGCTGTCTTAAAAGTCTGTCCCCAGGGCAGTGCATGCTGGCTTATTTTTTTGTTTTGGTTTCTTTTTTCCCTTTTATTTTTTTTTCTTACCTTTAGTTTCTAGTAATAACTGCCTCCAGTCTTGTAATATTTGGAAGTCCATTTTTAGCGGTAAACATTTCAGAAATGCTTTTGTTACTTAAGCACTTTGGTCCCACTGATTTTATTGTTTTTTATTTTTTATTTTTTATTTTTGCTAATACAAAAGATTCTGTCCAGATTTTCAAAGGTAATAGAGTACCTAAAAATGCAGGCATCAGCTAGGATTTTACATAGCTTGGATATAGTAAGGTATTTATCTCCTGTTAATTTTAGTACATTGAAAACTCCAGAAGTTATCCCAGATAAATACTATCCTCTTCTCCAGGTTCCTAAATGTGTCTGAATTTGAACTCTGTTTTCAAAAGTGACTCGGGAGCAGAGTTCCTAGGTGGCATTTTGTTTACCTTCCCCTAATTTTCCAGAAGTGTTATTTTAAAATGTAGATGTGACTTACTGTTTGCTTAAACAAATGAACAAAGCCTATAGCATAAACATAGTTGCTACCAATGCAGCCCTAACTGGAAGTGATCTGCAAAGGCCAAGATAATGCTTCTCTTGATCCCAGTGTAGCAGTGAATAGGATTTGTTATGATAAGAAGCTAATAAGACATTAACAAAAGTATCTGTGCCTTGATTCATAATATCACTATTCTGCATTATTCTAGGAATATTCATTGGGGCTTTAAATGTGATTTATAGACTTTTAATTTTATAAGCCTCTCAGAACTACTTATTGGAAGTGCAAGCTTAGTTCTAAGAACTTGCATTAACTGAGCAATAATTGCATAAAGGTTAATATGGGATAAGCTGTCCATTTTGCAGAAGATGTGGCTCTAAATGTTGCATCGGTTATAGTTAGCAAAGGAAACATGAGAAATAGCTCAAGGTCATTCAACAAGACCATGTCAAAGAGCCCTTGGGTCTTGACTGTGAACAGCAAGGTATGCTCAAGTTGATTCCCACTTGTCCACATTTGTTGACTTGCTCGAGAAAAGTTAACTGTAGAATATCTTTCCTCAGGAAGGAGTAATTGAGGGATGATGTGTATGTGGGTATGCATTTTATATATACCTATATATAATAAATCTGTTTTGAAATATTTGGGTTCATTTTCATTTTAAGTCATTGTTGGCTTATACTTGTAAAACTTTGTACATCAGTACATCATTGGCAAGTTCCTGTAATACTTGTTTAAGTTTTGGAGTCTGAGCTTGACCTTGAGCTGCCAAAAGAGGATGTGGCTAACAGCTGTATGCCTCTTATTCCCATTAACACAGCTTTATGTGCTGTGTGGGTTGTATGTCACATCTTATGGTTACAGAGCAGTGAGATGTGCATGCTGTTGGTTGAGTACTATGGGTGGTTAGTACCCCAGGAGGGTGCCATGGGGTACTAACAACCACGTTTTGGATTCAGCCCACTAACACGTGTATCTTTTAATCTGTCTTTGCTTGTCTGGGGTGCTGCTGTTCCTGTGGGATAAAGTGTTATAAACTGACTTCATCCTGTTTGGCATTGTGAAAAGTCATAAGGTAGAGGCAATGAAGTTTCAGAATTTGTCCCCAGGATGGTCAGTCTTCCTGTTAGCACTGCTTATTTCATCATTTGTGTGTCTCTGGTCTAGATCTGAAGACGACTCCTTATCCTTCAGAAGTTGCATGCCCACAGTCTTCCTGGCCAATGATTCTTCTACAGCAAGCAGGACTTCTTCCTCATTGTGAGAAGCCTTCATCTCTTCCTATGTCAGTGGCTACAAGGCCAAAAGCCACCTCACCATTGTCCCCACCAAAATCTCTTGGACTGGGGCCTTCCTTTCATCACACACAAGAAGAAGAGCTTGCAAAGGTGGTGGAGCAGGACCCTATACTGGAGGAACTATGTAAGCCTCTGTGCTGTAAGCTTTGCAATGTCACTCTGAATTCAGCACAACAAGCCCAGGCTCATTACCAGGTAAGGAGAGTAGCAGAAGGCACAGCTTTCAGGGCTGCTGCATCTGCAGCTTGTGTAGAAGTACCTGTGCCACCATGTTCATTTCCAGTAACATTGCTGCGGTAGCACAGAGCTAAGCATGGGCTAATGCACAAGGATGAACCCCCCTCAAAGGGGTTTTGAGTGTAAGGTGACTGCACACCAGCAGCAGCATTTGAATTAGCTCACCTGGAGCTACCTCTGCACCATTTAATGGACTAAGGCTGCTCTGTAGACATGTCTTCACCCTATTTGAATTTGCTGATCATCCGGATGTGCTGCAGTGATTTTATTTAAGGTGTCATCACTGGAGCATTTTGCAAAAACTTTGTTCACAGAGACAGAGAAGTAGTACCAAGATGGCATGGGTAAAAAAGCAGATACTGATGTCTCCTTTGTTTTATGCAACTCATTTTTCACCTCTTCCAATAAACTTGAACTTCTCATTCCACAGACATGATTTTGTAGGGCCTGAACAGATGTTTTCTGCTGGATCCAGCTGTTCACTAGGAAGGGGGGCTGCTGCCAGGTGTTTATTCCCGTCTCCTTGCTGAGATTATGCACAGCACTGATGTGGTGGGGCCATTTATGCAAACACTCTCATCAGCTGGGTCAGCTCAGATCAAATAAATTTTGTTCAAGCTGATCTGGTTGATTTGTCTGAAATAGGTTGGGGACTATTTGCCTATACTTCTTTGCTGAGAGACTGAATATGTCACTGTCTTACATTACCCCTTTTTATTAGTGCCCTCTCTGCCTAGTGCTATACTTGTGTGCGATATGGCGACCTTCTCTACCAGTGAATCCAAAAGACTGGTTGTCCATATCCTTTGGGCACCATACCTGGATCGCAGATTTGCTGTTGGCCCTGAAAAAGTGGTATCCTGCTAGTGAAGGGGTAGGATGAGTTAGTGTTACACTAATTTATGGAGTGTATCTGCCATGAGGGGGGACAGAAGTGCGTTTATCCTACATAACTTGCATTTACACATATGCCTTACTATGTATCGACAATGCATATACATAGTCTCATGGAACTCTGTCAGGCCACCAAAAAATAGTGTATAGCATGTGTTTTCCAAGAAAAAGTAAAACATGAAATAGGGGTTTTTATATTCAATCTCATGTTTTAACTAATACTTGCACTGTCATGAAGAATTGTATGTGTTCAGGCTAAAACTATGCAAAGTAGTGTTTCATGTTTAAAATGTGAAATACTGGGTTTATGTGAAATGCAAACAGAATATGAACTAATTGTAACCTTACTGATTTGGGAAAATTAGTTGAAAATGAGGCCAAGTCATGCTGGGTGATTAGCATTTGGGAGAAAGGGGGAGATTCCAGCATCTCTCAAGTTCAGAGTTATTTTCTAAGTGATAGCTCGTTTACCTGAGTTGCCATTTTCATGGCTATTATTTTGGTCTTTGGATCCTTTTCCTTTCAATGTAAGATGCTATTACTAGAACAGTGATTAATCTGGGTTCTCGTTCCAGGGTAAAAACCACAGTAAAAAACTCCGAAATTACTATGCTGCCAATAGCTGTCCGGCATCTGCCAGAATGAGTAATTTGGTTGAGCCTGCCCCACCTCAGATTGTCTCCCTTCCAACTCAGGTAAGGCAGGGGAGGGTGATTGAGATCGTGCTGCTTACTTGTCACTTAACCCCCAGTAAGGATAACTAGATCTCATGTTCTGAGGGTTACCACAGGAGTTGGGATGTGTTGATGGCACAGGACGATAGAAACATCCTGTTGTGAGCTGTTTGCTTTCTTTTGAAGATGCAGGTATTGATCTGCTGTCGCAGCAGAATATTGGACTTGAAGTATTCTATTTCTGCATGGCAAATACATTGATTGCTAGGTAAATCTGATGTGCTGCTGAGTATGCTTAAGGGCAGGTATAAAACAGCATTGCCGGAGCTGGGTTTGGACAGGAGGGTGTGGCATCTGCTCTGCACAATCATCCCTTCATTGCATGAGGGAAGCCTGCAAAGAAAAAGTGCTTAGGTGCTCCTACACCCATTGCCCAGGGCTGTTGGCTAATTCCTCTTACATTGTTCCTTTTGAGGTGATCGTTCCTGTGTGTAGGGTAAACAGTGTTCTCTCAGTGATCCAGATTAATTCTGTCTTGGGCACATTAGAGGCAAAAGAGATAATTTTTGCTTTCTTCTTCTAGAAGCTCAGCTGCAGAGATCAAAGCTGCGCCTGTTGTTTTCCAAAGCATAGGCCATTTTTGTCTGTAGAAAAGCAAAGAGCATCTGCTGTAAGTGGCAGATAAACATGTTGCTGGAGCTGCCAAAGGGAGAACTGGTTCCATGTAAATGGACATGATCTAGTGTGAGGTGCCCTTACCCATGGCAGCGGGGTTGGAACTAGATGATCCTAAGGTTCTTTCTAACCCTAACCATTCAGAACTCACAGAACTTAATTGGGATGACATGAGGTCCAGTCTAGTTAGTGGGATGTGGGTTCTGTACCTGCCAGGGTATCTGATATGGGTTTTGATGGAGGAAATGGTCCATGGTAATAAAAGGACTGCTCTGGGACTACATGAGCATTCATGTAATGTGAAAGTCAGACTTGTGTGTTTATATCTAGAAGCTTGAACAGTATCAAAGCAGATGTGAAAGAAACTTGACTTGGCAAATGCTGCAGTGACATGGCTGTATGAATCACTGCTGCTGCACTGTTCACAAAGCACTTTTTTCTGGATGATACACATTGAGGAGACGTGGTTGCTGCCCCAGTCAGTGTGTGGTCTGACTAGACACGCAAGGTATCCTTCATATGGCAGGAGCTACCCATGTGAGGCTGGGTTCTTCCTCTGAAGTCTTGATCCTGGTGCCCTCCTATCTGAAGGGTAAGGGTCAGAGGTTTGTCATGTCTGCTACTGTTTTGTTGGTGTTCTTTTATCTTTTCATGTGATCAGGGAGCTGTGTATGGACAGAATACTGCACAGAGATCAGGTACACTGTAAATAGGAGAGAGGAGCACCTTTACGTTTTGGTGGGTCTTCCTTAGTGTGAATGTTACTGTTCATCAGTTCTCAGCAATCGGGAGTAGAGGAAATAAATCATTGCTGTGGAGTAAACAAGCCTCTGTAGCTATGGCAAAGGTACAGGGTGTTTGTTCAGAGTGCTTTCCTCTCCGTATGAGGCTAGGGATTTGCCTAGATCTCGATTTTGCAGATTCTCCTGGAGGCTGAGGCAGGGAAAAAAAGTTTGTGTAAGAACACTTTGGGGAGTTACTTGAGAGTGCCCTAATCCATATGCTCTAATTCTAGCTCTCTTGCTGCCTGATGATGATACTGATTTCAGTCCCTGTGATTCAGATATTTCAACAACTTAACCTTCTTGCATTTCATATGCTCTCTTTCCCTTTGCTGCTAGATGGGATCCAGTAAACCAGGTGGCCGAGTGATCTTGGCAACAGAGAATGATTACTGCAAGCTTTGTGATGCCTCGTTTAGTTCTCCAGCTGTTGCACAGGCTCACTACCAGGGGAAAAATCATGCCAAGCGGCTGCGTCTTGCAGAAGCACAGAGTAACTCATTCTCGTAGGTATTGTTCAACTTCACGCTCAGGCTGTGAAAGCATGTGGCAGTGTCTCTGGCTTTTCTTTTTTTTTTCCTCAGAAAACTGAATTACAGCTGTTCATTTGTTTTATCTTCAGGGATGCATCAGAGCTAGGCAAACGAAGGGCAAGGAAAGAAGGGAATGAATATAAAATGATGCAGAACAGAAGAAATATGTATACGGTTCAAAACAACACAGGTAACTGAGTTGCATCTGTTCTATAGTTGGAATAATAATGAATAATAAGCAGACTTGTTTTTCTTCTTTGCTGAGATCTGTTTTAGCAAAGACAGATGTGAAAGGAGCTGGTCCTAGCTCTGCTTATCCTTCATGTCTGCCTGTGTTTTCCCAGCTACTGGAGTTGCTTTGTTTTTTCAGCCTACTTCTTGGTTCATTTTCTTTGTATGTATGTAATTTGCCATCTGCCTGTCTCTAAGGCCACTCTAAGTGGTAACAACTTTCCTGCTTTATTTTCTTGGCAAGTGGCCAGGTGCTTTAACTCCTGCTGTAGCACATCAACCTGTACTTGCACTCTCATGATCAGAATGAGAAAGCATGTTAGCCTCCCTCCAGGACCATCTGTTCCTAGAGTGAAGTCCTTCTTCAGGTATTAGAGACCAACTTTGCCTCTTTACTATGATTTAAAGCATGTTTTGTAGTGTCCAGCCCAGCATCTTTTTTATTTTGTGTTAGGAGCATATATTAGTTTAAATCCTGATTCCTTGTGAAGCCTGGTTTAATTGTGTCATTCTAATCACTGTCATGTGGAAAAGAGAAATCTTCTGAAGTTCTATTAAATATTATTTTGTGATAATTTTAAAGTGAGGCAATTTAATCAAAGATTGTTCTAATTCTGGAATGGGAAGGTTAAGAAATAAAGAACCGATTCATCACTTAAATTATCTCTGATTTTCAAATTCCTACTGATTCTTAATAAGACTGGGGCACTAAGCCTACTCTACTGCTTTAGAAAATACCAGCAAGTACTGCTCCCTGGTGTTGTATATCCCTGTAAATATGGATCTCGGTGGAATAGTCATAGGAAAATAAAGTTCAGGGTCAGCTGAGGAAGCTAATCTTTTAACTATTTTTTAATAGTTTGTTGGGTTTAGAAGTTGTCACTGAGCTGCCTCAAGCTTTTTTTCTTATAGGTAAAATAGACTTTTCTGTTGACTCCTCAGGTCCCTACTTCAATCCCCGCTCACGCCAGAGGATTCCTCGGGATCTGGCCATGTGTGTCACCCCCAGTGGCCAGTTCTACTGCTCCATGTGCAACGCCGGGGCCAGTGAGGAGATGGAGTTCAGACAGCACTTAGAAAGCAAACAGCATAAAAGCAAGGTGTCCGAACAGCGGTATAGGAATGAGATGGAGAACCTAGGCTATGTACAATGATGCGCCACCCTTGGTAGTAATTTGCAAATAGAGCAGCTTGTCTCTTGCCTGCTGTTTGCCACATGCCCTGCTTTGTGCTCCCTTTGATAGGAGTATGCTCTCGAGCTGTACATGTAACACCTGCAAACGTAATGGTATGGTTAGATTTTTTTTCTATCATAGTTGGCAGGATGATGCTGTGCAGGACATGAGTGTTTTTGATGTTTGTTTGCTAATTATCTAAGGCTCTTCGTTGTATTGAGTGGCGGGGAGGACTTTGTCTGCTCCTCAGCCTTCTGCATGAATATGCAAAGCCCAGAAGTGCTGGGAACTTCTGTGGTTCTACCACACAGGTGGACCATGTGCAAAGCCTACTCCCCTGTTCGCATACCAGAGAGCAGTGCTCCAGAATGCAGACTGAATCTCTGGGCAGCTTGTAAAAGAGAGGCAGCAATGGGGTCTGTGAATGAATGAATTAGGTGGTGTACTTGCCCATGAATTGCTGCTTGTGGCTCCCATTAGCAGCCCAGAGTAGATTCTTTCCACATCGCTGTAGAAAAGCTGTGTAAGACATTGGAGAGTCTTGCCTCTTACCGCTTCCTCCGTGATGCAGATTTCATTTGAACATCTGACATTGGATATCAGCTGATTAGCTCGATTCAGAAATACTCTATTCTACCAGTTAACAGTGAAAAAAGATTCTCAATGTTGTTGACTGGTCACCTTAATACACCATGGCTGTACCTCATCTCCCTGAAGAGAGTATGTGGGGATCTCAGTGGCGCAATGAAGTGAATTGGAAAGCAAACCTGCTCAGGTGATACGTGCTCTGCTCTGATTCTGCCTTAGACTGAGTAGGGTTGAGAATCGGCTGAAAGGAGCTGTCAGCTGTAATTTTTTTGCAAGTGTTGGTCTGTGGCCCACAGCTCTATTGCTCTGGGGAGCAGATACTGGTGTGTCTCACTTTCATGTCATTCCCTGGAAAAAGCCCAATAGGTGTTATAGAGGAGAGCTGAAATACTCCTTTGCATTAGAGCTACCAATATTGGATGAATTTTTTCCCCTCTATCTTTTCCCATCTCAGAATGGGCTTTAATTCCATTCCTTGATGTAAACTTCACTGTTTTAGGGACCATAAAAAATCCAAAGTTAGGTAGAATGTAAATGTCAGGGGTGATGATTGTTTGAGTAACAGCTTTTTGGCCATACAGAAGTATTCATGAAATTTGTTAAGCACCTTTTTTAAGGATAGACAAGCCCAAAGGTGTGTCTGCTTTGATTTTCCTTAGCAAAAGTAGAAAGGGGATAAGGAGCAGAAGTAGGGCTGACATTTATTTTTCTGCTTATTTGGGTAGATGTGAGGAGCTGTGCTTGGAATCCAGTTCACAATGTTTCTAAAACACTGGCTTCAGTGGCAAGTGCAGAATGTAGGTAACCCCTGTTGGACCTGATTCACCACTGTGCTGCTATAGCTGTACACCGGTAAAGCTTCATTGACTTCAGTGGCAGGTGCACAGCAGGGGTAAATGAAGCATCATGGCTTGTCTCTCATTCTTCTTTAGGCATTACATTAAATTAAATGCAGTTCCATTGGTTTCAGTAGCATTTTACCAGGGATAAATTCTATCTACTTTGTAATGGTGAAGATAGCTCCCCAGCAACCACCTTTTTTTTCTCCTTTTTGCCATTCTGATCCTGCCTCTTGCATTGAAGGAGGATTTTCTGCTTGCCTTAAAAAAAATGAATAATGAATAAACTAACCAAAAATCCAGATAATTTTTTTTCATCTTCCTAGTTCACCTCAGAAAGGTTTCTTGGACTTGGCTGCTCCTCAGAGATTGAGTATTGTTATCTTTAGCTACCTGAGAGCATCAGGTACAACCTTTATGCAGTCTTCCTAAATCCAGTCAAAGTGAACTCTTGCATAGTAGACAGAAGCACCCCTCTGCATGATTCCATGGTGATCGTTGCCCTGCAGATACAGGCATAGCAATGGGCATCTTCTTGACTGGGATTCCTTCCCCTCTTTTGTGCAAAGCCCAAGGGTTTGTGCACTGGAGCACATTAGAAGGTAGGAGGACACGTGTTCAAGTTGCAAAGCACTAATTGAGCAGTTTTGACAGCCTGTAAGTCTGTTTCTTCTGTGCTTTCCTGCTCATGGCTCATCCTCTGTGCAGCATTGAAGAACATTCCCCTTGCAAAAATCTCTCATCAGCTTTTTCCCCTCATCTTCTGCAGTCAAACAAGGGCTCTGGTTTTCTCTTTGTGTTCTGCCTTTTGTGTTGCCAGTCTAACACCACTGTACAGGGGCAGAGGGAACTGGATGAGCCTTACCACACTGTGCTTCACCAGACTGATTCCTGCATTACGGTTAAACATCCCCCTTGCTGCAAATTACAGTGTGGCATTTCCCACAGGCTGCAATTAGTAGCAGAACAGCAACACTGTGAAATATGAGCTGGAGGAGCTGTAGGTACTAATGTTGTCAAGCGTGTTGCTAGGGCCAGGAAGGCATTTTTTCTTGTTTTCATGTGTCCCAAAAATCAGCTGTTCACCACTGTGCTTTGGTTGCTGCCCCTGCTCCCAGCCCAGTGATCTGCTCCACATTTGGCATTTCCAGTGACTGCCAGAGGTGTGAAAACTCAGATTGCTCCGCATGCTGTTACCTCCTAGTAACAACTGGTGCAAACCTGCCAGTGCTAGTGCATTTGGGATGGTGTGCGAATGAGGTGTGAAGCTCTCCAGGCTCCTCTTTGCATGGGGCCACATCTGATTTTGAGGAATGGCTTGAGTCTACCCTGAACAGAGAGGTCTGTATCTGCTTTCGTGCAAGGGAGTGCAACAAGTGAATGTCATCTTGAGAATTCCAAAGTAGTGGGTTGTATAACAGGCATAAAGCAGACAGCGTGACTCAAGTGACAAGTGTAGGACAGGTTTTCTACATGGGAGGAAAGGTCTTTCTTGCTGGGAGAAGCAGCTGACTCGCTTTGCCCCAAAACTCTTTTGCAGCCTTTCCCTACAAGTGACAAAGCTTTCCTTCTCAGCGTTAACAGTTTGCTATTTTCCTACTGTCCCTCTAGCATAGAAAATTGTTGACTGCAAAGAGAAAACACCCCACTTCACTGATATCTTTAGGGTTCAGGACAATCCAAACTCCTACTGTCAGATGGAAAAACTGGGGGGATCCTGACTTCTTTGGTTTTTGGGTTTTTTGTGAAATGCAAAGCTGTTCTATAAATCAGTGTTGAAAACACATATTGAAAACATGTCCTGACCAAACCCTATTTGACATAGATGGGCTGGGGACAATACCATACAGTTGTAGTACCATTTTCCCCAATTAATCTTTTTTCATGTTAAACAAAGTACCAAACCCAAGAAACAGGACTTTTGTGAAGCTGTCACATTGGCCAGTAGGTTAATGACCGTTGCTGCTAGAAATAAAATATAAATCATGTTCATATTTATTTTACTGTGCTGACCACTAATAGATTTGTTAATATTTAAGGCATTATTCTGTAGGTTGTTTTTGTTTAAATGGAAAACTCAATGTCGCACTTTGCTTTTGGATCAGAACTGGTATTTATTATATTTGTGAAAATGGTTTCCCTCCCACATATGTATTGTTTTCTTTCCCTTAATAAAAAACAAATCTAAAACAACAAAACCCACCCCAAAACAAATGAATTAAAACCCCAAATCCAGTCAGGGGATCTTCTTTGTTTCTTTTCATACCAAACAAACTGGGAATTTCCTTGCATCTCTCTCTCTTAAATGTCCATTTCTTTTTCTTGTTTTTTTCCCCTCCCGTTCCTTTGATATGGGATGACATTTTTAGATGCATATGAAATTCATACTACATTTAAGCATTTGTTTTAAGGCGAGGAAGTAAACTATGTGGAATCCATGTATTTCTGAGGAGTTTGAAAGTGATACTATTTTGTTTGTATTAAGCATTAGCTGTTATTTTGCATTCTGCACTAATAGTAGATGTGCTATAATCTTGCCCAACACTGGTCAATTTTTGACTTTCTGCTTTCTTCATGTACATCAAAATGAACCCTGAAAACTTCTGTGGAGTTGCTTAGGATGGTCATCAGTGTAACTAAGTGCAGATTTTTTTCTGTAAAGCTTCTTGTCTTTTCCTTTTCTAGATGCTCATTATAGGGCATTAGAAGGGAAAGCTATTGCTGTAAGCACGGGTTCATATTTTACCTTACTAATGCATGGTGTCCTTTTGCTACGTTATTTAAGTAATATGCACTGTAACCAGTAGGAATCTTGCCCAGGTCAGGAGTAAATGAAATACCATAGGTAAATATGTTATGTTGGCTAGTGCCAGGCAAGGTACGTGGCTAAAATTTGTCTTTTATTTCTGTGTTTGGGTTACAACACTCTTAAGGTTTTGCTTTTTGAGGAATGTGTATTTGGTTAGGTAAGAATTTGATCTTGTTCCATCTGAAATCATTTCAAGTGCATTGACTTCAGTTGAGTAGGAGCAAGCCTTGAAACCCTTCAGGAATTTCATAATGAAGTTGTTTTCTCATATATGTGGTTTTTGGTTTGTGGTATGTTTTTTAAATTTTACAACCATATATACAAGGTTGCTCTGGATGAGACGGCTTAGCTCCTGTTGTTTTGAGCTGATCTGGCTTCTTTGCCTCATGTATAAAGCTGGAAGTGAAACTAAAATCCACTTTGAAATAAATGTGGTCAAACAATAGTTCTGGGAATGTGTCCTTTAAAAAATGTGTCACAACTAAAATGGTGTGTTTTATGTGAAGTATCTGCAGGTAAAGGCAGGACTGTGGATTTTAAGAAACAAAATCAGTTTTTCAGTTTGTGTTTTGCAGGGGAAAAATGACTTGATTTAATTTCCTTCTGCATCTGTCCAGTGACATTTGCAAGTGCTTTGAACATGTTTCATCTAGAGCCTTCTTGTCAGGTTGGTTTTGTACATTTGTCCTTATTTTCTTTATATTGTATTAATCCCTGTGAGGGAGGTTGCTTTTTATTTTTGTTTTTCTTCTTCAGTATATAATAAATCATCTTGTTGTTATCATTGTACAGCCTTAGTGTTTGGTATTGATACTGCTTTTGGTATGGGTGGACTAGGCATGCCTGAACTTATTTTATCCTAGCATTAAGTGCAATTACATGAATAATATGTTTTAATACACTGATAAAGGACTGTTGTCCACTGTAGAATTTATTATTCTGGAGAGGGGTCAGTGTGTTTTCAGCTATTACTGAAAGATGGATGAGTTCTCCCTCTGAGCTGTCTTGGCTTCAGGAGGGGTTGGGACTGCTTGGCATCTGATGGGATGGGAACCAAAAGGTACAGGAAGGGCTCTTTCTGCTGCTCTTTCCTCTTGAGTAGACATCACAAGCTCTGTGACAGCCCCAGGCTGAACCATGGACTGACTTTCAACTCTAGCTGTAAAAAGGTGGCGACAAGCTGAGCCCAATACTTGTGTTTATACATTTTTTGCCAGTGTGCTTTTCCACTCTTTCATTACTCGAGGGCACCAAAGCAGCGTATGCTTATGCAACATAAATGACTTTCCAAACAGAAAGGACATTCTGAACTGGACCCTTAAAACAGCAAAATCTGGGGTATGCTGTGTTTGACCCAGGTAAGAGAAAAACTTTGCTCTTCCTTGGTGCTGTAGCCATGCTGTAAGTGCACTGAGCTGCTGACCTCAAGGGCAGTATCCTGGTGGCAGAGGTAAGATGTTCAGGGTGTGCTGTTGAGGCACAGCTTTGAGTGTATAAGGAATTGTGAACAGGGATTTGTCCCTGTGCTCGCCTGTCCTCTGTTACTTAGCGCATCAAACCATTACAGAGAATAATGACACTGTGATGGAGTTATTCTGATTTACCTTTTTGATGGGCTGAGAGCTGCCTTAGTGCTGCTTCTGTGTTAACAATAACATGCAGG